CGAAAATATGTATAGGTAATTATAGGAAAAGAAGAGTATAAAAACCCACGAGAAAAACATAGGTAAATTTTAAAAAGTAGTTTAATGATGGAGGAACATAAGTATAGGATTAAAATTGATTGACGTTAAAAAAAAGTAGGAAATAAAAAAAATGATCAGGAAGTAAATACACTTTAATTTTTCATTTAAAGGAAAGAATACTTAAAAAATAAATAAATTTTCAAGTACTTTTATGAGGTCAAAATTAAAATTAGAATTCCAATCGACTACAAGCTTAGAAAACTTTTTTAGAAGATAAAAATTTTCTTAGCAAAAAAAAATTAAATTTTAAAGGAAAGAAAGGAAAGAAAATTTAGAATAAAAATGAAAATAAACCAGAATACAGATTCGGATTAAAAAAAAACAAAAAGATCGCGTTTCAATTTTTAATTTTTAATATTTGAGAGGACAAGGGATTGTTGTTAATTCATAAATTGCTAATATATATTAGGATTGAAGGAAGGAAACATTTAAAGCCTTCTAAAATCCTCAAGTAATTCAGAAGAGTAAGAAAAAAAATAAAATTAAAACTAACTGCAATTTGAGAATAAAAAGGTGAATTTAAAAAAATTAGTACGAGTTAAGAATTTTGAGTTCTTAATAATTATGGACAGAGACGGTGAAAAATTTCCTTTTGATTACTAATATTCCTGAAAAAAGGGAAACTCTAACAATTTCAAATAACTCGATTGTACAAGCTAAAAGGGATTTAATGTTGAAAACAAACAAAACAAACAAAAAACAACGTCACATAACCCAATCACTTGTTGTGTATTTTTAAAAATTAATGTCTTAAAAAATTTATTATTTCCTCAACGTGAAAAAAAAAAGAAAATAAATAAGAAAAGGCAAAAGGTGACAACAATTTAAAAAGAAATGACAAAAGCATTCATTGTTATACCTATTTTTCCTCTAAATAGAAAAGTGTGTATGTATGTTTTTTCCGGAAAAGAATATCCGGAAAAAAGAAAATAAAAAATATAAGTGAGTAGAGAAAAATAAGAGAGACTGCTTATGTTAGCAAGAATGTGTGTGCTTTTTAGCTTTTACTGCCAGCCTTTTGCAGGCCAAGAAAAAAAATAAATAAATAAATAATAATAAAATAGAGAAGTGAAAAAAACTTATTTTCTTAAAGAAAAATAAAAAAAAAGGGTGGCAAATAGAGTCTCAAAAAATGGGAGTTTTTTGGTGGGTGGTCCATAAAAAATATTTTTTTTCTTTTTCAAAAAAAAATTTCTTTTTTTTTTCTGATGGGTGGTGACCGCCACCGACCACCATCTTTTATTTTTTCTTATTTTTTCTAGCACGAAATGGTGGTGACCCTTCCCTTATTTAAACTTTTTTCAACTTTCTTGCTAATGTGGAAAATATGTCTAAAGGGGTTGGTTGTTGCAATAATAGAGAGAAACTTTTTTTACTTTTTTCGTTTTATTTTTGGCCATTTTTTAGTGTAGTCCATTCCTTTACCCTCCCAAAATATTTTTAGCAGCCCATTTTTCTTTGCATTTATTTTTTATAAAAATGCTGCTAATCATGAAGGGAAATGAGGCGATAAAATACAGGCAAATGAGAGAAATTTTTAAATATAATAATAGAAAAAAATATTTTTAAAATAAATTTTTGGCCTTATTTTTTTTACTATATTATGGTCAAATAAATTTAAAGAGAAGGAAAAAATTAATAAAAAAATTTTTGGAGATTAAAGGGATAAAAAAAACTATGACTATGAAAACTATTGAAATTGAAAGGCAAATTATCGGTTTGGAATCAGGGATGGGTCAAGAGTAGTTAACCACCCCACTTTGTTTCCCCGTTTACCGCACATTCCTAAAGGTGTGGGAGGGGTCCGCAAAATTTCTTAAAGGATTTGAAGGGGTTGGGGGCGGAGTCAATGGATTTTAGGGGACTTTCCAAAAGGATTTGGATGGGGCCCTTTGATCTTGCCGCTTTCCCGCAATCCCAAATTGTTTCCCTTTTGATCTTGCCGACAAATCCCAAATTGTTTCCCCTTTGATCTTGCCGCGTGTAAAAATCCCAAATTGTTTTCCCTTTGATCTTGCCGCTTGTTAAAATCCCAAATTGTTTCCCCTTTGATCTTTCCGCAATCCCAAATTGTTTCCCCTTTGATCTTTCCCGCAATCCCAAATTGTTTCCCCTTTGATCTTGCCGACAAATCCTCAAGGTGCGAAAATTCACACCTTTTTTTTTTCTTTTATCTCGCCGACAAAACCAATTTGCTCCAAAGTGTTGGGAGAGGGGTCCGCAAAACACAAGGGGATTTCCTTTGATCTTGCCGACAAAATCAGTTTGTTCAAAAGTGTCGGGGGAAGGGTCCGAGAAACAAAATTTGACAATCTTAAGGTGTTAATTTTCACACCTTTAAACACTTTGATCATCCAAGGTATGGGGGAGGGGTCCGACGAAACCAAATTACCGCACTAGGAGTGCGGTAAATCGTCAAGGTGTGAAATATCACACCTTTTTTTCCTTTGATCCTGACGACTAAATCAATTTGTTTAAGGGTGTCGGGGGAAGGGTCCGAGAAACAAAATTTGACAATCTTAAGGTGTTAATTTTCACACCTTTAAACACTTTGATCATCCAAGGTATGAAAGTTCACATCTCTAACTCTATTTTTGATGTACTTAATGTGTGAATATTGACACGTTTTTCAGTTGATTAAACTCTTAACTGGTTGAAAATACCTAATTTTATTTGTGAATATTTTGGACTTTTAATATTAAAAATTATCCCTAAACATTCTCGAACCGTGACAACTAATGAATATTACGAATCAAAACCGCTACCTGCTAAGCTACAGAGGAACATTTTTATTGCAATTTTTTGCTTTTTAAAGCTTTTAAACTATTTTAACATGCATGCATATTAAATTAGTCAAATTTAAAATGGCGTCGCTTCTCTTTTTTAAACAAGCGTCGCTTCTTTTTTAAAAGAGCGTCGCTTCACTTTTAATTGATTGAGTATAAATACCCGAATAAAACTTAAATCTTAAACTGAAAAAATGATTTTCAAAATAATTTTAATACTATATATGATTTATAATGTTACTAGCGAAAATAAAAGTTTATCTGATTTTAAAAGATGGCAGTGTGAGAGAGCTATAACTGTATTTCGAAAAATATCCCCATCTGTATATTTCACGGATATTTTAAATGTGAGTGTACCTGAAGACATGGATTATAAAATAACTTGGACCCCTTACGGTCATGCTTGGTACGTTTGGGATGAGAAAGCAAAATCTATTATGCCAATGTATATGGGATTTCCCATAAGACCTAAGCCAGAAAAAGATGGTATATTATATTCTGGATGGGTATTCATAAAAGAAACTAGCTCATCAGTTATTGAATTTTTCAAAACGATATTCAGTCCAATAGCAGAACTAAAATTCCAAAGAGGGGTGTTTAGAAGGTAGACTTCAAATCAGTTTATTATTACCTTATCTAATCAGAAGGGGCGTGGTCTAATTATGGAGTATAAAAACAGAGCTGATGTATGAATTTTATTTCCTTTTGCTCATTTTTAAAAATTTTGTTAAGATGAACAATAATAAAAATCTAACTCGTCAAGTTTTACCTGAAGTAGAAATTAGCATTAATTTGAATGGAATAACGATTTCAAGTGAGCGTTTAACCCCTTCTCGTTTTGTACCATATGATATAGCTGGCAAATGTCGTGAATGTAAAAGTACGGAAGCTGAAGTGGATTTTATTGTCACCAAAGATGGTGTTACTATCTTTTGCACGCGTATTTCAGGAACTCGTTATGTACCGTTTGATCTAACTTATGACTTACCAGGAATATGCTTCTTTCGGGTAGATATTTTTTAGTCTTTATCTATTATATTTTATAAATTAAGATTAAGAACAAAGGCCGCGTATTCAATATCCCATATGGCTCTGTAAAACCACAGCCACAGCTTCCAACTCAACAACCGACACAACCAGCAACTCTAAGCCAAAATACAATGTCAGAAAAACAGAATAAACCAAAGCAATCTATTAGTACACAAAAATCTACAAAACATACAATTGAAAATATCCTCAAAGACAAAAGTAAAGAAAATAATGAAAATGTTTTGCTTAATGAATTTTTTGATAGTCTCGATGCAGCAACAACTGGAATTCCATCACAGATTGATAAGATGAATAATTTGAAGAAACAGTCTACAAGGATGGAAGAAGAGGAGATGGCTGCTATCGAAACATTATATAACATACCTCGTTAATTTTTCTTATTTAAACCAAAAATTATTTTATTTTTCAATTAATTAAAATGGAAACTTTAACATTCTCAGATAAAGATTTGAAATTTAAAATTCCTTTTGGTATGATAATTTCTGGTCCTAGTTCCAGCGGAAAGAGTACATTATTATTAAGGTTTATTTCTGAAGCCTCGAATTTAATTGACCCCAAACCTAAAAGTATACTTTATTGTTTTGGTGAAATGAGTAATATTGTCCCTATTCTACATAAATCAGGTGTCAGTGTTTATTCTGGTGTTCCTTCTGAGGATTTGATTAAAAAATATCAAAAGCCATTATTACTAATTCTTGACGACTTACTTATGTCAATTGATGAAAAATACTTGTCCGAGTTATTTACGAAAAAATCTCATCATCAAAATTTTGCTATTGTCTTTGTTACTCAGAATTTATTCGAACGCAAAATTAAAGTTGCGCGACAAAATGCTCAATATATTATTATAATGCGTTCTCCTAATTCGGTATTATCTGTACGTAATATAGGTGTTCAACTATTTCCACAGAAGCTCGATTATTTCCTCGATGCATATAGACAAGCAACAAATAAACCTTTTGGTTATCTAGTTATTGATATGCATGCTTCATCTGACCCAGGACTGAGACTACGCACAAGTATATTTAAAGAAGATGAAGAAAAAATTATTTTTATTCCAAAAAATAGAATATAAATAATAATATGGTTAGCCAGATTATTCACGAAAATTTACAATTTTTACGACTTCTTGCAAAAACAAAATCGCATCGAAAATTGCAACGACTGTTAAGGCTCTCAAATACAAACCAATTATTAGCTATAACCGAAATTTGTCTGAATATTATAAAGGCTAGACTCAAACTTACTCCTCGGCAAAAGAAACGACTGATTCCATATGCTGACTTTGTTCGTAAAATGAGTAGGATAAGAAGTGAACTTGGCGCTAGAAAAATTTTAAATCAAAAAGGAGAGGGTGTGGGTATGTTTGCAGCGTTATTGACACCGGTTCTTATGGAATTAGCAAGATCTCTAGGAAATTCTATAAAAAGCAAGAATTAAACAAAAAACAACATACCTAAAATTATGGCAAACAAATTTATTCTTGTTCCTGAGGAAATTTACAAAGGTCTAACTACATTTGATACGGGGGAGCCTAATCTAGATTTAATTAGAAATGATCTTGAAAGAATTAAAAGAAAGAAAGATACTCCAAGTGCAAAAAATGTAAAATATAACCAAGAACTGAGACGGTATTTACAATTAAGAAATGAACAACAAAATAGACCAGTTAAAGTAGAGATGGTTGCAACACCTAAGGGAGCAATAATGAGTACAAATTCTACACGGCCGTCGTCTAATATAGTCGAAGATGATGATGAAATTTTGACAACAGATGATATTTCTCTCCCGTCTTTTCCTCAATCTAATAAAGATGTTAAATCGATAATTAATTTCAAACCCCAAAAACTACCTCACCCTCCATCTTTATCTTCATCATCTAGCTCTGTTAAAAAACGATTTAAGAAATTGAGAGGAAGCTCACCACCTCCTCCTCCACTACCTCCAACTACAAATCTTAAATTAATAAAAAAAGAAATTGTGTCTGAGCCAAAGAAAAGATTTTCAAGACACAAAAGTACAAAATATTCAAAAACAGGGAGTACAAAACAAGACTCTACAAGGCAAGACTCTATTATATTATCCGAAGATGTGCCAATAATATCAACTCATGTCTCACCTCAACAACGAATTATTAAAAGAGAATTTGACCAGGCTGATTTTGAAGGTATAAAGAGGAAAAAGATATATGACAACAGAAGGGAACAAGAAATAAGACAAAAAGAGAATAAATTGAAGGAAATCGATAAGAAACGTTATGAAAAAAGGCAACAATTATTAGCCAGACGACGAAAGTCGCAGAAACATAAAGTTCCAATAGACCCTTATGTTATTCAACAATTACGTAATAAAGAAAAAAGTGGAGCATCAAAAGGTTCAAGAAGGGTTTTAAGAGAGGGAAAATCACCTTCCCCGCCATTAAGCCGTCAAAAAATAAAACGAAAAGCAGAGTGGTCGCAAGGAGACGGACATACAATTGCTAAAGTCCAGAGAAAAGTCAACAAAAAACAATCACAAAGAGCTTCAAGATTATGGGTTAAAAATCTGAAGAAAAGAAATTTAGAGTTTCGCTCATATAAAACAAAAAATAAATGGGCAATAAGAAAACCGACACAAAAGGATATCAACAGATTTAAACCATCTCTTTGGTAAAAGATGGCTGATTACACTAAATTTCTTGACGATCTATACAATAATCCAGAATCACCTGCAGCTTTTTCAGGAATTGATCGACTTTGGTATGAAGCACGTAAAGTTTTCAAACATATACCAAGAAAAGCTGTTCAACATTACTTAGAAGGGCATAGAACATACACTCTTATGCGACCCAAACGTATTCATTTTAAAAGATCAAAAACTGTAGCAGCTGGATTTATGACAGATGTACAAGTTGATTTGGCAGATTTCCAACAACTTTCTAGACATAATAAAGGAAATCGTTATTTGCTTCTAGGTATTGATGTCCTTTCTAAACGTGTTTTTGGTGTTCCTGTCAAGTCCAAAAAGACTGAAGAAATGATAGAAGCCTTCAAAAATTTAATTTCACAAATGCCAATGAAACCTCAACGAATTTTTTCAGATAAGGGGACAGAATTTAAAAATAAACAAATGAAGGAATTTTTTGAAAATGAGGGGATAGAAAAGCATGAGCCAACACATTCTATCGTCAAAGCTTCAGTTGCCGAAAGAGCAATTCGTAATGTAAAACAACGACTTTACCGAAATTTTGCTCAAAAGAAAACATTAAACTGGATTGATGTCCTCGAAAAAATTTTGGAAGGAATAAATAAAGCAAAAAGTAGAATCCATGGAATGCGACCGATAGATGTCAATTTTGATAATGCTCAAAAGGTATGGAAACAAATCTATGGAAACATATTTTCTTCAAATAATAAAATAAAACCAAAACTCAAAAAAGATGATTTTGTACGAATGAGTGTAAATAAAGGTGCTTTTGAAAAAGGATACATACCAAATTGGGGAGATGAAATATTACAAGTGGACAATATAAAGGAAACCCCTTTACCAATTCAATACAAAGTTAAGGATGATAAAGGTGAAAAGTTCAAAGGTTCATTTTACAATGAAGAGTTAACTCGTGTAAGAAAGGATGCCGATACAGAATATAGAATTGAAAAAGTTTTGAGAAAAAGAAAGAGACCAGATGGAACTTTTGATGTTCTTGTTAAGTTTATAGGATACCCTGAAAGAGAATGGATTCATGAGTCACAATTAGTATAAAAGAAAACAATTTTTTCATTATTGTAAAAATTTTTCGATAAAATTATGTCAAACAGCTTTTTTGTCTTCCTCCCTAGTAATATTCCCGATTATCCTGATAATCGTCCAAATAAATTTAGAGTTCATTTACCTAAACCACTCTATTTTTCTGGCAACTGGGTGTGTGGATTACATAGTATAAATTATCCATATTCATGGGCAGCAACTATTGGTACACTAGATGATCAATGGATCGATATACATTTTAAAGATAATTTGGGAATGGGCAGAGTCTTACGAGTTCCAGTTCCAAAGGCTTCTCATACTTCAGTTGAGAAATTACACGAGTTTTTAATTTCCACGCTTCAACATCAAAGTGAGACTTATGGAGCTTCGCCTTTGGAAAAACCTGAAGATTTAGTTGATTTACCCTCACTTAAACGTCAAAAAAATAAACGATCATTAGAAGAGTTAAGACAAATTAGAGTGGGGATCATTCCTAAAGTTGATGAAGTGTTCATAGATTATCCTGATCAATATTGGGACCAAATAAAAATTTTAAAAGATAAACTTGTAGAAGATTCCAAATCTTTAGATGAATTTAAATTAAGAACAGATCAAGAACAGGATGAGACAATCAAAAGTGAAATGACAACAACATTTTGGAATCTCAGTTACAAAAGAAGTGCTTTAGAGTCTCGAATTAGAAAATTAGAAGAAGAAGCAAAAAGGAGAGATTTTGAAAAGAATAATTCAGATGTAAACATTGTTGTCGATTTTTTCGAAACCTACCCCGAAAATTACAATGAAATATTAATTATAGACCATCTCAAACTAATAGCTCTCTTCATAGAAGACAGAAAGGAAAAACACTTACAACTAGAAGGGTTTTTACCAAGATTTAAAAAAGAAATTGAAAAGATGACTAAGAGAGTAAATTTACTTGATGCTGCTGTACTAAGAAGGGACAAACAAAAGACTGTTAAACAATATAATAGGGAGAACTATATAACCCATAAAAGCTATGTTGATAAATTTTTCAGTGATAACCATGATTATTGGCCAGCAATACGAAGTAATTTCTACGGATTGATCGCTACATATCAGGAAATTTCTAATTCAAAAACTTTGTATGACGAGGAAACAGATGAAGATCGAAGGAAGGAATTAAATACTAAAATTGATGGACTCAAAAGGCTTGTCAATTATAGAATGGATAGATTTAGGGCACTTGAGTTTGAATGAATTGCTAGAGATAGAGAGACAGCAGATGAACCTTACAGGCCCCCACCTCTACCAACGTATACAGACATACACCCTCCAACAACAACATCAACCCCAATTACTACTCAACAAACTTCTCCTTTAAAGTCTCTACCAGGCTATACATCTCCAACAAAGCCTGTCTCACAAGATCAACAAAAAGGAGATATTTCAGAACAACCTCCTCTTCCACCTGTTATAATTGAGTCTCCTAAACCTGTAGATATTTCAAAACCTTCCCTTCCGACACCTGAAACAACAACTCCTGTTCAACCTTCACGACCTGAACCAACTACTGAGGATCTTTCAAAACTTCCTCTTCTTCCAACCCCTGAAGAAACATTCAGTGATCCATTATGGACCGAAGAAATGGAACAAATATTAACAAAAATACTCGGGAGAACACCCACTCGCCAAGCGCGAATAAATTATTTACCGAATATGCCGGCACTTTTACGACAGTATGGGCGTCTAAAGAAGGATAAAGTTGATGCTTCAGTTCAAAAACAAATAATTGATTCTATCGAAATATTATATCACAAGGATTTTGAACGTTTTAAAGTACAATTCAATCATACAAGTATTAAATATTTATCTTTTTCTCCCCAACTTGGATATGTCTTGGGTTTTGAAAATACAAATATGGTCCAAAATAGAGAAATTGCAAAGTATGGATGTGATTTAAGAGGTGGTTTTTCAAGCTTTGCGGTTTATACAAAAGGACTAACAGAAAATATGATTATTGGTAATAGCTTAAGTTCACTTCTACGCGTAGTCTCTGTGGCCGGTGCAAAACCTGGAGAATATAATGAAAATATTTATGATTCACCAATATATGCTCGTGTTTTACCAAAGGAAGTTAATGAAATTGAGATTGAAATAAGAACGATGGATAATGGAAGACTAGTACCATTTTCTTTTGGTACAGTACTCATTGTCTTGATCTTTAAAAAAGTTATCAATTTTTAATTTTCTTTCAAAGTGTATATAAATAGTAGTTGTAATTATTCAAATCTAAAATAAATTTTATTTATTAAAAAATGGTGCATGTTATCTTTGATACAAGTACAGTAGGCTATGACGATTTTGTCCATAAAAATCCTAATGAAATGTCAGGTGGTGGAGAAATATCATATGATTATTTTCGAGGGTCTTCACCCTTCCAAAGAGGATATGGTATTCAAAAAGGAACGGGTGTGGGAGATATTATGCGAGGGCTTTGGCGTTTCTTTCTTCCTGTTCTTCGAAATGTTGGAAATACTGTAAAGTCAGAAGCAATTAACACAGGACAACGTGTTCTTGAAAGAGTTAGTCAGGGAGAACCAATCAAAGAGGCTTTCATTAGTGAAGGAAAGAAGGGTGTAGATACTGTACTGGAGAAGGGAGGCCTGCCTAAACAATTTGGTTCAGGATTTGCAAGAAAAAGGGGTATAAAAGGGAGAAAATTACCAAGTTATCAAACATTAATTGGCAAACCTATTAAAAAAAGAGTGAAATCAGACGTTTTTGGTCTTTACTAAAATGGCTTTTCACAAAATCGACAGTGATAGTATCAACTCAATAACTAATGCTTTAGATTTTTTTCAAATTCCACCTACAAATGTAAGTATTTCGTCGTCAAAAGTTTTTGAAATTCTGCCAAGCAATCCACTCACCGATACACCTTACCATTTTAAAATTCACGCAAGTCAAAATTATATTGATTTGGCTAAATGTTATTTATTTACTGAATTCCGCATTCGAAAAGAAAATGAAAGTGGACAACTTGTAAATCTTTCTGTTGCAGACAATGTTTCTCCAATACAGCTTATAGGACAGACATTTATTAATAATATGCGAATAAGTGTTAATGGAAGAGAAGTGTTCAATTCAAATTCCCTTTATGCTTACAAAACCTATTTTTCACATGAGCTCTCATATTCACAAAACGCAAAGAGCTCACATTTAAATGCCGCTGGATACTTTTACAATAATACTTCAACTCAAGAAGGTGATTTAGATACAATCGAAAGGAGAAGATTATTTGAAAACAGTAAAACAGCACAATTCATTGCTAAACTTGATGCAGATATTTTCAATCAACCACTTTATTTAATAAATCACTGTGAGGTTGATATCGAAATTATACCAAACGATTCCCGATTTGTTCTTATGACATTTGGACTTCAAAATGCTATGGAAGTAGCAACGCGTTATCATTTTGAAGTAACAAATATGAAACTTTATGTTAAGAAGGTTGACTTAATGGACGGATTGGCTTTGGACATTGCAAAAAGACTTGAAACTAAACCTGCTCGCTACTCGATAAGAAAAACTATGATGAAGCCATTGTTTATTAGTCAGGGTCGATATGAGTTTAATGCCAACCTATTTATGGATCAGATTCCTAGACGTATTACATTAGGGCTCGTTTCTAATTCTGATTATGTAGGAGATATTAAACGTAGCCCGTTCAACTTTCATCATTTTAATGTTCGCGAGATTAGTATTATTGCAAATGGAAGAAATTATCCACAAGCCCCGTATGATTTTGATTATGAGAATGGAAAATATATTCGTGCTTTTAATGATATGAATGAGGCAGTTGGTTTAGCAAATTCAACGGAGAGCAATGGAATAACTTTACAGCAATATGGAAAAACACATTGTATCTATGTTTTTAACCTAACAAATAGCGGAGAAGATCAAGGAGGAACTTTTGATTTAATTAAAAATGGAACAACGGCTGTAAATATTAAGTTTAGCAAACCTGTACCTGAAGGAGGAATAATGCTTATAGTAATGGGAGAAGCAGATTCACTTATAATGTTAGATAAAAATAGAACAATCGCGAGTGATACCACAATATAAATTCTAATCTTTTCATATTGTAGTAATTTTAAATTAGATAAACTTAATAACTTTTATATCTTATTTTTGATATAAATAAAACATTACCACATATTTTTAAAATTTTTCAATCAAGAAAAGTATAAATATGAAAAAATTTTAAGAAAAATCATTTAAAAATGAAAAATCTTTTGAAAATAGTTTTTCTGATTAGAATATTTGTTCCACTAGTTGAAGCATTATCAACTGATGGTACTATAAAATTAGATAATTTACCAGAATATTCTGAACTTGTTAAATATTACAGAGGTGAAAATATTACAGGAAACCCTCTTTTACCTTCAAAAGAAAAAATTGTTGCCCCGGTACCAAATTTTATTAATTTCGATAATCTGCCATCACTTTGCAAGGAAAGTCCAAAAGACAACAATTTTTATGGACATGTATTCTGCTGGGGAATGATATGTTTGTATGCCATGTTATTAGCTAGTTTGGTTATTTATCAACTCCGATCAGTTCTGTGGTTCAAATTCAATTTTAGCAACAACAATGTACGCAAGTCAGATTACTCAAATTCTGAGGACAAATCCTCAAACGTCGCGAATCTTCCTAGGATGTTTTCCGTGTAATCGACTACCTGATCCTAGTTTATCAAAAGGGAAATTTTTAATAGTAAATTTGGATCCTTATGGATATGAAGGTTCTCACTGGATCGTTATTTACATAAAATATAATGATGAAGTGATATATTTTGATAGTTTAGCTCTTCCTACTAGTATATGCATAATAAATTCGTTTCTAAGAAATTTTCCAAAAATTATAAGAAATCTAAAACGCTATCAAGCACCTTTCGCTAGAACATGTGCCCATCATTGTATATCTTTTATATATTTTTATTCAAAGAATTATAATTTTGAGCAATATCTTGAGTTTTTAGACAAACAATCTAATCCTGATTTATTTGTTTTTAATATTGTGAATAAAATGATTACATAAAGTTTTTGTAATTTAGATTTTTAAATTTCTCAATTAAGATTTTTTGAGATTTACTTTCTTTTGATTTATTTTTTATGCATGAATAATTATAATGCTTGAAAATTCTTTTATGTCATGCACGCATATTTAATAAATTTTTGAATTTAATTTGTTTTAATCTCTTTTTATGACATGCTTGCATATTTAATTAAAATTTTTGAATTTTAGTTTCCTTTGATTTTTTTATGACATGCATGCATATTTAATTAAAATTTTTGAATTTTAGTTTCCTTTGATCTTTTTATGACATGCATGCATATTTAATTAAGATTTTTGAATCCTAGTTTCCTTTGATCTTTTTTATTATTGCGTGCATATTTAATTAAAATTTTTGAATTTTAGTTTCCTTTGATCTTTTTATGACATGCATGCATATTTAATTAAGATTTTTGAATTTTAGTTTCCTTTGATCTTTTTTATTATTGCGTTCATATTTAATTAAGATTTTTGAATTTTAGTTTCCTTTGATTTTTTTATGACATGCATGCATATTTAATTAAAATTTTTGAATTTTAGTTTCCTTTGATCTTTTTATGACATGCATGCATATTTAATTAAGATTTTTGAATCCTAGTTTCCTTTGATCTTTTTATGACATTCGTGCATATTTAAGATTTTTGAATTTTAGTTTCCTTTGATCTTTTTATTATTTTCGTGCATATTTAATTAAAATTTTTGAATTGTAGTTTCCTTTGATCTTTTTATGACATTCGTGCATATTTAATTAAGATTTCTAGATTTAGTTTTTTTTTTGATCGTTTTATGACATTCGTGCATAATAATTAATTAAGGGACCGGACTATAAATAGTTGCTTTTTATCTTTAAAAATTTTAAAATTAAATAAAAATATTTTATAGTCAAAAGTATCAATAAGTTTTATTCACAATGGAACAAACTTTTGCCACTTTTTTGAATATTAATGATATTAAACAGGAGGATATTAAACAAGAGCTATTGAACAAAATGCCGGGAAAAGTTGATGAACAGAATGTTTTTGAGGTAACTATTCAAAAATCAAATTTATAAAAAAATTTTAGGGGGTTGCCGAATTTTGAGATTGTTCCTGGCATCCTCAAACAAAAGAGCTCAATCAAATGATTAAAAATGGGGAGAAATTGGATCCCTCTACTTTTTTCATATTTTTGGACCACAACTATGAGACATCGACATGGTGTGATCAATGTCGCAAAACTTTACTTGAAATGAAGCAAGAAGAAATTTTAGAAGTCGGAGAAGGAAATACATACAAATATAAATTTTTTGTATGCACTGATTGTGCTCAGATAATAAAATATGCAACTTTTTATTATTAAATTGATTAATATTATTTCCTTATTATAAAATTCTTAATCTAGCTAATATTAAATAATGTTTTAAGTATTATTGTTTATAACATTGTTTATCTTGATTAAAAATTGTTACAATAATTATTAATTTATTTTGGGTGTGTATGGTGATAAAATATCAGTTGACTTGCAATTCTTCTTAAAGCATGCTTCACACATTTCAAATTTAACTTCAATCTTATCTTCTTTTCGAACCGCTTTGTCACTCTTCTTAAAAACATTGTCACGACATTCTGAAATTTTAAATATTTTAATAAAAAGAAATGATATTAACCTGCACAAAGTGAGAACGTTAGAAGAAATTTTCCTCGAAATAATTTCCAAAAAGGTTCATTAGTAGTTTTAGTTTCTGAATTATTAGTAGTATTCTTTTCAAGTTCATTGGTAATGCCTTCCATTTAAGAATTATTTTAAAAAATTTTGTGAATGTGCATGAATGGTTAGCCAGAGTATTTATATCGGTAATTTAGGGGCGGTCCTTAAATTTTTAACGTAAAATGATGAGTATATAAACACTAATTAATATTGAAAGTTTATTTCATTTAAAAACTTAAAATGGTCCTTATAAGTGAAGAATGTGCTAATATTCTATGTTGCACTGTTAAATCACTTGTAACTCTTCTAAATCATCCTGAAAATAGAAAATTAATTCTAAAAAAGCTTCAAGGCTGTAAGGTTGCAACAACATATACTGATAAAAACGGAATGAAAAAAAGTTTTACAATAAGTGGTTTATCAAAAGAGGGTGCAAATGTTATACCAGCATATGGTAGGCTTTCAAAACCCTTCAACATTTCTGTGACAGCACATTATTATGCTAAACATCGTATCCGACTTCAAAATCCTTATCTTCATTGTATTATCGAACAATTCCCAAACAAAACTGGATCATTTAAAGAAAATCGATATTACCCCTTGGAATTGCTTGAGCTTGTTAAAGAGGAAGAAAAAGAAGAAAAAACTCTTAATTTATCTGAAAGTTTCAAAGTTACAAGTAAAAGAGTGCCTTCACCAAAAGATAAATTAATAATTGTGGATGAAGATGATGAAGTAAATTTTGACCAGGATATATTGAAACCGAGTTATTACTGTAACGGATGGTGATTTAAAAATTAAAATTATACTTGCATTCAAAATGTTTTATAAATACAATTAAATAAAAATAACAATAAAATTAATTAAATATCACATAAAAATACAATTAAATATGTCCAAAATTTAATACAGAAAAATCGGAAGGTCTTATAATTCCCTTCCCGATGAAAGGTCTAGAAATTTTATGACGGGATAGAGTTGAAACATTTAAATTTTTTATTGAGGGGCATAAAAACGATGGGTACAATATTTTAATCGGTTCATTAGTTCCTGTTTTTGCATATTTGATGACCTGTCTTTTAAAAGTTTCATATCTTAATCCTTGGTTGTTGATGACATCGTGGTTTAAAGTTATTCCTCTTACTTTTAAAATATATTCATATTCATTTTGTTGTTTTATTTGATTACTTTTCTTTTTCATTTTTAAACCATATTGCTTTGCTCCACCAGAAACATATTCTATGATATCATGCTTTGGGTACTCATCGGTAAATTGCCCAAGATGAGGCCCAAGACTCAGAGGGTTGACTCCTTCAGCATGTGCAAATATTAAGGAGTCAGTGTCTAATATTTAAAAATTTATCATGTACTAATTATAAAAAATTTACCCGTGTAAAGAAGTTTACACCCTTTAGTACGGACAACTTGTTGCATTGCACGAAGTAAATGGATTCTTGCTGCTGATGTCGTCCAGAGTGAAATAACTAAATATAATTAAATTAAAATAAAATTTTTTTACTAAAATATACCAATGTTTGAACACTCATGTTCTTCGATCCATTCTTTTTTCTTCATGTATGCAATCATTAAAATTTCTGGGGATAATTCATCAATACTTGTTATTTGAATTGATTTGTCGTTTACGAATTTTTGGTACTGTTCTGGGTCATCAGTTATTATACATTGAGAAAGACCAAAATTGCGAAGTGAAAATCGTCCCCCTAAAATAAAAATATTTATCCTGATTTAAAAAAGTTAAACATACAAAGATTATTTAACATAAGTTTGGCCTGGGTCCTCCGACCCTTGTTGGGATTCATTTTACTTCGTTCAATTTTAATGCCAAATTTTTTTATACATTCTTCAATAAACTGGTCTTCTGCTTCAACGTTGTCTTTGATGTTACTGTCAAAACCTGATGAATGTATTTTTTCAGCCATGAACTCTGAGATATAAGGTTGGAACAATTCAGAGTCCGATTTGTTGTACTCTAGTACTCGAAAGAGTTTTGTTACAGTATACCCTTCTTCTAGAGCAACATTTAATTCAAATGAAGTGCAAGTTGATACCCATCCTCTTTCTTCGTCGTTGTGTTTACATCGATACTTTTCTAATACGCCACCTTCAGGATACATTTTTCTAAAAGAAAAATATTTTTAAATATTTTTTTAAATATTTTTCAATAAAAATATTTATCTTACGCGCATTTTGCACACAGAGGAAAAAGAAGACGGGCATCATTTTCTAATTTCATTGGCAGAACGGGAACATCGATTTTTCTGGGAGGAATTATAAAAACTTTTAATATTGCAAGATTGTAGGTGTTGTCAATGGCTTTTGTCCACTTTACATTTTTATTGATGATGTGCACTTTAGGATGTCCAACTGGATATTTTGTAGTGACGTTGATAAACGGATACAAAGAAGTCACGTCTAAATATGATATCCGTTCTCCATCTTTGATTTTATGATGGAGTTTTAGTGGTCCAGTTCTTCCTCCATAGAAGCAACTTCTTATATCAATTGGCCCATCATCAATATAGCTGTAAAACATTTCTCTCATTTCTCGATCTTTTGCCAACATTTGATGTATTTCACACTCCCAGTAAATGTCAACACGAGCAATTTGAGTGAGTATAAATTCCAATCTAAATTATTTTTATTAAAAAATATATACATCAAATTTTACCTGTTTTTGTCATGTTCCCTCAAATATCCAGCAGTTTTTCCGTTGGGCATTAAATCATTATCATGGGGGAAACATTTAGGGCACCCATGCCAAACACATCCATTAACTTCTATACCATAATTCTCCTCCACAACCCAGCCGTCAAGTTGATAGTTACCAATTTTCTTCTCTCCACCGTCAGAGTTGACATTTTGGACGGTTACACCAAATTTTTCAGAGTACCATTTGAAAAATCGGAGGGCAAGAAGGCTTTGATTACCATCTACTTTATCATAGCCGCGTTCGGGTACGAGTGCCAAATGTTGTTCTTTAAGATGATTTGTTCTAAAATGACGCATACAAGCCGAAGCGATGGTCATTGCCTCACGTAAAACGTCAATTCCTCCATGCGCTTTAACTGATGCAGCCCTTTCTCCAATATTACGTTTCGACACCTCAGAAAATTCTTTTCGAAAAGTAATAAGCGCAGCTATTAAAATTTCGACATCGTTTGTGCAATAACTAGCCAAAGCTTCATCAAGGAGGAAAGGTGTATTTTTGTGATGTTCATACCAAAGATCAAACATTTTCCTCTTTTCAGGCATCATTCCATTGGCGAGGTAGTCTTCCTTTGTTGGATATATTTCTTTACCGTAGTTTTCTGGACGATTGGCCATATGAGGGAAAAATGGTTTGTCTGCAACTTTTAGATCAAATGATCGTACAAGTGAGGCAAGCGGCATTGGCAATAGATTATAGGTGTCACGGAAGATTATACTGTTCTTCTTGTTCTTCATTTTCATTTCATATATTTTATTGCCTTTTTTCAATATCTCTGGTGTCAATCCTTGTTTAACTATTTCTTTTAGAGTGATGACAATATCAAATCTGCCACCAAAATGTGAAAAAGCTAATATGTCGTAATTTTGTGGTAGATCATTTAATATCCAATTTACAAAAGCTGCGAGTGGAGAATTACAAATTATCTTCTGATCAACAGTTGTTTGATTATAGGGTTGATGTGAAAAAGTAATAGTACGATTTTCTCCACAAATTTTACAATTAAAATTTTTCAAACTTTGTTGCCATTTACCGTTTGAAATACAATCAGGACACGAAACCTTTGCTGCAATAAAGTTTGGTTCATGTATTGCAGATAATTGTGTTGTTTCAAAGTCAAAAACAATAATTAAATAAGACTCAAATGGTTTTGGTTCCAAAGGTTTAATATAGCATCCACGTTTTTGATCATGAAATTCATTACATGTATTACAATGTTTTTCATTGCATACATGTCCTTTTCGTCCATTACGAGTGTTGTCATGGACATTCCAAATAACTCCACATTTGTTGCATTTTTTGGAGATTTTACAGAAACCATTAGTTAAATGTTGTTTGTAGCAATCATTATTATTAAAATTTTTAAAACATAATTTACAAAATTTGGAAAAAATATTGTCGGGTTGGCAAGGAAATTGAGGACCGACACGAGAGCAGTTGATGCAGCGTGCTTTACAAGTGATAGAATGATGTTGGGCTTTATTGTAGACACACTTGCAGGAAAGGCAGTAATAAGTTCCAAATAATCTACCATTTTTCTTTACAGCATAAAAATGCTTTTCAGCATCATTATAATAAAGAAGAATTGGTGTGTCGTAATCTTCAGGTCCATATTCAAATTCGGGTTTATAATTGCCACGTTCACCGAATATAAAAACTTTAACAATACATTGATTTTTACAGTTAACGTTATTCCATTGATCAACTACACGTGGAATCCATTCATCAGCGTCGTATTCATTCAATCCAATTTAAGCCCCAACCTGATTCATTATTTCATATGTATCATTTTCAAAACGGCCAGACATTCCTTTTAGATTGTTAATGTAGTAAAAAAATTTTAAACGTGGCCAGTTGCATATATTTTGTATAATTGAAGCAATTAAGGCGAAAAATAGACAATGATTCATATTGTCAGGATTATTAAATTTTATCAGTGACCCTTTATTAATTTGATGTCGCACTTTTGGAATTTTACGAGCTGCACCACCAACAAGACGTCGTTTTTTGAATGAAATTTTATTTATTGTTGTTACAGTTATAGAAAATGGTGCGCCCCATAGAGTTAATTCGTCTTGCTTTTTACTTTGAGCGATGTGTTGACACCGGTTAAGCATGGCGTCAACAGTGTTATTTGATATATTGCTGAAAAATTAATTATTTTTTTCTAAAAATAAAAAAGTACCTGAAAGGAACCCAGATATCATATTCTAAAAAGTCACTGGTTAACGTACAAGCTAATTGTTGGGGTTCAACATTATTTCCCTTAGCATGTTCCATAGCTTCATCAACACAAAATTGGAAAATTCCTGAAATTGGTAATTTATTGAAAATAAGTTTTTAATTACCAGAGAGAAGAGACTCGGCATCGGCAGGAACATCCTTGATCATAAACTTTGAATACGTTTTTGTAACATTAAATTTTGAATTGTGCCATATTGAATCGTTTAATCGTTCAACATAACGTTCAGCATTGTAGCCACTTCCCTGTTGTAATCCTAGAAGATTAGCAATAAAGAAGTTTCGAGAATTTTTTGAAAGTTGTTGCATTTTAATAAAATAATTTTTAGTAAGTTTTCAGTAACCTTTAACTGAATTACAAAAAAAAATATTATTGTAACAATGATATAAATTTAAAAAATGGCCGCTTTTATATGCAAAATCCTATACCAAATTCTAATTTGACATTATTATCGGAAGATTAATTAATTATGCGCGTTTCAATAATTCAATAATCAATTATCATGCATGTCAAAAAATAAGAACAAAAAAAATTTAAAATTTTTAATTAAATATGCATGTATTTCAAAAATAGTAAATAAAACTTTAAATTACTAATTAAATAAGTATTTATGTCAAATAATAAAAGTAAATTAAAATATTTAATTAAATATGCTTGCATAATGCATGCAAATTATAAAAGATCAAAATACAATAAAATTCAAAAATCCAATTAAATATCCACAAGTAATAAAAATCAAAAATAAATTAATATTTTTTTAATAAATACGCACCAATCCATAAAAGATAAAAATTCAAACATCTTAATTAAATATGCAAACTTCAAAATGATTAGCTTTAAGAATAAAAAAATTGAATTAAATAAAATCTTTATTAGGCAATATGCCAAATCTATTTTATATAAATGAGAAAAAAGTGATAAAAATTAAAATGAGATATGGTGTAGTAGTTATTAATAATATTGAGCACGCGATAAATGATTAAGATACGTGAATTTTTCGAGAAAATTTTTAGGAAAATATTGAAATAATAATTTAAACAATGTTGGACAAAAATTTTAAAAATATATCGAAAAATTTTTCGAAAAGATAATATTTCGAAAAATAACTTCAACTAAATTAAACTTCAACTAAATAACTAATTATTTTCATAAAACTAAATTATATAAATTATTTAAATGATATAATATTTTTAAAAATGAACCCTTTTATAGACTAGCCCCTACACCAATTTTTTATGTTGTTTTAGTTTTAAGTAATTAATTATGCACGCATATCGTAAAAAGATCAAAAGAGAATTCAAATTTTTAATTAAATATGCATGCAGCCAAAAAAAAGATCAAAGGATTTTTTAAAAATCTAATTAAATATGCAAACATTATAAATCATTAAATGAAATTCGGCAAATCTAATTAAATATGCATGCTTTTAATAAAAAGATCAAAAGATTTTTTAAAAATGTAATTTAATATGCAACCTTTTTAAAATAATAAAATTAGGCAAATCTAATTTAATATGCATGCATCTAAAAAAGATCAAAGGGTTATTTTAAAATCTAATTTAATATGCAAACATTAATAAAATAATAAAATGGCAAATCTAATTAAATATGTATGCATCTAATAAAAAGATCAAAGGATTTTTAAAAAATCTAATTTAATATGCAAATCTAATTAAATATGCAACAAATTAGTAAAAAGATCAAAGGATTTTTGCAATAAATCTAATTTATTATGCAAATATGTCTAAATCTTAAAAATACAATTAAGAAATATAAATGGTGAAATAAAAATAGAAAAAACTTGCCCATCTATTTCGAAAATAAATTATTAGGGACCATCTTATTTGTAACAAATTTGATTTTTTATTAAAAATTTTAAAAAATTTTAGTTCATTGGCGTGATGATGATTAATAATGTGAATCATAAACAAATGTGAATCATAAAACTTTTAAGTAGAACAATCAACCCGGTTCATGGGCTAGACCGTTTCGACAAGCGAAGTCGTAATATAACTTTCTCATGGGTTTTGTTAGGAATGGTATAAAAGACCTCGATTTGTGTAATCTTTAACCAAAATGTTTATCATAATATTATTCTTATTATTTTCCCTTGCTTCCTCTTCAAATTTATCTCTAGTAAATGATCCCAGATGGCAAGATATGTGGAAACAAGAGCCCTGTAGATGTCCAAAATATTTATTGAATCTACCTTTTAACGTTACAGGACCTATACCAGGAAGGTGTGAGTGTCCAATACATTTATTAAAATCATCCAGAGCGAATGCTGAAGACTTTGAATTTTATAGATTAACACCGTTTCGCCGCTATGGTATAAAAAGATACAACGATAGTTTACAAATAAATGAATTGAACGAAAATATTACTATTGCAACAATCCCTCATGTAGTAAATTACTCTACCAGTTTTAATTATCTAATATATTCAAAATGGTGGTTTATACCGTATTTGTTCACTTTTACATAAAAAATGAGGAAAAACATTTTAGTTCACGTCTAATAATCTTGAGGTAGCATAAAATGAGACAGAATGGGAAATCTCCAAAAATATCTTTTATTTTTTAATTTTATTTTTATTTTATTTATCTTTAACTTATTATTTTTTAAAAAATTTTATATTTTTATCAATTTTAAAAATTAAAAATTTTATTTTTAAGAATTAAAAAATTTTAAATTTTTACTCTTATTTTTAGTATTCCTTTTTGGGAATTAAAGCAAAAAAAATTTTTTTTCCGTAATAAATTTAAAAAAATGATTGATTTTGATTTTTATATTCAATTTTTTTAGGTTTTTCTAATAAAAATTTAACTTTTATTTGTCCATATCCCTTTATTGGTATAAAAAACTTTTTTTTTAATTGGTTGTTTATACTTTTTTAAAAGATATTTTCGAATTTTTTACTATTAAACATTTAGCTTTTAGTATTTCAAGTTGTTTGAGGAAGCGAAACCGAAAATATTTAATGAATTGATTTTTAAAAAACCTTAATTGGTTGATTGATTGATTTTGCTATAAAACCTTAATTGATTTTTTTTTTGAATAAGATTTTCTTGAAAAATTTTTTTTTAATTTTTGAAATTATTTAGAAAATATTCTCATTTATTCAAACCATTTCTCAAAATATTTTGTATTTGTTTTCGATGAATTAATTATAAGAGTAGCGACGCCATCTTAAAAAAGAGAAGCGACGCCATTTTAAAAAAGAGAAGCGACGCTCTTTTTAAATTTGACAAATTTAATATGCATGCATGTTAAAAATATTTTAAAAGCTTTAAAAAGCAAAAAATTGCAATAAAAATGTTCCTCTGTAGCTTAGCAGGTAGCGGTTTTGATTCGTAATATTCATTAGTTGTCACGGTTCGAGAATGTTTAGGGATAATTTTTAATATTAAAAGTCCAAAATATTCACAAATAAAATTAGGTATTTTCAACCAGTTAAGAGTTTAATCAACTGAAAAACGTGTCAATATTCACACATTAAGTACATCAAAAATAGAGTTAGAGATGTGAACTTTCATACCTTGGATGATCAAAGTGTTTAAAGGTGTGAAAATTAACACCTTAAGATTGTCAAATTTTGTTTCTCGGACCCTTCCCCCGACACCCTTAAACAAATTGATTTAGTCGTCAGGATCAAAGGAAAAAAAGGTGTGATATTTCACACCTTGACGATTTACCGCACTCCTAGTGCGGTAATTTGGTTTCGTCGGACCCCTCCCCCATACCTTGGATGATCAAAGTGTTTAAAGGTGTGAAAATTAACACCTTAAGATTGTCAAATTTTGTTTCTCGGACCCTTCCCCCGACACTTTTGAACAAACTGATTTTGTCGGCAAGATCAAAGGAAATCCCCTTGTGTTTTGCGGACCCCTCTCCCAACACTTTGGAGCAAATTGGTTTTGTCGGCGAGATAAAAGAAAAAAAAGGTGTGAATTTTCGCACCTTGAGGATTTGTCGGCAAGATCAAAGGGGAAACAATTTGGGATTGCGGGAAAGATCAAAGGGGAAACAATTTGGGATTGCGGAAAGATCAAAGGGGAAACAATTTGGGATTTTAACAAGCGGCAAGATCAAAGGGAAAACAATTTGGGATTTTTACACGCGGCAAGATCAAAGGGGAAACAATTTGGGATTTGTCGGCAAGATCAAAAGGGAAACAATTTGGGATTGCGGGAAAGCGGCAAGATCAAAGGGCCCCATCCAAATCCTTTTGGAAAGTCCCCTAAAATCCATTGACTCCGCCCCCAACCCCTTCAAATCCTTTAAGAAATTTTGCGGACCCCTCCCACACCTTTAGGAATGTGCGGTAAACGGGGAAACAAAGTGGGGTGGTTAACTACTGTCAAGTTGAGAAAAAAAAAGCCGGGTCGAATTTTCAAAATTTTCTTCAAAAATTCTTTTTAAAAATCAATTTATAGTCGAGAATAAAAATTAAAAAAAAAGAAAATAAAAAATTAAAAAAATAAAAAAACCCTTCATTGAGAAAATGAAAAAAAATCAAAAAAATTTTACAAAAAAAACATGTTTAGTAAAAAATTTAAAAAATAACCCCCGAGAAAATAAAAAAATTTTTTATTAAAAAATTGATCACCTACCTCCAAGTATGAGGTCTAAATCCATAACAATTGCAAATTGCCATTCGCGAACAGGGTTGCCCAACCTTATTAGGAAAAAAATTATTAAAAAAATAATTTGTGAGATTATTTTGTTGGATAAAACGACTGAACACCCATTCCAGAAATCTGCAAAAGCTTTGGATGGGACATTGATCCTGAAAGCTCTCTCTTATGTAAAGGTTTCTCAGTCATTCCATTTCCCAATAAACGTAATAATTTTTGCTTTATTTGTCACGATAGGAGGGGGAATACCCCCTTTTCTAATCCATTTTTAATTGAAAAAAAGTGAATCCAGTAAATAAATTTTTTTTTCAAAACTATATATAAAATTTAAGTACCTCAACATCAATAACATGTGCCATTTTTTGATCAAAACGTTTTGTAGTTGAAATTAATGCTGCTCGGTTATTGTTGTTGACAAAACCTCCACTACCACTAACTACACTTTTAACGTTGTTACCTCCACTATTAGTGCTGCTAGAACGTATACGATTTGTTGTTGAATTGTGGTTGTTGTTAGTTGGTAGAGGATTAATATTAGAGGAAGTTGAAGAAGAAAAAGAATTAATTCCAGTAACAAACTTTAAAAGAAAAAATTTTTTAAATTTTTTTAAAAAGATTTCCGAAAAAAAAATAAATTTAAAAATTCCAACTAATTTAAAGAAACGTTTTAATCAAAGTCACATATCTCATTCTTAAGTAGACCCTTGAGGCTGATATTTTATTTAAGAAAGATAGTGAAGAATGAACGTAGAGACGTTCCATAAATTTAAACTTAGTAGGGAGGGATATTTACTTAGAAACTTAATAAATTAGGATAGCAACCCGATGGCGGGTGTGTTGGAGATCGGGGTTTGCCGGGGAGGTCGGAAAATATCCGAAAAATCAAAAATTCATAGTAAAAATAATTTGAATTTTTAAAATTATCTAAATATCTTTGGGTATCCAAAAATATATGGCAAAAATAAATAACAAAATATATAGACAATGTTTCCATTTTATTTTTTTGGCAATTTTATAAAATGGAAAGAGGACATTTATAAAAATTTAATTTAAACAAACAAAAACGTCAAGAGTTAAGGGGGAGAAAATGCGCGCACAAAAAAAAGCTTTCCGGTAAATTAGCTTTATTGCAAAATGCCTTTGAGGAGAATTGAGAGAAGAGAGGAGGCGGCAGATTAAAAGAGGGGGGAATTAATCCAGAAGATCGAGAACCAAAAGATTAAGGTGTCTAAATGTCAGAGTCAAAATGTAAAAAAGTCAAAGGGGCGAATGCCAATAAGTCGAAATGAAAAAAAAATTAGAATGCCATGGATAGAAAGTGTCAAAGAGTCAAAAAGTCAAAGCATCAGAAAATCAAAATGCCAAAAAGTCAAAATTCCATAAACTTTAAAATTTCAAAAAATTCAAAAAATCTTATTAATATGTTAATCTTTCTGAAAAACCCACCAAAAATGATGTAGTAAATGATGAATTTAAAAATAAATGAAAAGAATATGTTGCAAGACCTCTAGGGAGGAAAAAATAAAGGAAGGAAATCATAAATTTCAAGAATTAATGATAACATTTTTAAAAGGCTTGACGTTCAAAGATTAGAAGAAGAGAAAGATAAGAAATTTAAATTATATATTTTGAATGGGGACCGGAAGGGGACAAGAAAAACAAAGAATTTTTAAGAAAAATAAATAAAGGTGAGTAAATAGAATCGATGATTAAAGGAAGATAAGGTGGGATAGATTAAAGGAATATTGTAGTAGTAAATGATTCTGATATAACCGAAGGCCTTTGTTGGTGTTCCGAAGGCCTTTGTTGGTCTTTGATAAAAGCGTCAACTTTAACAACAAAAAGATTAACATTTAACGATGTTTTATGTCCCTGTATAATCCGACTATTGGCACCCGAAAAAATCTCACGGTGATCCGTCGCCAATTTTTATAATTTTTATGAAAAAACGAAGGAAAATAAGGGAAGATAAACTCAATAGAGTTCCAAAATTGAAAAAAAATTTTTTTCAATTTTCAAGTTATTTTTAAATATCCTCCCCCCTCCCTAGCTTTTACAAGTGCAGAAAAAATTTATTTTTTAAATAAGATTTTCTAAATCTTCTAACTCAATAAATTTTATTTTTTTTTATTTATTTACTTAATGCTGCTCTCCCACTCAGCTGTGGGCAGTTTTATTTATAAAGGGGATATAAATAAAGAAAAGAAAATCTGGAAGAAGAAAAAAAAAGATTTGTTGGAAAATTAGAGTATATACCAAAAATTTCTAAAAAATTTTTGAAAATATAAAAAAAATTTGAAAAATTTCCTAAAAAATTGTTGAAAAAATTTCAAAAAAATTTTCAAAAATTTGAAAATTTTAGAAAAAACTTTCTGAGTATGACAAAATTTTTTGAAAATTTCCTAAAAAATCTAAAAAATTTCCTTTAAAAACCCCACAAAAAATACTCTTAAAAATCCAAATAAAAACGAAAGGATATATTCAGGCAACAACTGCCAAAATTTATGTTCTAATAAGCTTTTCTCTCACTCTCAATTTGCTTTACCCCCTTTCTAGCCCATATTTCTTCCAGCAGCGCCCCCCCCCCCTCTCGCCTTTATTGTGTGCCAAAACCAAATTTTGGCACAAAATTTTGTAAAGAGGGCCAAAAGAGAGTATTAATTCCAAAAACACAAAAGATCAACAGACCTATTTGAGTCTTAGACAGAAAAATTGAAGGTTGGAGAAAGTGAGACTAACCGAAAAACAAGAGGGCCCCAGACTTTTTCTCTTGATATGGATGACAACCAAAAAACACTCCCCTCTTCTAAAACTCATACATATTTTTTTTTAATTTTCTAATACACATATCCAATCTTAAATACACCTCATTTTTATGTAGAATTTTTTCCAGCCTTAAAAAATCGGATTGGCTTATGTTCGAAAGTCTGGGAGTTTTAAGTCTTGGTACCATCCCTAGAGTGAAAAAAATCGAGGTCCTGTCTGTTTGTAATTATCAAAAAGCTCTTAATTCCCCTGAATCAACATTTAATCATCAATTAAAAGGGGAAATTTAAAATTTTTCAAACCCCCTCCCCCCTAAACCAACAAAATCCAGACTCAAATACCAACAAGTAGGTGTGATCTTTTGGAATTAACCTTTTTTCCCCTCTTCCAAAACTCTCCAAAACACAAATAAAATTTTAAAAAAGAGACGAAAAGAAAGTTTATTAGATAAAAATGAAGAAAAGAAAGGGGAACGGATTTTTTGGAAAAAAATTTTTTTAAGAGAGGGAAAAAAAGACTTCGATTTTTTTTGGAAAAAGCTTTAAAAAAAAGGAAAATAATAATAATAATGTACTTCTTCTTTCCCTCTCTTTTCTTCCTTAAAGCCTGGACGATTCATGCTTGCATAGCTGTGAATAAATAAGAGAGAAGGGGGAAGAATAAAATAGTAGAAGTGTGGCGTTGACAGCCGAAAAAACTGAAAAAAAATGAAGGGAACAATAAAAGGGGGATTTTGGGGATTTATTAAGAGAGAGATAAGGGACAGAAAAAAAGATTTTTCAAAGTTGGAAAATTAATTTAAAAAATTAAAAAAAAAATTTTTAATTTAAAAATAAAAAGAATTATGTCCCTAAAAAGTCGTGAGGAAATAACAAATCCAAAAAAATTCCTAGCTAAAAAATCAGAAAAATAAAGCAACCTCCCTCTTATTTTTCTCCTAAAAATTCCCTTCCACTTCCTTTGCATAAATTCACTTTTCTATCCCTAGTCTGACCATTATGAACCTTTTGAAAGAAGTTTTGGAAAAAATATACAAAAGGAAAAAGCACAAACTAAACTTTAATCAGTGGGGGTATAAAGGAAATCCCAACATAAAGACACAGAATATAAATTCCTAGCTAAAAACAGAAAACCAAAAATCACCCTTCTCAAGGGATAGAAAAAAAATTTAAATCCTTTAAATAATTTTTAAAATATTTTTTTCACAACCAGAAAAAGATTTCCAAAAATATATACAAATTTTTAAAAATTAGATTAGACATAAAATAAAAAATTTTTCAAAAAAAAAAGAAAAGAGAGAGATAAACACACAATAATTTTCCCCATTTTTATAAAAATTAAATTTCAAAAAAAAATTTTTTTCTGTTTGTATAGATTGGCATGTTTGGAATGTGTTTGTTGTTTATTAAAAAAAGAAAAATCCTTTTGAGGGCCAAAAAAATTTTTTTTTATTTTGTTAAAAAATGAAAAGCCAATTTCTTTCCCTTTCCCCTCCCCCCCCTCTCCCTCTCTTGCACTCATTCAATCAACCACCCCATCATCAGTTGGTGGTTAGGGTTAATTTCTCTAGGGAGGATAATAATGAGAAGAAAGGGATATTTGGTTAGGAGAGGAATAAAGCCGTTTTAATGATGAACGTTTTTTTTGTGGTTAGACTTGGGGAAAATAAAAAAAAATTTTTTTTGACGCGTCAAAAATTAGAAAAAATGAGAAGACAATTAAGAATAAAAAATTTTGTAAAATAATTTTAAAGAGAATGGAGGAGCTGTAGATTTAGAGATATGGAGCAGGCCGTAGTCAGGAGGAGGGTAGGGGATCCTGGCTACGGCCCCCTTGAAAAAAATTCTAGCTACACCCTGTAGAGAATCTGTAAAAGGAAAGAGAAAGATGGATGAAGATAAGGAAAGAAAATGAAGAGCAAGGATGAAAACAGGAAAAAAAATGAAGGAAGGAACGGAAGGTAATGTGAAGAATTGTTGAATAGAAAGGAAGAATGACGACAAGGAAGGGTGAAAGAAGAAAGGGAATGATGAAAAAAAGAGAAAAAATATGAAGGAAGATTAAAGAGAAGACACTTAAATCCCTTAAAAAGTGAATGAGGGAAATTTAACCTATCCTTAAAGTACCCAACTTTGACCAGTTTTTGTCCTTAAAAACCCTTAAAAATAAAAGAAAAACCTTTGATAACGGATGCCACCAACGTGTATTTGTTGCTGTAGTTGCCGTCTTTCTACTTTCGTGCTGCGAGGGAGTTGAAGAAGGAATTTGTAACGCATAACCAAGCGTTCTCCCTCGATTTCCAGAAGAAATATTGTTTATTGGTTGTCTAACATTTAATGGAGTGAAACGTGCCTTAAAAAGAAAATGTTTGATTAATGACAAGGAAAGGTAGTAGATGAGGGAACAGATGGGGGAAGTAATCGCCGGCTCCGATAAAAAATTTTTACAAAAAAAACTCCCCTAAAACTGTAATTACTTTGTGCCAGTGTCCAGTTTATGCGGTGAATAGTAGCTGCAGAGCAGGGATGTCCATGGTTAAAACTCGACCCGATACATGAACTTATTTCGACCCGAACTCAGGAACCAGTCCCAAATAAACTTTGGAAAACCGACCATGAACCTGACCAAACTTTCTCTCACCCTGGTCCAAGATTGGGTTTCTAAAAAATGTTATAGAAACCCCTTAACCTAAGAAAAGAGAAAATGTCTCCCCGGAACACCCAAATCTTAAAAAACTTTCAAAAATCCAAATTCACTCACCGGCCTAGAAGACGATCTCTGTTGCTGATTTTGTGAAGTAAACCCAGCAGCTGCCCTAGCCAAAATACTAGCTTCAATTGCCTGTGTTTTATTTTGTATTCTTCCTCTTCTTTCATTTTCTGAAGGATTTTTTGTTGTTCCCAATACTGAGGAAGCCGAGAATGAAGGACGGCGAACAATTTGGGGTGGTTGATTGATAACTGCTGAGGGCTGAACAACTTTTGAGCGGCAATATTCAACTAGAGCGCCTTCTTCTTTTTCCAATACAGAATTGCTGTCATTGCCAATGTCTGCATACTTGAAATATTTTAATTAGTTTGAGTAAGCCAGACCAAGTATTTGGTCTAACAATTTTACTGCAAACTTTTGGGGAGGATCTCTATAGGAAAGGACCTACAGGGAGAGAGGAGAGGTATAGGCCATACAGGAGAGGAAACAACTTCGATAATCCGGCATATTTTTCTATGTGGAGTCTAGAGATCGAACTGGGTCTGGACCAAGGCCTGGGTTTTCCCTGTACCCAGAGCCAAACATTTTTTGACCTTACTGGTTTTTCCTGGACTACAAGCCCAGAATCTTGCCCAAGTCAATAAATCAAACCCAGGATCCGGCCCGGACTTTTCAAAAATCTCGATCACTAGTGGAGTTATTCTAACCTCAAAAGACCAAGTACAAATAAGTTAAAGGATATTTCCAGAAAGAGATCGGACCGACGACAACCTCGTTTATCAAGATAGCTCGTACAACACTCCCAGTCCGGTCTCTAGTCCTTGCCATCAGGTCTCGAACCTCCCAGTAAATTTAAAAAATAAAGGAGGGTGAACAAAAAGCTCCACAAAAAACTGAACACAAACCCCAAAAGAAACGACCAAATACTTGGAAAAATAAACCTGTTATACTTACTCTTGGATCATCAGTTACATCTTCTATTCGAAAAATTCCACTAGTATAAGGTTGTTGTTCTCTTTCAGTAGAAGTGGTTGTTGAAGAGCTTGTTGTTCTTTGATTGTAAGACATTCCATTTTCGTTTTTGTAGGGGTGAATAGTTGCGATCATTGCCATTATTTTTTGGCCTCTAAAAATTTTGGGAAATTTTTCGGAGAAAAAATTTTTGAAAAATAAATTCTAAAACATTTCGACAGGCCATTTGGGTGCCAAAATTTAGTGTCTCCCACTAAAAATAATCTGTCGTTTGGGTGCCAAGACTGAGTGCTCCGTAAAAATCCTCTAAAAATCCTCTAAGAATCCTTCCAAATTTAATTCTCAACGAAAAAAAAAATTTTTTTCTTAAAATCAAAATGGAGGAAAGAACAAAACTTTTTCTTTCTTCAAAATGTGAAAATGAAAAAAGAAATTTTGAAAACCAATAATTTTGGGTAAATTGTTTGTGTGTGGACGACGTAAACATTAAATGCGCGGTCTATTCTCTTTATTTGATTGATTTGGAAAAAAAACTTTTTTTTCTCGCAGTCTCAATATCAGTTTTATATCAACAACAACACAAATTTGCTAAACACTAAAATTATTAAAAAGGTGACAAAAGAGAGAGAGGGGTAGAAGAGCTGTTTAAAAAGGAGGGTTGCACGAGGTCGAGGCCTCGCCGAGGTCTTCGTCCATTTTGCAATCTCGGTCTCGGATTGACCGACCTCGGGTCTCAGCACCTCTGTTTCGGCTTTTCCAGCCTCGGTGATCCTCGGTCTCGCCTCGACCTTGTGCAACTCTATTTAAAAGAGAGAGATATAATAACCAAAAACAAAACAAATTAATTGCCTTCCTTCCCTTTTTTCAATAAAAATCAAAAGCTTCCAAAATCGTCCTTGTCAATTAACAATAAAGAAGGGAGAACAATAAAAAGTGGAAAGATTTAAAAAATATCTGCAAAAATGATAATCTGTTCCGCTATTTTTATTGTTTTTTTGACAGATCAAAAACGGCTTTAATGACCTCCGCAAATTTGTTGATAGAGGAAATGTAGAAAGATTATTTTTGGAAATATAAAACATATAAAAAATCAGAACAATCAGAAAAAAAAAGAAATTTAAAAAATCAGAAAAGATTTTGAGTTCGATACTAAGCACGGAGTGAATTTTTTAATGTGAACTGAAACGTGGCGCGAACTTTGCGGACCCGAATCTTGCGGACACGAACTTTGCGGACCCGAAATTTGCGGACCTGATTTTTGCGGAATCAAGATTTTAGGACCGACACTTGAGTAAAATTAAAAAATTAAAAATTTTACTTTTCGATGATTCCGGCAGAATTTACCATGACCGTACCGGACTCATGATTTTTTCTTGATTTTTCAAAATTTTTATCAATTTCTTATTAGAATAAATCATCATTAATTTATAAAAACCAGAACAGTATGGAATTAATATCATAACAGATCAGAACAACTACCAGAATTAACATCAGAAAAAGGAATGAACTAATTTGAAAAAATCAGAACTGATACCAAAACAAAACAGAATTAATTTTTAAAAAATAAGAACAAATACCCGAATTAATATCAGAATTAATTCCAGAAAAAATCAGAATTATTTTTAGATTTTAATCAGAATTATTGTGTAAAAAATCAGAATTATTCAGAACAAATAACAGAAAAATCAGAATAAATTTTAAACTTAATTTCAGAGCGAATCAGAATTAAATTAAGAAAAATCAGAATTAATATCAGAACAACACTAGAATCAATACCAGAAAAAGTCTTTTTTAAATCAGAATTAATTTCAGAATAGATCAGAATTAATCAGAAAAAGTACCAAAATAACCAGAATTAATTTCTAAAATCAGAATTAATATCAGAATAAATCAGAATTAGTTTGTAAAAAATCAGAACACTATAATAAATACCAGAAAAAGTCTTAGTTAAATCAGAATTAATTTCAGAACAATTACCAATAAAATCAGAATAAAACTTTTTAAATATTTAAAACAAATTTTAACCAGAATTTAAATTTTGAAGAACAAAAAAGTGTTCCGTTACACAATAAAATTAATAAAAATAAAAATTGAAGGGAGGGGGGGGGGGAATTCGCCGACAAACAAAATAAAAATGTAAACAAAACAGTATAATGAATAATTTATTTTCTTAAATAAATATTTATATAAACTGGTGATTAGAACAGGTCGCGCAGCGTCAAAATTTAATCAGAAAACTGAGTTAGATTACGTGGGTAAAAATTAATAATAATAAAATAATGGGAGTAAAGAGCAATACAAATTAATATTTTATTTGTGTATTTTTCCTCCTATTTATTTTTCGATTTATTTTTTTCTTCCCAGAAATCCCCCCCTATTTTTATTTTTAAAAAATCCCCCAAAAAATTCCACAAAAATTCCCCCCAAAATTTTTAATTTGTCACTTAATTTGTCACTAAAACCTACTCATTTAAATTTCAATAATGACTCATTTCTGACAATAAAAGAGAATAAATACGAGGAAAAATTAAATAAAAAATAAAAATCTGACAAAATTAAATTTTTAAATTTATTTCCACCCACTCTTTCGCTAAATGTCTTTTGTCTTTATGCTGAACTACATTTTGTATTATTTTACCCGTGGTACCGTTATATCGAGTACCCTTTTGTCTTAATTTACCCGTTGTATTATTTTGACGCGCGCGGTCAAAAATAAACATCGTGTCCGGACAAAATATCGAATCGTTAAAATATGGAATAGGCTAAAAAAGGGTTAAAATCTCGAATCGGGTAAAAATGGGTTAAAATCGCGAATAGGCTAAAAAGGGGTCAAAATGTGGAATCGTTAAAATATGGAATGGTTAAAATCGCGAATAGGCTAAAAAGGGGTTAAAATACCGAATCGTTAAAATATCGAATTGATAAAATGTCGACACGGCCAAAATTGGTCAAAATGTCGAATTTTTTAAAAATGGCGCCAAAACTAGAATCCGGACGGTACCGTAATACCGACGGTATTTTTCGGTATTCCGTGTCGGTTTTACGGTACGGAATGCCTACCGATAAAATTTAAAAGCTGATCGGTGTTTTTCGGTATTCCATACCGTATACGGTAAGGTCAAACTTTAAGTCTTAACTAAAAACTAATGCACACCACTATAATTTTTCCATATCAGGATCGCGTTATGTTTTCCGGATCCGTACGATCATGCCGGACCGGATCCGGTGTCGATTATGCTTGATTTATCCGGTCCGGTTTTACTCCGTAAAATACACTGAACTCGGGCAGAAAAGATTACGCCGGACTATGACATACGAGACTTATCAATCAACTTATCATCAATAAGTTGATAAGTTGAATCAATAATCAATGTATGGCACTCATCTGACCCTTTTTTAAAAGAATTCGACATTTTGACCAATTTTGGCCGTGTCGACATTTTTACTATTCCATATTTTAACGATTCCATATTTTAACCCTTTTTTACCCGTTTCGATATTTTAACCATTCCATATTTTAACGATTCGGTATTTTAACCCCTTTTTAGCCTATTCGCGATTTTAACCATTCCATATTTTAACGATTCCATATTTTGTACCGGAGCCATAAACATACACTGTCTCTCTTATAAAATAGTAGTCTCTAACACTTCTCTTTCTATATTTTGTTACGTGTCCGGTTAACTCATCTATTCGTTAACTCATCTACACGGCCAAAAACGTTCAACTCATCTAAACGGCTAAAATTCCTTAACTCATCTACACGTCCAAAAAGGGTCAACTCATCTAATCGTTAACTCATCTATTCGTTAACTCATCTACACGGCCAAAAAGGGTCAACTCATCCAATCATCAACTCATCTAATCCTTAACTCATCTACACGGCCAAAAACGCTCAACTCATCCAATCCTTTGGAACGAGACTATTGAGTACCAGTCGTTTGAGTCTCTCGCCGTCTGAGTCTCTGGTAAGTAGGGTCCATGGCCGTTTGAGTCTCTGGTAAGTAGGGTCCATGGCCGTTTGAGTCTCTGGTAAGTAGGGTCCATGGCCGTTTGAGTCTCTGGTAAGTAGGGTCCATGGCCAGTTGAGTCCATGACCAGTTGAGTCCATGACCAGTTGAGTCCATGGCCAGTTGAGTCCATGGCCAGTTGAGTCCATGACCAGTTGAGTCCATGACCAGTTGAGTCCATGACCAGTTGAGTCCATGGCCAGTTGAGTCTCTAGCCGGTTAAGTCCCTGGCCAGTTGAGTCCCGGCCGTTTGAGTGGTTGATTACCGCCGGTTGAGTCTTGGGCCGGTTGAGACTCAACTGACCAGGGACTCAACCGGCCGATATTTCAAGGATTGGATGAGTTGAGCGTTTTTGGCCGTGTAGATGAGTTAACGAATAGATGAGTTAACGATTAGATGAGTTGACCCATTTTGGCCGTGTAGATGAGTTAACGAATAGATGAGTTAACGATTAGATGAGTTGACCCTTTTTGGACGTGTAGATGAGTTAACGAATAGATGAGTTAACGATTAGATGAGTTGTATAGGAGCCTTTTGTTAAAACAAAAGCTTCCACAAAAGAAGACAGTTGAGTCTTAATTTAGAGTCTATTGCTTTATACTCTAAAAATGAGACTCAATTAATCCTTTACGATCACTCAACGTTTTGCAGAGACAATAAACATCTGCTCTTTTTCCAGCGATTTTAAGTAATTTTTTTATTTGTTTTGTTGGACATAGCTAATTGTACAGTTTTCTTTTCTTTGTTCTTTTGTTAATTTTTTATGTTTATTTTAGATATCTCAACATTTGTACATAAAAATAAATTTATTTGAAAAAACCGTTTGGGCAGTTAATTGAAAATAAAATGACTCGTAAGACTTTTCTTTGAATAAATCTTATATTTTCTAATCGTTTAAGGTGGTAACCAGCGTGAATTGGCCCGTGAGAAGAACAAAAAGAAAATGGAACAATTGAAGAAGAGTCAAGGAAAGAGCGGGGTAATATTTGAAGGGTTTTAGAAAATATGGAATGAGTGGTGTAGTTGGTTGGGTTTGGGTTATGACTGGAAGGGGTCGCGGGTTCGAACCCCACTGGTGATAAACTTTTATTTTTTGAAAAAATGGAATCCTTTGATGAATACTGAAGCATATGGGGTTAAAAAATATTTTCAAAAATTTAAAAAGACTAATAAAAGTTGAAAATTTAGGATGTCTCAACCGAGAAGAGGATGGAAACGGATGCCGGTTTGCTTAAACCTTTCTTTAATTATTTAAAAAATTGTATTTCTAGAAAAGATGCGCGAAAAGCAACGGAAAGCAGCCGAGAAAAAAGCTGCTGATGAAGCTGCCGCTGCTCAACAACAATCCAAAGTTGTGAAGGTGGATCCGTTGACGATGAAGGAATAGGGAGAAAAATTTGAGGATATTGCAAAAAGGAAGAAATGATGGAAAGATAAAAGTTTTATTTAATTTTTAATTATTTTGTGCTGATCATAGGGGGCCCAGTATATATAATTAGGGCCTTTCTCATTTAACCCAAAATTCAAAAAATCTTTTCTGTAGCCTTCCCTAAAATAATTTAAGAATGATTTTTAGCTATTTATAAATCTTAAATTAGGGAAAATTTAGGTTTGAGAATAGTTGCCAATTGAATTGAGAAACAATAATTAATGAATTATTAGCCAAATATCTCCTTAATCAACTTAACACTAAGGAAACAAATTTATGAGTGCCAAATGGATATTTATGCAATTCGAATGGAATCTGCAGAACTGTCTTCTTTGTTGAAGGATCATCTATACCTCGCAGCACTTTCCATTGCGCTTCTGGTGGAACAGAATCCTTCTTGGTCACTTTGGAAAAGATATTGAGATCTAAAATTCGATTTTAAATCGTTTTAAACTAAAATATTACGAGTATTTGTTGTCGCCTTAAGCTTTGATGTATCCAAAGTTGTAGTAATTTTGACCGACTGCTTAGCTCTGATAAACCCAAACTTAGGAACTGTTTTAAGTAATTCTTCGCTTAAAAAGAAAATTGCTTAAAATTAAGTTAAGCAGACATTACCTTACAAATCCGGAGAACAATTCAAAATATTCAAGGCTGTTCCTGCCAAGTAAAAATTTTAATGTTAACTTAATTTTAAGCAATTTTCTTTTTAAGCGAAGAATTGCTCAAAACCGTTCCTAAGTTTGGGTTTATCAGAGCTAAGCAGTCGGTCAAAATTACTACAACTTTGGATACATCAAAGCTTAAGGCGACAACAAATACTCGTAATATTTTAGTTTAAAACGATTTAAAATCGAATTTTAGATCTCAATATCTTTTCCAAAGTGACCAAGAAGGATTCTGTTCCACCAGAAGCGCAATGGAAAGTGCTGCGAGGTATAGATGATCCTTCGACAAAGAAGACAGTTCTGCAGATTCCATTCGAATTGTATAATCCATTTGGCACAAATAAATTTGTTCCCTTATTGTTAGTTTTAAGTTTATTAAGGAAATATATGGCTAATAATTCATCCATTATTAACGTTTTTCAGTTCAACCTGCAATCATTTTCAAACCTAAATTCGCCTAATTTCAGATCTATAAATATTTTCCTAAAAATCACTCTTCAATTATTTTAGGGAAAGCTATAAGAAGGCTTTTTTTAATTTTAGGCTAAATGAGAAAATATTTCAAATATTTATGTTTCAAAAAATAACCGTGATAAATTTTGAAAAAATATAAATAGATATTCATTTCAAACCATATTTACATCAAATTATAACCTTCGGTGTTGTCGGTAAATGAGAATGAACATGCTGTAACTCATTAACCCCAACCCCCGACTGTTCAACTCTTGTTTTCCAATATTAAATTTTTTTCCTATTTTTAAGAAAAAATTTAAAAAAGTTTTAGAATAATTTTTGCAAAATTAACTTTACTTAATATGCAAAAAATCAATTTATTTATTTAAAAGAAGTACTAAAGAATACAGACCAAAAATAAATTTATTGAAGTGATTATTTAAAAAAAAATTTTAATTTTACTTAATATGCAAAAATTAAATTAGTATTTTATTTAGGCAAATGAATCCAACGATTATGATTCTCTTTCGTAACGCACTCTTAATTTTTGGAACGGGGGATTGCGCTCAATCCCCTTAAATTTTGTTGATATTTTAATAAGCTAAAGGTTTTAGGTGACTATCCCAAATCTCTGATGGGGATTCTTTGCCCAAAAAAATTATTGGAAACTCATCAGTATTCAGAACATATCAGAAAATCAAGATGAATCCTAACCTTAATATTGTTTACTTCTCATTTATTTTGCCATACATTTTCTCATTCTTTCTGGTCTTTTTTAAAAATGTGTAATTTCTCTTGATTAAATTTACGAAACATTTTTTAAAATTTTATTGCCAGCAGAAATCATAGAATTTAAAAACTCGTCATTGTTATGTCCGAAAATTGGCCAAGCTTTGTCCAGGTCCGAAAACAAGAAGAACATATTCACCCAAAGAGAACGTATAATGTAGATGAATCGCACTGGAGCAATCTGAGGATATCAGAGATTATCCAGTCTTGTATGATCAAAAAAAGACTAGCTTTTTTGACACCACGTAAACAACACAAATATTATTTAAGGCAAAAATATCTTTTATTTTTCTTAAAATGATAGTAAACTTTTTTTCAATGAGAGATCACAACCCTCCTCCCCTCAAAAATAAACAAAAAAATATTCCTTTGTTATCCACTTTTAGATCTTCTCATTCTTTTTCGTCCCACTTGTTGGATTCTTAAGGTTTTCCGTTCTTTGAGCCATCAATCCTTGATAGAATCCTTGAAAAGAAAATATTTTTTTAATCATCGTGATTTAAATCCTCTACATCGCAAAATTGATTGGACGCATAAATTTTTAATTGGACGTATATGGAAAGGAGCCAAATAATTCGTAAATAATAAAAAACCAAGGAACGAGTTTAATTTTTTCCCACCCCAAAGTTAGACTGGAAATTCCTCTATATTTTATTTAAACGTTATATCATAAAAGTAACCCCGGACATTCATAAATAATTTTTAATTTATTAAAAATTAAAAAAGAAATTTTCTAACCTGTATGATACCCAGCCATATACCAACTCATCAATGCATTAGTCAATGCCTCTCTATCAGTTCCAGCAGCAGAAACCTTATTAATTAAATAGTCTGGTGGAGGTGGACAAAGATCGGGAATCTATTTAAAAATAATTTTTATTAAATTTAAACTATTTTAAAAAAATATACCGGAAAAATACTCCCAATATTTGCCTTGTTTGTCTTTTCATTATTTTTTGTGGTCGAAGGAGGCTCAAGATCAGTAGTCTTAAATTAAAAAATTTTTATTTTAAATTTATTTAAAATTAAAACCTTGTCATCGCTTTTTTTGCGGTCAGTCTCTTCTTGGTCTGCTTCATCGCTAACCCATTCAACATCCTCCTCCCTAGAAAAATTGAAAAAAATTCGATTAAAAAAAACAAAATTCAGGAAAATTTAACAGAATTCAGAATTCTCGGTATAATTAGTGTCTACTCCCCCTTCTACCCATCTCTTGACCTGTTTTGAATTGAATAGGTAGCATCACACCCTTAGTTTATTTCTTGTTCAAAATTTCATGACCAAAACCCCATTGCCCATCCGCAAAATTTTTTGGCAACTCCCACGTGAGAAAAGGTTTTGTCTCCAACATTTGAATAAGGTTGAAGATTCTTTTCGAATTTTTCTCGACCAGAAAATCCATAAATTAACCCCAACCCCTTTCCCAAAACAAAAAAACTAACGTCATAAGCGAATCCAATTTAACTGTAGCCTTTGTATTGTAACCATCAAAAATAACTAAACAATTTCCTTTAGCAATATTGATCGATTCAATTTTAGCTGGATACCATCTGCCGTCATCCTCATATGGCGCCATACAATGATCACCAATCTTCCACTTTAAAAGGATTTTTTTAATTTAAAATTAAAAAAACAAAAATTTAAACAAGAAAAAACCTTAATTTTTGTCACAGAATTTTTTGAAGTGCTGTTTTTATTGTTAAAATTATTTTGCAATTTTTCCTGAAAAATTTTTTCCTAAATTTTAATTTTAATGAAAAAATGAAACCAAAGCATACATAAGTCTTGGCCGTAGATTTTTCATACATTTTGATCAACTCAGTGTCATCCCAAACTTCATCATGGACACTGACTTCTTTCTGAAAATTATAAAAAATAAGAATTTAGTCTGAAAAATATTTTGGACGAAATGTATGCAGTCGTTTAGCATAGTCTTTTAGCATGACCTCGGACTTTCTTCGACTCAAACCCTATCCGAAGAAAATTGTTAAAACCTATTCGAAATCCGACACGTTTTTCTCAGCCCACTCCTTTTCAACAATTGCTCGAAAATCTGGCTAGAAATTCTTATCGTTCCTTTTAGATTAGTCGAGAAACCTTATACAATTGCATCAAAATAAGTATAAAAAATCATTTACCCTAGTATACAACACAGCACCACTGCTATCCGAAGATGTTGACATTCAGAAAAAAATTTTAAACTAAAAATCAATCAAGTCAATTTTTAATTAATAAACAAAAATATTTAAAATAGGATAATTTTTTTAAAAATTAATTAAATTCCAAAAAATATTTTCAAACTATTTATTTAAGCAAATTAAAATTGCAGAGCTCTAAAACCAAAATATAAAGAATTAGGCCAAATTGAATCAAAATATTTAATTTATTTTTTTTGTTCTTAAAATGTCAACAATATTTTTCTTCATTTCGCATCTTTTTGGCCTTTAAAATCTTCATTCTCTATTCGGTAGTAGTCTTCCCGCAACAACCAAAAGCCGCTTTTCCCCAAATAGCAGCATAATAGAGTGAAACAACGGAAAATGGTATGCTAAAAATTAAAAAAATAGAAAAAAAATTATTTGAATATTTTGAAAGAAAAAAACCCTTAAGAAGGTTTAAAGCTTATTTGGTTACAAAGGGTGGTCAGATATTTAATAAGAATAAAACTAACGTCCAAAGTCCAGAGATTTTGTCAATTTTGTAAAAAGCGACGGTTGTAGCAATTGACAGTCCGGTCAAAATGATGGTGTTTGCAGCAAGCTGAAAATATATTTATTAGTTGAATAAAGACAAATGATGAAAGGACAAGATTAGCTTACAAAAATAGTCGTGGACACGAAAAAATCCAGCTTTTCAAAAAATTACTAGAATCTAAGAAAAATGTCTACATCTACATATTCTTAATTTTGGAGGCTAAACTTAACCAGATTGCTGTATTGAGTCCTGGAAAAATTAAAGTCAATAAAAAATCAAGGAACACTAAAATGCCCTCATCTTAACTCTAGACCCATGAAAAACCAGGGTTTGGATCAGGCCAAGCTCTAACTAGAAATATAAATCAAAAATTTACCCATTTAGCCTTCTTGGTTCGCAATAACGGCACTGCCACAAGTCCAGACGCGATAGTAGCCCCATAAAGTCCAAGAGCAACAGTCGTGTCAGTATAATCAAAACCTAAAATTAAAGGCTAATTTGTGCTTAAAATAATAAATAAACCTCCGCCAATCTTGTAAACCAAATAAGATGCGTAGCCTAAAGTAGCTGCTGCACCAACATTAGCCGCAAGATAAAAGTATTGGCACGATGGAGCGATGCATGAAGACAAACGTTGAGCCTATATTAAAATAAAAATATAGTTTTACAGCAGAGTTGTGAAACCCTTACAGCAAGGATGTGGAATCTATACATGAGGGATGTCACGGCTGAAAAAGAAGCGGGGCTGGGTTTCCAAAAAAGTTTGGGTTTCGGGTGTCTGGTTTGGAATAACCCGCGCTTACAAGTTTTAAATGTTTTTACCTTAATGAAGTTGACCAAATTCTCATTCTTGCTAACACACAAAGAACCGCCAAGAGCAACGCCCGCAGGAACCGCCCCAGATAAAAAAGCGTATCTGGTGTCAAGACTGTTCCATTGAAGTGGCATTTTCTTTTTTCAAGATTTAAATAAAATTTAAAATTTGTCTAAAAATTAAAAAATTTTTAACGATTAGTTCAGAAAAACAAATAAAAACAAAGCACAAACATTATGAAGAAAAAACAACTCAAAGAAAATGAAAAACAAAATTTTTCCCTTACAAACTTTTCTTATTCTCTCTGCCAAACTATTTCCCTCTTTTTAGATATTTGCTTTTATATTAAAATATTTACCAAAATGAAATTTAGCAGTTTAACTCTCCTCTATTTAGCTTTATTTTTGAGTCTGGCTTTACCTTAAATCACTAGTAAATTAATTATTCAGACTCGACAGTCAGCTTCCAGAACTTTCAAAGTTTTGATTACTGTAGAACTTTTTTCTCTCCTCCCATATAAAATTTTTTTTAGAATTTTTTCGAAAATTTTTAAGAATTTTGTTCGTATTTTTTGTAATTTATCCATGATTTTAGGTTAATATTTTAAATTCTAATGTCAACTAATCATTACTTCCTCAACTCTTTTTCAAATAACAACTTGGGTCAAAATCATTTTTCAACCATTTTTGAGCGAATCTCTGTTGATTCTAATAATGGAAATCATCGTATGAACACTGAAGTTCTTGATAAGACGATTGCTTTGATGAATGTTACATCGCAGAAGTTGAAACAGTTTGTTTTTTAAATGTTTCTTTTTGTTAGGCATAGTTAATCTGGGCTTATGTAAGCCTGGTGTTCGTTAATTCAACATAAAGTTTCCCAGGGGGATTGTTTTAGCGTATTTTCTCTAAAAGTTTCCAAAACTATAATCAGTTTCACGGTTTTTTCTCTTTCGTCTACTAGCTATATTCCTTTCGTGTCCACAAATCTTACAATTAAAATCTTTTGATTTTTCATATTTTTAGTGCTGTCTTCGAAACAAGCAAATTAATGATTGGCGAAGATGCTAGAGGAATTGCAAAAACCAATCCTGTGGAGAACAACAAAGGAGGACAACAAAAAACTTCTCTGTTCAAGACTGAAATGTGCTACAACTTCCAGCGTTCCGGTGGACAGTGCAAGTTTGTTTTAATTTTAAATCTTTCAAGAGGTTCCCCTACCTCTAAAGAAGAGAGGGAAAAATCCTCTTTTTCAAAGGTGAATGTGCACTACCCTCTGCAATAATGCTGCACTAACAAGTGCCTCCTTTCCATCCACAATAAGTTTTTGACCAACAATGCTCTTTCTCTGCTTAAAGGAAGAGTTTAGGATGAGGGAAAGGAAATGGGGTATTTTGTCACCTTTTTTAAAAATACATTTATTAATTAAAAAACCGCAAAATATGCTTATTTAATTATTTATGTATGGAAATGGCTGTTGGTTTGCTCATACTCTTGATGAACTAAGACCTGTTCCTTCTCATTTGCCTGCAACACCGAAGTTTGCTCAATTAAATGGTAATTGGTTTTGAATTGAAAAATGATGGAGAAAAAGTATAATTATAAAATATATAATAATTTTATTTGAATAATCATTTTATTGGAAATAATTTTAGGAATAACCGCTAAAATAATTAAGGGAGGGGTGTGCTAGGATTAAATAAGTTTTAATAACCTTTCTGATTGTGAGTACTAACATAAAACCTGTATTACCTATATGGCCTGCAACTCTTTTAGAAACTGAAACGATCCATTTTAGTCCTTGAAAATTCAGGTTTCGCCCTCTTTTACGTATCAAAGTCGAGCTTTCATTTGGTTTACCATTAAAAAATTTTTTTATTTGAACATCAAGTTGTTGAATGCGTAAAAGCAATTGGAGTCATTTCTTTTACATCATCCCTATTTAATATGCTATTTCCTATTTTATATTCTCAGGATCATTTCTGTAGTACGTATTCCTTTCCTTAGTAACCCTTCGATCTTCATACATTCCATCTGGGTACAGCCCAAGTAGGCGCGCGGCCATAATGGCGTAATGCCATAACCTGCTTCAAGATTTCCGAATCTCACCAATTATAGTATTAAACGATTCCTCTCTTTGAGCTAACAATAAGGAGCTTGGTACCAAAATTGATAAGGGCCAGAAACACTTTTTCTCAACCCGACTCTTCACTGTTTTAGTCATTTATTCAAATTTACTACAACACAAAAAAACAATATAGGTAGTACATATATATTTTCCTAACAAAATCTATGAAATATATTTATTTTCTTTATTTTGTCCTAACTACATTGATCCGGCCGCTGCCCCTTTCTTCTCCTGTAAGTATTACGCGTTTTTGTAGACTTCTTAATTTTAGCGGTATTTAGAGTTGTCGTTGTTGTTATAGACTGTCCGGGTTTCAACAGACCATAGCGAGGCTTGGTAGTCAGCAGTTCTTCGCTTAAAATAAAATTGTTTTACATTAATTTATATAAAATTTATACTTTGCGGGAATGGCCTTGAAAATTTTTGTGGTTTTACCAGGATTTGTGATTACAATGTCGGCAGCGGCGTTTTTCAAATCGTCCATAAGAAGGATTTTGGAATCGGAAGCTTTCAACATGAAAAAATATATGGTGTATTCTGAAAATTCTTTGTTGAACGCAATTGCTGAAGGTGTAAAAATAATTAAAGCTTGGGTTAAAGCATGTGTCCTTTTTAGGGTTAATTTTAATTTATAATTTTTGTAGGTCAAATCAAATAGCTCTATTCTAAGACCTTCAGCAATTGCGTTCAACAAAGAATTTTCAGAATACACCATATATTTTTTCAGGTTGAAAGCTTCCGATTCCAAAATCCTTCTTATGGACGATTTGAAAAACGCCGCTGCCGACATTGTAATCACAAATCCTGGTAAAACCACAAAAATTTTCAAGGCCATTCCCGCAAAGTATAAATTTTATATAAATTAATGTAAAACAATTTTATTTTAAGCGAAGAACTGCTGACTACCAAGCCTCGCTATGGTCTGTTGAAACCCGGACAATCTATAACAACAACGACAACTCTAAATACCGCTAAAATTAAGAAGTCTACAAAAACGTGTAATACTTACAGGAGAAGAAAGGGGCAGCGACCGGATCAATGTAGTTAGGACAAAATAAAGAAAATAAATATATTTCATAGATTTTGTTAGGAAAATATATATGTACTACCTATATTGTTTTTTTGTGTTGTAGTAAATTTGAATAAATGACTAAAATAGTGAAGAGTCGGGTTGAGAAAAAGTGTTTCTGGCCCTTATCAATTTTGGTACCAAGCTCCTTATTGTTAGCTCAAAGAGAGGAATCGTTTAATACTATAATTGGTAAGATTCGGAAATCTTGAAGCAAGTTATGGCATTACGCCATTATGGCCGCGCGCCTACTTGGGCTGTACCCAGATGGAATGTATGAAGATCGAAGGGTTACTAAGGAAGGAATACGTACTACAGAAATGATCCTGAGAATATAAAATAGGAAATAGCATATTAAATAGGGATGATGTAAAAGAAATGACTCCAATTGCTTTTACGCGTTCAATAACTTGATGTTCAAATAAAAAATTTATCAATAATAAACCAAATGAAAGCTAGACTCTGATAAACAAAAGAGGCCGAAACCCGAATTTTTAAACTATAGAAAATCAAGAGTTAATTATTTTAGCCGGTTATTCCATAAATTTTATTAAAAGTCGAGATTTTTACCAGCACTTTTTTATGAATAAATTTACTGTTATTGAACAAGTATTTAATAAAAAGGGGAAAAATTCTGGAATAATTTATAGGCTTAAAAAGAGAGAGAATGACACCTTTTTATTACCAAAAAAGTCTCTTTTTGGCCATCAATTTTATTTAAAAAAAATTTAAATTAAAAATTCGAATCATTTTATTGGGTAAAAAATGTGACAATTTATTTAAAATTTTATTAAAAAAATTTTTTTTGGAAATTTTTCAAAAATAAAATATACTATTTTTCTAATTTAGTTTTATTTAACTGATTTATTTTGTGCCCAAAAAATTTTTATTTGAAATGATGCCATTTGTTTTTGCCATATTTTTCTTTATTTAAATTTTTATTTGAAGGCTGCATTTATTTAAAAAAAATTTCTTATTGAAAAAAAAAAATAATTTTTTTAAGGTACATATTTTGAATATTTTTTTAAATTAAAATAGGTTGTTGTGTTTTCTAAGAAAAACCCCTTAAATTTAATTTGTATTAAAAATCAGTAGGATAGTAAGTTAAAAAAGAATTAAACTTTAATAAAATAAATTTTTATTATTCCTCTAAAAGATTTTATACAAACTCTCTCCCTCAACAAGCTTACCAAATATTTCTTTAAAATGCGCAGAATGAAGATATCCTTACTGATTTTGTTGGGTAATTCTATTCCTTTTTTTAATTTTTAAAAATTTATTTTTAAAGTTTTTACTCTTCAAGCATCCAATGCTTTGAGAGGTAAAATCAAAAAAAAATTAGGAAGATTAAAATTGAAATTAAAGGCGCTCTGGTCCGCACAGGTCGAGCAACTTCCAAAAATTGGGAAGATAATGAAGGGTTGTATTATTATATGGAAAATATTGGGCAAAAGCCTCATCAAGTAATTTGTTAACATTTTATTTTTATAAAAGTTACAAAAAAAATTTTTCCTTTTAAAGTTAAGTGAAACCCTTTTATTTTCTCCACGCCCTAGCCGCAGCCTTTACGATGCTGGAGCAGAAGGTTCATCAGTTTTGCGTTCACAAAGAGGTATTTTACAACAAGAACAACCTCTTATAGTTATTGATGCAGATGATGGACAATTAATGAGATATGGACGTTGAAAAATAAATTTGAGAAAAAAGAAAATTTGATGATTTAATTTAAAAATGTATTAATTTTGCATGATTTTGTTAAAGCTTTATCATTAAGTTGAAGCAAAAAAAGTTGAAACGTTTTATTATTTTTATTTTATTCCGCCTGCTTCAGATTATTTATATTCCGCTTGCTTCTTATTTTAATTCCGCCTGTTTCTTTTTTTAATTCCGCTTGCTTCAGATTATATTCCGCCTGCTTCAGAACTAGAATTTTCAATAATTCAATACAAATATTTAAATCCGCCTGTTTTCCGGAAACATTTATTTTAATTACGCCTGTTTCAGAATTATTCCGCCTGCTTCAGAATTTTAATTAATTTCACAAACTTTCCGGAAAACTTTTCCGAAAACATTTCAATATGTGCGTTAAAACAATTTTACAGCAAGGAAAACGCCAAAACTTGGAATTTGCGTTTTTTTGTCCCACAAAAACATTTTTGGCGCACACCTCGAAAGAAAAGATTTCTAAAATTCTCTCTAAACTTCAATTCTCGCCGTGCTTTTTCTGTTTTCTTTCTCCCGACAATTGTTTAGCGGTTGTATTACTACCTATAAAGGTATATTTGTGTGTTTGGTTGTGGAAGGGTATATAAATAAAATATAGAGAAGTTTTGTTGTTTCGCTACTTATTTTTGATAGTTTTTAGTGTCCGCCTGCGTGAAGGTCAGAAATTGGCGCATCTTTTTTCGCGTGGTTGTTGTGAATGCTTGTGGTGGTACTACTTGGGTGCTAGCTACTATATTTTTAACAAAGCAACAAAAATTTTTCGGACGGTCAACCAACCAACTAAAATAAAATAAACTCTCTTTCGGCAATCAAAAAAAAATTTTTTTTTAATTTTGTAAAATACCTAGACAAACACATTTTTTATTTAAATCATCAATTGTCCATTTAAAACCATTTTAAATAGATTTTTTTTATTCTTCTCTCGTGAGTGAGGAAAATTACATAAATGTTTCCAATTTTATTATTTTTAATGGTAGTCGTTTAAATCAAAAAAAATTTTTTTGAAAACCTCTATTTTACGTATTTACCTTCTATTTTACGTACACCTCTATTTTATGTCTTCTATATCCTCCTCTTATTGTTTTGATTTATTTAATCTGACGATTTCAGTCACTATCTTGTCATTTTCTTTATCTTTTTCTTATCCCACCTAGTCTTCGGTAAATGAGCTTTTCCGCTACCGAAAAGTACCAGTAGACAATTTAAAGTATCGGTAACTTCGCGTACCGAAAATTCCAAGATCTTACCGGCACGGTTTCAGTAGTACCGCGGTAACGGTCCTTCATTTTCTGGTCATACCACGGACGTCAAGAACCCAATACTCCTGCTAATCCCAACAGTATCCCAGCCAAATCCTTCCCACCACTCCCAGTTATCTCTGCTCAATTAAGCAAAAACCCTCGCATAAATCACACAAAAATTTATTTTTTAGTCACGCAAAATATTGACACGTGACTTTTTTTGGTTACTTAATTCAATGGTCACTAAAATGTCCTAATCCATCTCTGAAAAAATTTGCAAAACTGCCTGGCCGTGACAGTTCCTCTCTCCCTTCCATTTTAATAGTTTTTACAGATCAGCTGTCAATCTCTCGATATATTTGTCTGTGTGCTTCTGTGAAATGGAGCAAAAATAGTATTAAAAAGGTGAAAAAGAGAAGTAGAAAAGGAAGAAAATCCATTCGGGAAAATTGAAGTTGCGGAGGTAGTGCGAAGGGAACAACAGAGGTAGTGTGAAAGGCACATTTTGGGTTGTGTGTTTATAAAATTGCCAATTATGAATCTAAAATCGCCAAATTTTTCACAAATACTCTTAATCGAGTTACCTAACATCCTTTAAAATTTCAAAATATTTTATTGAGTATTCGTCAAGTTATGGTCAAAAATGCCGTATTCTCCTTTAAAAATGCCGACTTTGCGCACTTTTTTGGCCATAATTTTTGAAATAATGAACCAGAAATTCTGAAATTTTCAGAATCATAAGTTAACACTCTCAGATAGCTACTTGCAAAATTTCAGGATTTTGGGTTCCTTTATCTTAAAGATATGCAATCACAATTAAACGTTACCTACCCTCTTGTTTGAGCAACATCAATACGATTATCTATCCACTTCCAACACTAAAAATCGCCAATTCTCTTTTATTTAGCTTCTTTCATCTTCCAATTTTTCCTTCCTTCCACCTTTCCTTTATTCTTCTTAAATTTTCTCTCCCATCCCCGGGTGGCACTCACTTATACCCCTTCCCCCCCCCCCCCCCTTCTACACCTTCAACTTCCCCTTCTCTCTTTTTTAACTTGCATCATCGCCAACGGCGTGCGCGGTTGCAAAAGGTGAAAAAGGAAAAGAGCCAAAGGGGAGATGTCGCGCAACTCTTAAAAAGGGATGACTGGCTACTCTGAACAGAAAGAGACAGTCCACCTTTTTTTCTTCCCCCAAAAATTTCGCCGTCAACGCCTTCCATCATCTCTCTCCTTATTCCCGCGCAACTTCCCCTCCCCCAAAAACTTCCATTTTTTCAATGTTTCTGAATATAAGCAGTCTTAGACTGACCCAAATTTTGAGGCGGCCATCTTTTTCTAAAAAAAGAAGCCAAGGAAATAAAAATTTTTTTTGGATGAAAAAATACTGCAAACTAAAAAAATTGTTGTCTCCCCCCTTTCCCGTGCTAAAATTGTTACATGCACTTTTGATCAAATTTTGGGATTTTTTTTTGAAATTTATTTATTTTATTTTTAGATGTCTTTAAAGAGAAGAATATTGCTTTTTTAAATATTTGTTCTTCTTTTTTGAATATTCAGTTATGACATTTTGAGCCTTGGGCGTTTTGAAATTTGACATTTTAGAATTTCGACACTTTGAAATTCCGAATTTTTGGATTTTTAAATTTTAAAAACTTCAATTTTTTAATTGTCAACAAAAAAACGTTTCGCCAAGAAATTCCAAAAATTCCCCAAAAATCCCCCCTAAAAAATGATGCATCAACGCCCCCCTCCAGATTTATTTATGCCTCAACAACAACAACAAAGATCCGGATCAGAAATGAAAGGTGGGTAATAAAAAAATAGTTTTCTAAAATTATTTCTTTAAAATGTGCGCAATAAAATTTTAAAAAATAAGAAAAACGCCATCTAGGAAAGAGCCGGTTCAGTTCACACTCTCAACTATCAGCACCAAACAGTCCCGAAAGTGGTTATTTGGGTGCTCCCTAGAAAAATAAATTAAGGAATACTGTATTAATTTTTTGGAAATTTTTAAAAGAATTTTTTGTTTTTTTAGGCTTTATTTTCAAGGCCATACTTACTTTTTTAGTTCATTTTTAAACTTCTCCAGACTTTTTTTTCCTTAAAAATATTAAATGTTACATTGTAAAAAGACACAGTTGCGTTAAGCATAAAATAATTTAAAACTGTTTTAACTGTGCATTAATTTCACGGTTTAGGCTAGAAATGTTTTTTGAAAATTTTTTTTTTGAAATTTTGACATTAAGGTCCATTAGAGTCTCATTTTTGTGGGTAGTTAATTTTCTCTCTGTTCAAATTTCAGACTCTAATGGTTTTTGCTATTTAACTGTACACAAATTTTCCTTCATTTTTCTTGTACTTTTAAAAAATATTTTATTTTATTTTTTCTTCTCAAAACTCCCCTCTTTCACATAATTTTTGTAAAATTTTATCTTCTCTTACAAAAAATTTATTTAACTCAACTCTGTGTGGGGCGCAGTCTTCACCATTTTTTCTTCACTGGTCACTCAACTAATCGAATGTGGTTAATAAAAGAAGAGAACGAAGAGAAGTGGTGCCCTTTGCCCTCTCGTGATGTTAAAAAATGGAAGAAAAAAGAGAAGAGGGAAAAATGGATTTTTTTGTGTGTGAACGGAGGGAAGGAGGGAGGAAGAAGGGAGGGAAGGGAAGGGAAGAGACTTGGTGTGGACATTGGACATTAAAAAAAATTTTTTTTGTGAGTAAAGGAACGCTAAAAATGCAACAAAAATTGTGATGGAAAGAATGATTTTTTTTTTATAAAGAGAGAAAGAAAAAAAAAGAGGAGAGAACAAAAAAAACCAGAGGAGGTACTGGCCAATGTAGTCACCATTCACTCGTCATTTTATAAAAATAAATCCTTTTTTCTGCTAAAATAATTGCAAAGAAAATCAAAATAAAATTTTTTTCAATATTTTTGATTTTTATTCTGATTAAAAAAATTTTTTTGAGACTCTAACGGCCTTAATTCCGAAATACGGGTACAGCCCAAGTAGGCGCGCGGCCAAGTAGGCGCAAAGCCATAACTTGCTTCAAGATTTTCGAATCTATCAAAATTTAGTATCAAGCGATTCCTCTCATCGAGCTAAAGAGATTGTTACCAAAATTGTTAAGGTCCAGCAATTTTCCAGGTATTTATGGCTTTGCGCCTACTTGGTCGCGCGCCTATTTGGGCGTGTCCCCCGAAATCCTTTTAATTTATTTTCTGATATGTATTTTTATTTAAATCGAAGCCTTCCCTGTTGTTCACTCGGACGTTAAAACTTTGTCAGAAAACCAGAACTAGATTTTTAAAAATTCTGAAACCTCCGAGATATCCCTCCTTCATCCCCTTCCTTTAAATGGAGTCTCAAAATTATTTTATTTCTGTTTTTATTAGATCCAACTTATTTTATTTTCCTTGTAAATACTAACAAAATATTAGACCAAATATAAATTAATTTTTTGATGGAAACATCACACAAAGTTCGAGTTAAAGCGGCTCGATTATCCCACAAAATAGTGACTACTGAAGGTGGTGAAAGTGGGTATTTTTAATTATTTTAAAGCAAGCTTATTTAAAAATTAATAAACTTTGTTTATGCTGCGTTGTGGTGTATTGGTTAGTGTGTTGGGTTTTCCACTAGTGATGGTCGGGATTCCCGGTCTCGGTTCCCGAGTCGGGAAATTTCCCGGGTTTTTTGAGCTCTCGGTCTCGATCTCGGTCTCGGTGTTTTAGTCTCGGAAAACGAGACTAAATTTACACCCCTAATGACGGAAATTTTTTGAATTTTATTCGTCCCTCGCGTACTTTGACATTATTTTTTTAAGAAAAGAGAAAGGAATATTTATATTATTTCCTAAGTTTTCTTTTGATGGTCGATGGTTGAGTGGTTTGTGTGACTGACTTCAATGACTTTGTTATTTTGTTAGGTTTGGGTTCGAATCCAGGGTGGAATTTAGGCTGGAAAAATTTTTCTTTTCAAAAATAAATGTCTTTTAACTTTGATTTTGATTTCAAATTTATTCTTTAAATATTTTAAACTTGAAAAGACATTAAATATTTTAAATGAATCATGAATTTTTTAAAATTTTCGCATGAGGCGCCTAAATCCTCAATATACATCCTCATTTGCGGCGTAGAAAATGGGAGAAATCTGACTTCATGACCACCAAAATTTTTCAAAAGTTTCGCCTGCGGCGCAGAAAATGAATGAAATTGGAGGATTTATGGCTTACAACCTGACAAAATACAAGAATTATCGTATACGGCCTTAAATATTAGGGGTATCAATATCTTGTTGGATATCGGAGCTTATGGGGATTTGAAAGGATATAGAGGTGGATTAAAGTTAAGATGGATATCAGGAGAATTGGAAGGATTAAAGTAAACATAAAGGGACTTGTGAGCGGCATCGAGGGATAAAGAAGATATCGTTCAATTTGGAGGGATATCGAGGGAAATAAAGGGATTCAAAGCGATTAATGGTAATATCAGTGGATAAAGGTGGATATCGGTAGATTTAGAAGGAGTAAAGTTATATTGTGAATGTGGGAATTCAAGGAATTTGGGGGATTATGAAGATATATAGGGGTATAGGATTATGAAGAATATATAGAAGTATATCAAGTGATATCCCTCCTAATCTCTGGTCTCGACTCTCGGTCTCGACTCTCGGTCTCGACCCGGGACTCGGTCTCGGGGTTGATTCCCGGTCTCGGTCTCGACTCCCGACTCTCGGCTTTTTTTAACTCCCGACCATCACTATTTTCCACTAGTCTTGGCGTGGGTTCGAATCCGTTTGTCGCCCAGAATTTTTTTAAGCCCTCCCCTTTTTTCTTTTTTTCTTTTTCCCTCATTTTTCCCTCAGACAATGGAAAAAAAGTTTTATAAATGAGGAAAGTTGGGAAAGAAAATTCATTTTCATCATTTAATAACCATTATGGAAGGACGTAAAAAGTTCACCATATCTGAATTATGCGACCAACTTCAACTAGGTAAAATAAGGAAAAATGTAGAGAAAAGAGTGGGGGGTCTTAATTTACTACCCCCTAGTAAAAAACCAAAATACCCCAAAACAAGACGTTTTTCAACCCAAAAGACTAAAGAGACCATTAGAGTCTGGGATTTTTTTGAAAATTTTTTGTTAGTCTTTAAAGCGTTGATGTTTTGGGTAGGATGGTTTTTTGATTAATTAATGATGTTTTTAGGCCTAAAAGACTGGAAAAAGTTTAAGAAAAAATTTTTGAAAGATTGAAAAATTTTTAGAAATTTTCAAAAAAAAAATTTTTTACAATTTTAAGCCCAAATCGAAGTCATCCCTTGCAAAGTTTGTGGTGACAAATCGTCTGGTGTGCATTATGGTGTAATTACTTGTGAAGGGTGTAAGGCAAGTTTTCTAGAAAATTCAATTTTTAATAAACTCCCTGCTTTTTTAAGGGTTTCTTTCGCCGTTCCCAACAAAATACGACAAATTATCAGTGTGCCCGACAACGTAATTGTATTGTCGACAGAGTTAACCGTAACAGATGCCAATATTGTCGATTAAAGAAATGTATAGAATTGGGAATGAGTAAAGATGCTGTTAAATTTGGAAGAATGAGTAAAAAACAGAGGGAAAGAGTTGAAGATGAGGTTGTGTTTTTGGGGGTGTTTTGAGGGTTAACTTACCGAATTGACAATTCACCGAAAAGTGAAGAATTTGAATAATGAAGGGAAGAGGATGAAAGAAGGTTAAGAGTATTTGAAACAAGGTAGTTGAAGAAGGAAGAGAATTTTGGAAGAAAAGTTAAAACTCTTCCTTCTCTTCTCCCCTTCTCTTCACTTCAATTTGTCGGTTAATTGTCCTTTCGGTGAATTCCCCTCGCGTTTTAACTCAATTTATTTTAAAGTACCGAATCGTGACACAAAGAAGTGGAGAGTTTTCTCCTTCTTCCTCAGCACCGAATTCGATATCTTCGTCTCCAGTAATTCCTCAGGCTGCAAGTGCACCCCCGTATGCTGCAGCACATCAACATTTTGTCTCATCCCTGCCAACTAGTGGAGGGGAATTTAAGGTGATAATTTTGGGACTCTAGTGTCCAAGGGATCAAATGTCCATTTTTAACAATTGACCATTTTGGTAAATGACATTTCTGGCCTTGACCATTTAAAAAGTGACCATTTTTCCAATGACCGTTTTGGCAAATGACCATTTTAAAATTGACCCAAACGAGTTTTGGCAAAATGTCGTTTTTTACTCTAATTTAAATTTTTCAAAATTTTCAGCCTTTTTCTCCAAATGGTGGAGTCATTTCCTCATCATCAACTTCTTCCTCATCTGCTTATTTTACTCCAAATAATATTTATGGTCATCCAACAACAATATGTCATGGAGGGGAACCTCTAAATACTTCCCATTCATTTATTGACCAACAGCAAATGTCTTCACACTTTTTGCCTCACAACAATTTATTAAATCAACCGACATGTTCATCTACATATACACAACAACCTCCACATGGACTCGCCCCGATATCCCCCTCTTGGGCCTCCCAACCTTTTGGACAACATCCACACTTGATTGCGCACCCTGGGGCTGTTCCGTCTAGCAGGTTGAAATAGAGAATTTAAAAGGGACACTAGAGTCTCAAAATTAATTTTTCATTTTAGTGGTGGTTATCCTCCAATGTCAGAGCCACTCTCTCTCATTCAACAAGGCCATAGCACGGTTTCTTCAACTGTCGATGACGATCTGATAAAAAATGTTAGTAGAGCATATGAAGCAGCACATCCACAAAGCATTAACAACAATCATTTGGGGGCTTCTTTTGACTCGTTAATTGATGCGCAACAAGTGGCGCGACTTAAAGATATGGTGGGAGGGAGGGGAAAGTCTAAAAATAAATTTTGTTTTGTAGAACCGAACAGAAGGATGGCTGAAATTTGCAAATGAATTAAGCTCTTTAATTAAATGTATTATTGAATTTGCAAAGGCGGTTAAAGGATTCGAAAAATTGGAACAGGACGATAAAATACTGGCACTGAAACAGACTACTTTTGATCTGTCTATTATTGCTATGGCACAGGTTAGAGAAAAATAAAAGAACTAAAATACAGTAAGAAAGGGTTAGAGAAAAGTAAAAATGCTACTAGGTGGAATATTGGACATAATGCCATTAAGAGAAGAATTAGACAAAATGCCAATTTTTAAGGCTGGGACAAAATGCCAATATATGCGTTATAGACAAAATGTTAAAAGAGGGGAAATGGGACAAAACGTCATCCAGGGAAAACAAGACAAAACGTCATCCAAGGAAAATGGGACAAAATGCCCATCTCTAGGTCGGGACAAAATGTCACTCAACCAAAAATATTACAAATTGTCACAAAGCTCATTTTTCATTTTCAGCACTACCGTGTCGGAACAGAAACCCTCCATATCGACAACCTCATCCTCCCAGTCCGCGAATTCAAATGTTCCGACCCGACAGACGAAACTTTTGGTCGTGAAATAATAAAAGCTTTGGAATGTCTCGGCCAATTTAAATTAACAACAACAGAAACCGCTCTCTTGTCAGCCTATGTTTTGCTAGAACAATCCAATGGAACTGAAGACTTTGTTGCCCAAATAAAAAATTGTTTGAGTGCCCAATTGCACTCTCGTTTGTCTTCTGATGTTGACAATTTTTTGAATGATTTGATGGGCTTTTTGCCGAAAATTCGGTCTTTGGCTATGTTGCATTTACAGTGTTTTGGACGTTTTAAGAGACAAATTATGCAGTTGATGGAAGTTAAAATGGAAATGGATGATAATGATGAATATGTGGAGAATGGGCAACAAATGAATAATGTAAAAATTTTGATTTTTTTGAGGGGACATTTTGTCGAAGGACTTTTCGTCGTATGAAAAGTCCACTGACAAAATGTCGGAGCTATTTTAGGCGAATGAAAATTTTTTCAATTTTAGCAGACCTCCACAGACATTTTGGCATCATTTCCTCCTCTTTACATTGAATTGTTTGCACCGACTATTGGAACGGAATAAGTTAAAATATATATTTTAAATTTTTCTCTTTTATTTAACTATTGGAGAAAGTCGTGATTTTGGGGTTTTGTAAAAATTTTTTATAAATGGTCGGAAATCTGAAGAAAAGGTCAACTACAAGAATTATTGCAAAAGGGTCACCTATCAATAATTTTAAAATTGGCCTATACCGAAAATTAAATTTACATCACCCCAAAAATCATGTCCATCTAGAAATCGATGTATAAAAATACAGTCGTGGAAAAAAGTATGGAAGCGCTAGAAAATTTTTTCTTAATTCTTAATTTTTCATTCAAAAAATACGTTCTATATACCAATCGAAAGCTCTATTCGTATCTCAGTTGACATGTTTCTGCATTTTTCATGAAAATGAAAATTGGCCGAGATAATCCGGATCTACCGGATATACCAAATCCCACTTTTTCGGAAAAATTTTTCGGAACAAATTTAACAAACCCATTTGATAAAGCATATTTTTCTGAGTATTTTCCACAAAACAGCTTAGAAATATCTTTTTCCGGAACGGAGATATGATTTTTTGAAAATGGCATTTTTCGCTTAAAAATTGAATTTTTTGCAAAAATAGACGAAAAATGCCATTTTCAAAAAATCATATCTCTGCTCCGGAAAAAGATATTTCTAAGCGGTTTTGTGGAAAATACTCAGAAAAATATGCTTTATCAAATGGGTTTGTTAAATTTGTTCCGAAAAATTTTTCCGAAAAAGTGGGATTTGTTATATCCGGTAGATCCGGATTATCTCGGCCAATTTTCATTTTCATGAAAAATGCAGAAACATGTCAACTGAGATACGAATAGAGCTTTCGATTGGTATATAGAACGTATTTTTTGAATGAAAAATTAAGAATTAAGAAAAAATTTTCTAGCGCTTCCATACTTTTTTCCACGACTGTATAATATCCAGTACAAAATCTCTCTCTCTCTCTTTCCCCCAGTGTTTCTTTCAATACAAAATTTCCCCTAAGCCTTTCAATTTATTTATTTTTTCAATGCTACCAAATAATCGGACTTTCAAAATAATTTATTCGACTCATTTTTTAATCAAAAAATTTTCTTAAAAACATTCCATTGCCTCTAGACTTGAAAAAAGCCTTTCATTTTTTCAATTTTTAATCAAAAAATGATAATTTTTACTTAATCTTTTGCATATTTAAGAGTCGAATCTTGATATAACCGACTCGAAGGGGACAAAGAAAATAAGTGGGTCTACTCTAAAATAGAGGGTTGGGTAGTTTTGGCCCCGCCCCAAAACGGCCCAGTCCCAAATAGGGTCGAATTATATGTCATTCGATTCGTCTCGGGAAGCTTTGAGTCTAATAGTATTCCTCTACAAGTGAGGGAATGCCTTTGAATCGAGATATAGTCCACAAAAAATTCTAGGGGTTCATCAAATCGAAAGACTGTTATTTCGAGGTTCGACTGAATAATTTTTTTTAAAATATTTTCTTTTTTTTTGTCAATAAATAGTTTAAAAAGAAATTCTTTCTTATTTTTTATTATATTTTAACAATCAAAATAATCACACACACTCAAATATAAACATAAAAACGAATAACCATAAAACTGTGCCTTCCTCCTAATTTATATCCAGAATTCAAAGCATTTCACGTTCACCGCGTTTCCAAGGACCCTAAAAAATAAAATTTTTTAAATGAAAAATAAAACGGCGATAAGCAAAATTTAAAAAAAATTCCCGACATCTCTCCTTCCCCCCAGTGTTTCTTTCAAGACAAAGTTAATTCCCCTATGCCTCTACAAGTGAGAGAATGCCTGTGAGAAATGCCCTTTCCTATCTCTCAAGCTAACTAAAATTTTTATTTGAATAAATTTGGTCAATGTTAGGAGATGCTTTCAAAATTGTTGTTTTAAACCCAAAAAATTTCTGAAATTTATTTTAATAAAAACTCCACAAAATTTTTTTTGATTAACTGGAGAATTGTAACTAAAAACCTAAGCCCTCACGCCCATAAAAAATTTAAAAGAAAACCTTTTTGTCAGTTTTACTCTTCTCCAATTGTAAAGCAATTTGTTGTGAACGTATAGTCATCCTTTTTGTATTTTCCATAACTTGTTCGTGAATACTAATTGGTCTAGCAGACATAACTACTTGGCCTGATTGGGAATCTATTTTGGCTCCTTCAATTCGATAATTTCTAATTAAATTGACTATCCAACGTTCTGCTTCAGCCTAAAAACATTTGGAAATTGTTGGCAATTTTTTTGAAATTTTTTTTCCAAAAAATTTTCAAAAAAATTTTCAAATTTTTTGAAAAATCCAAGAAAATTTTTTAACAAAAAAAAACAAACATTTCCCATATTTAACCGATTCGCAAGCATTTCCAAACTAATACATTGATGAATTCGACAAAACATTTCAAAAATTAAAAGTCTTGAACTTTCACGGAAATCATCGAGACAATGGGTTAAAAAGAAGTCGTTAATAAGTACCTAAAATTTAATTAAAATATAAAAGTTTCTCAAAAATTATTTAAAACAAAAATCCAAAAAAACAGCCTAAAATCGAAAAGGCAATTTTTTGGGGAATTTTTGTTCGCTCAGTCTAAATAAACGTGAAAAATAGCATGGCAATTCAATTTTGCTTTAAAAACTCGGTTCGATGGGATACTTCGAATAATGCAAAATTGACTCGGTTCGACTTTAATAAATCTTGTTATAAGCTCAACGATAGTTTTTGGCTGGTATACTCCCAAAAATCCGAAAAATTTATTTATAAAAATTCAAAAAACTCAAACCGAATCACATTCTCTCAATTTTGTCTGTGCCGCGTCAAAATCAAAATCAATGTAAAGACAAGAAAGAAATTCCGTAACGGGATCTTGATAATTATAACGTTCCTTCAAAATATAAATTTAAAAATTTAATTTAATTAAAATTCACTAACCACATCAATAACTTTAATTAAATCTTTCATGCTTATTTTTTGTTTATTTTTACTTGTAACAACAGCAACAGCTAAATAACGTAATAAATGAGGGCACAGAACCTTTAAGATAAACAAATGAGATATTTGAAAAAAATATTTGCTGACTAAATTTGCGGACTTCCGAAAAAACTCAAAAATCTTCCAAATACGGACCTAACTATAAGATACAAATTCAAAACTGGAAGCAAGGCTGGAAGGCTTAATATATAATTCAAGGCTGGAAGGCTTAATACACAGCAGATCAAAATAGGCAAAGGCTGTTACTCGTCTTTCAGTGCTGTTTCAGCACTATGGTTTCAGTGCCAGGATTTCAGTGCCAGAGTTTCAGTGTGTGCTCTATTTAAGTGAATATGAATTGTATACAATTATTAAAATGGAATGTTAATCATTTTATTTAACATTTAAAGGCATTTTAAATTAAAATAAATTTTTTCAAAATAAATTTTTCCTATTATTTTCCATTTTCTAATTTTGTTTATAAAGCCATGTAAAACTTTTATAAAACATGCGAAAAAACGATAAATTTGATTTTAAAACAAAGATAAGACTTTGTTTAACGATTTGGTCAAGATAAAATTTTTTTTTCAAAGTTTTTTTTCGAGATAAAGCTTCTCGAAGTTGCAACCCCAAATCCTTAGAAAATAGCACGCGAAAGAAATAGTGGGGAAAAGAAAAAGATACAGTATTCTTATTTATTTCAGTGCCACTGAAACGGCTTAAAGTAACAGGCTGATCTGCTGTGTAATAGGCATTGGCTTAGGTGGCTTTCCAACACACGTAAATTAAGAATAACTAGTAATATTGGAAGTGTCTTATAGGGAGGTCCAATTGTTTTTTACATCTTCTCCCCCAAAAATTCTCTATATTGGGAGCCACCCTAAATTAAAGAATATATCTTAATTTGAAAGTATCTAATATTGGGTGTATCTTAAAATGAGGTCCAATTATTTAAAAAAAAACCTGTATAGTATTCAAATAAGGTTGTTGATTCAAAAACAATTCAATAATTTCGTCTCTTCCCTTAGGATAATTAAAATAAACATATAGAGACCAATGCAGAAACCAAGCTCTATGTTGTAACAATTCCAATTCACTCTCAAAAGGGTCAGAATCAATATAAGCCCTCAGGCGATTCAAATCATCCCTAGCATGGTCCCAACTTTGCATCAAAATTTCTGAGGCCAATTTGCCATACAAAGCATTTAAATAATTTGGGTCATCCTGAGGAATTAAAATTCTATAAAATTCCAAGTAGGTTGATGTTGCCAAATAATTGCCACATTCATAAAGAAATTTAGCATATTTGTAGAGGCTATCCAACATTTCCATTTTAAACTGTTAGAAAAAAAAAGAAAAAATTTAGAAAAACGCGAAATGAGAGAATCGGGGAAATAAGCCTCAAAAAATAATAAACCTCCGATTTTTGTTCAAGATATTCAAGCATCTTGGTATTTCCTTCACGATCGCGAGTCATACTCTCCATAACCTAGGATTATGGGAGAAATTAAAAACAAAAATTAAGAAGTCCCATCAAAGTTGTTCTTGGTGTAGTTGGAAAAATTTAGATTTCCCTCCTAAAAGGGTGAAGGTTCGAACCCGCCAGCAACAGAATTTTATTTTTTTCGATTGAAAAATTAAAAAATGCCGAGAAAAAAACCAAAAAATATTTTCCAAGTTCTAATTAATTATTTTAGACCTAAAAATCTCCCAAAAAATAAAATGTATTAAAAACAACCTCTTTAACATCATCTCTATCCAACACAGTCAAAACCGGATTACAAATACCTCTTAAACGCTCCCTTTCTTCCATAATTTGTTTCTTTTTTGTTTCAAATTCTTTAACCAAATTTTCATCATCACTATAATCATTAATTAAATTATCGACCATATTGGTTTTTCTAAATACTGACAAATGAACTTTTTTGAATGATTCTTCATCATAAATCTGAAAAAAATTTATGGAGAGAATTTTTAACTTGAAGTGTCCCAGTCTGATTTTTTTCTATCTTCTCTTGTTTCTCTGACAACTAAAGACTTCAAAAAGGCGTTAATTTAGGGTATACCAACAGAATTAAAAACTACAAAAAGCAGCACATTCGCATTCTTTAATTTTCATAATTCAAAAGGACTATACTTGATGAAAAACAATGTGAAACAAGGGGCTGTGGGAAGGCTGCCAGTTTTTTGGAGGCCTACACTTTTTGGAAGAGTTAAGACTACAAAAAAAGCGAGGACGCCGAAAGACTTATCACCGCTGGACATAAGGAAACGAAGAAAAAAGTAAAAATAGACCCTTACCCTTTGAACGAAATAATTTTTAAAAAAATTAAAAAGAAAACCTTTCTCGGCTCAATAAATTCAAGTATTGGAATAACCAAATGTAGATCAAAAAAAGGAGCTAGACGTCTTGTTAAATCGTATTCCATAATTTTTATTTAAATTTTTTAAACAAAAAAATCTGTAAAAAATAAGAAAATAAATTTAAAATAAACAAAAATATTTTTAAAAGCATTTAAAAATGCGTCAAATGGTAGGCAAAGAAATCTTTCAAAAATCCGCAAGTTTTATCCGCAAAAACAAAAAATTTCAAAAAATTTTTTTAAAAAATTCCCTAAATTTCTTTTAACAATTTCTTTCTTCGTTTAATTTCATTTTTGGATATTTCCTCGTCAAATAAATCGGGAAATGGATCTATTCCATTTTTGGCATCATCAAATTGTTTGCATAAAGAATAAATTCTTTTTCGACGCTTTGATTTTATTTTTGGATTTTTTCCAGAATCAAATAAAAGTTGAGCAATTTTTTCGTAATCAAAGGTTAAACAAGGAGTGGATTCCTTTAAAAAATTGAAAAATTAGCTGAAAAATAAAAATTTATTTCTTAGAATCCGCGAAATTTTTCATGTCCGCAAATATTCCTTGTCCGCAAATTTTATCCGTAAAATTTTTTTTAAAAAATTATGAGAACTTAAAAACAATCCTGAAAATTTTCCGGGGGTGTGATCGATTTTAGGTAATCGGTTTAGGTAATCGATCACTAATTTGAATAGAATAATACGTAGAGCAGGTTTATTATTTTGTGGATAAAAAATGCGACCAAAAATTTAAAAAACTAAAAACCTTTTCTTCCATATTCTGATCAGAATTTGCATTTTCAGCCTTCTTCTGAGCTAAACTCTCAGAAAAATCATGTAGAATAGTATCGAAAATATCAGTACAAATGCTTTCAAAAAATACATCTCTAAAATTAAGAAAATGATTAGTAAGAGTTTAGCAAAAACTGAGTTATCGGGCGGGATTAACTGCGAAGAGGCGGGATTAACTCGCTTAGCTTCGAGTAATGTCAGCGTGCTCTGCCAGTGAGTTACCGGGGCGAAAACATGTTCTCTTTTCTCCTTATAAATAGTTTAACCCAAAGGCATAGTCAGGGGGCTTCTGGGGTTAAAGCCTCCCCGCCAGAAATGGGAAAAGGGTAAGCAGTAGGGTTTCACCGGAAGTTCCGGTTCCGGTTCCGGAAAGTTCCGGCCTTTTTTTGGTTCCGGCTTTCAAATCGGTTCCGGGCAAACCGGAACTTTTTTACACCCCTAAAGATTGATTTTTTTAAAAATATGGGTTGGTCTTCCCCGGCTGGCGTTACAATATTCTCAAAATTTTCGCCTGCGGCGCATGAAAAGGAAGAAATTTAGCCCTTGTTCTCACAAATTCTCAAAATTTTCGCCTGCGGCGCTGTTAAATGAAGTTTACATCGGAGGATCTGGATGGATGAAGGTGTATTTTAAGTTACAGCATGTGCTTTCAAGGGGTCATAGGTAATACCGAGGGATCTGGGTGAAATATTGAGGGATTAAGCTGTGCAAGGTAAATAACAGGGATAGGATAGCTGGGAATTTGCCTTCCAAAACTTGGCATTTCTCACTTGGCCTTCCGAAATTCACAAAATTTTCGCCTGCGGCGCAAAAAGGAAGGAAGAATAGGTTATTTTTGATAATTTGCATGGATTAATGGGGATTTGGAAGATACTGGGTGATTTCGTGTACCAAGAGTTAAAATGGTACATCGGTGATTTGATATCTAGGGATCTGTTGGGATGAATGATAATTTGAAGAAATTTGGGGATCAAAGGGGAATCATATAATTGGTGTGGTATCGGTCATATCATGGGATTTGGGTAGAACGGTTTGGTTTTACGGTTCGATTTTGGTTAACCGAAAGTTTGATTCGGTTAGTCGTTTCGGTTAACAAAATAATTGGGCTAAACCGACAAACCTACTTTGAATTCAAACTTCTTTTAATTTTTTTTAAATTTTTTAAATTCGCTAGAAATTTTTTTAAAGTTCCGGTTCCGGTTCCGGGCCGGAACTTTGAAAAGTTCCGGTTCCGGTTCCGGGAACCGGAACTCAAATTGGATCCGGTTCCGGTCATAATTTCGGTTCCGGTGAAACCCTAGTAAGCAGGGGATTGAGCAAAAAAGTGAAACCGACCTTCTGACTATGCCTTCGGTTTAACCCCTGCCTAAGGGTTTTAAATGCTGCTAGATTAATCCCCCTATATGATAGAAGAGGCATCGAAACTCAGGTCAGGGACAGACAGTTGATCCCAACCCTCGTTAAAATTAATTAAAAAACCGTACGAAATGTTCTCCTTCATTAGCAGAGTAAAAGGTTTAATAAACTCCAGACTATCCAAACCTTCACCAAAAGCATTGTCTAATTCATCTAACCAAACAGAAACACAATGATATTTTAAGGATTCAAAAATTTTGGATTTTTCAGAAATTAAAGTTTGTGAAAAGAAAGTGAGATAATTTTGGATTGCTTGAGAATTGAATTTTTGTTCTTTAAGTTGAAAGAAGAGAACACGAATTATTTTGCGAAGGAACTGAAAAAATTGGGAAAAAGTTAGATAATAAAATGTGGAAATTTTGTAAGGATGTGTAAGGGAACGGTTAAGCTTTTGTATTAAATGTATTAACATCCGCAAGCTTTACAAAGATTTTTTAATCTGCAAGTTTTACAAAGTCCGGAAATATTGTCAGGATAACAGCAACCAGTTTCTGTAGAACACCTACATTACTTAAATTCTATCTAACAAAAAGGTTGTTTGGCCTTGTAAGAGAATCTATGCAAAAATGAAACAGGACCTTAATAATTCAACATAAATTTTTCGTTTGAGCTATAGAAGGAGAAGAAAGATTCCACGACAATTTTTTGGATCCATGAGAGTGGAAACCCCTCAAAAAAATTTTAAAAACCATTAAAAATTTGTCCATCCTCCACCGATCAATTTTTGGCCATTCTTTCGATAAAGTAAAAAGAAGAGCTTTAACAAACTCAAAAATTTGGTTTTGGTCTTTTAAAAGTCCCAAAAGTTGTAAAATATTGTCCGCTAATTCTTCTTGAAGTAACATTTTGTCTTGCATCCACAAAGCATAATGTAAACCTTTACATAAACGATCGAGCGAATCTGTTGTGAAACCTGAAATAAAGCGAGAATCAACAGCATTTCCACAGTATTCAGAATCAAAATAAGCGACAGGTTCCGGGCAGTTTCTCAGCCGTTCTTTATTTTTTGACTCGAGGTCGAGAACATGGGCAAGGTCAGCACAAAAAATTTAGGTTCAAAATAACAAAAAGGGTCTCTTTCGATCTCTACCAGACATAGCCCAAGAAGTATTCATTAGTAAAGATCGAGCTAGAACTGGACCAAGGCCTATGTTTTTCCAGTACCCGGAGACCAGGTCCAGGCATTTTTTGACCCTTTTGGGCTTTTCCTGGACTACAGGACCAGTATCAGGCCCAGGTCAATAAATCGACTCCAGAACCCAGGAACAGGCCCAGGCTTCTCAAAAATCTCGATCTCTATTCAGTAGAAAAAATCTAAGAAAAAATAAACAAACCATTTTTTGATTCTTCCATAACATGTTCTCTCAACAATTTTAAAGCTCGTTTTCTAACAGTTGGCTCTCCACTAGCAAGACGTTGAGCAAATTCAATTTCAACTTCTTTCATATCAACGTCCATTTTCTTATTTAAAATTTCTGTTGAAAGATTTGGGGACCTAGAAATGATTAATTAATTCACTGTCGAGTTGACAATCAGACTCTAAAATCTATACACTTTTTCTCAAGTTGTCTAACCGTCTCTCATTTTTACCATGCTCTCTCGCACATTTTTTCTCTTACTCTAATAGCAAAAAATAAAAATATAATGCCAATAACTACGCCAAAACTCGCAAATTCCAAAATCTGAGGAATTTTTTCTTTGTTTTTTTATTTTCTTTTAATTTTGTTTTAGTTTTTTCCCATTTTTTGTAGGAGTTTTAGTTTTATTTTTACCAATAACCTTTTTAGTTGTTCTTTGTATTAATCAATTTATTGATTTATTTGTACAATGACTGAGGAAGACTTCGACAAGCAACTTAGAAAGGTTTAACCCTTGACACAGTTCTCTTCTAAATTTATTTATTATAGGCCTTTCAAGAGTTACAATCCCAAATACTTGAAAGTCGGGAGAAACAGAAGAATGCAGACGTTACAAAAGCTGCGATGAAACAAGTTTCCTTCCTAATTCTCTTAAATTTTTCAAGAATATTTTTAGAACATAAGAGTGGCAGAGATTGTCAAGTCACAATTGGAACAGCTTCCTAAAGATGAGGATCGTGCTGTTTATAGAATTGTTGGACGTGCTTTTTTGCAAGAGACAACGGCTTCAGGTTCGCTTTTTAGGTTTAAGAGAAACAACGTTGTGCTCGAAAAGTGGTTTAGGCCGCAATTAGTCTTGCGTCAGTCTGCAATTAATCTTGTTTGTCCGCAAGATCTTACAGGAACATTGAGGACTGATTTAGGTTACTTGTTCTTGGAATAATTTTGTAGATTCCATATCTTATGTTTCTACTAGCCCATCCTCCGGTTAACTTTTTTGGTTATCTTAGATCATGAACCCTTGGCATGTATAGACTTACAAGTCCTCTGAGTCACCGCGTCGATCCCTGTCAGTTTTACCCCTTACTAACTTATGCCCAGTTCTGGCTCTGCTGTAAGCTATTAATCTCTTGCCGTCCTTTAGCTTTTTGAGGGTAGTTGGGCCTCTTTTCAGAACGGGCCTCTTTGTGGTCTTTAAACATCTAAATTTAATTTTTTATTCAATTTATATTTATCGTTTTGTTTTTAAGAGATTCAACGCCAGAATGCTGACATCAAACTGTGCAATGAGCGTATAACTTTAATGGATAGGCAGAAGGATTACTTGGCCAAAAGCATTGCGGATTCTGAGAAGAACTTGCGTGAGCTCATTCAGACGAGACGTTGAAAAGAGAAGTTTGAATGGAATACCTTTTTTTGTTTTTTTTTGTCGTAACTTTATATGCCCCTTTTTGTCAAACAACATGAAATTTAAATTTTTGTTTAGTTTTTTTTATTTTTGTTCTTTTAACTTTTAATACTTTCAATTTTAATTTTTTTTTTAATTTTTTTAGTTTTCTTTAAGAAATGTTCCGTCGTTTGACCTCTATTGACAACAAATATCTTTCACTTTTTAAAAATGCTCTTGAACATATTGACAGTGGGAAGATTGGGAAGATTTGTTGGCTTGACGTTCCAAGAGAAGTGAAAGTGTTCAATAACACTGGTATTATTTAAAGGGGTTTTGGGATAGTTGTGATTACTTTTTATGAATTTTCTTGTGTTTATATTTTTCAAGAATTTTTCCTGGACCCGGAAACACTTGAAATTAATTTTGATTAAATTTTAGTAAAAGCGTATAGCGAGAATTCTTTCCCTTCATTTTCAGGTCTTAATGCCGTTTCTCAAGGCAAATTGGCTGTTATTTTACTTGCTCGTGGACAACACTATCGCTTTGGATCTTCTCTTCCTAAACGAATTATGGAACTGGGCCTTGAAATGGAAACTGGACTTGATAAGAAAGCCGATTGTCATCTGCTTTTACAAGTTTGTCATGTCAGCCATATTCAACAGGAAACTGAGGGAAATTCTAAGTGGATGATAATGACAGACAAATCTGGCTGGGAGAAGATTCGGAAACAATTAGACGAAGTTTTGGAGAAAACAAATTTGACCTGGGATCAAGTATAAATTTTTTAAAATTATAATTGGGGTAAAAATACGAGACTTTTAAGGTGGAAGTATTTGTCCAAAATGAAAATCCTGCACAGGATTTTGGTGGAAAGATTCTTTTATCTTCGCCCGATCAGTCAGCTACTGCACCAGGTTTTTTTAAAATGTAAGAATAATTTTTGATAAATTTTTGTAGGTGTAGATCGCTCTTCAACGTGTAAGAGTGATTTTGCAAGAAGAAATGAGGAAATTTTTATTTGAATTTTACGGGTTTATTTTTTTTATTTTTGTGTTTTATTTTTTTTATTTATTTTCGAGTGATAAAAATTTTGTCTATTTCTTTAAATTTAATTTTCTAAAAATGTTTGTAAACATTTTATTTATTTAAAAAAACACTTGTGGGGATTTGAAATCATTAAATTAAAAAATTAATAGTCTTGATGCATATCTATTTTTTCCATCTACATATTGGGTTTAAGTTAACAAGGTTTTTCTGAAAATGTTTTTTGGCATAATGCCAGCCAGTATTTTCATAGATGAGAAAAAAATAATACGCTGATCCCTTTCCGATGATGTTCCCTAAATTAGAATTCACAAATCATCTTCCATAAAATTCAAATTTCCGCGCAAAAATATTTTTTTATTTTAATTTTGGCGTTCTGTATTTCCCAAAATTTTTAAAAATTTTCTCAGAAATTTTCTTGTGATTTTTGAATTTTTCTGTCTGTTAAAGTTGTTAACTAAATTTTTTAATTTTATAGAAAATTCAAATGGATTTATTACAAAACTACAAAGGAGATTCATCTTCAGATGATGAGACGTCCTCAATTCAAATGGAAGAAATAAATTCTGAACCTAGAGGAATTATAATGCCTCTAGTTAATATAGCACCTCATGTAGTTGTTTCAAGTCCTGTACAACAAGCGGCTGTAATTGACCCAAAAACTAAAGAATTGTATTACAATCCAAAATATGAGGAGCTTTTTATGCCTGATGTAAGGAAATTTTGAAGTTTTTTTGAAAAATTTTTAGAGGTTTTTTTGAGGTTTTTTTAAATTTCTTTGACGTAACTTTACTATTTTTATGGACCTAATTTTTCACATTCTCAAAATTTCTGTCAATGTTGTTACTGACCAAAGCCTTTCGATTGCTACTTTTTCGCTTTGAGATCATGGGATGTCTAGCTCTCCTGGCACTCAGAACTGGAACCGGAAATTTCGGATATTAGAACTTTTTCGGTTCCGAATATCCTAGGTTCCGAATAGTCATTAAAAATTAAAAAAACACGTCTTTCATTACTCAGCCTGGGTTTATGATTTATTAAATGACTCGAATGATTTTTTTATTTTTGACAGGTTGGCCCTTCAAATCCTTTCAAAAGCGAGCATCAAAAGGCTCCAAAAAACACCTTAACAGGATTTGTAGAACCAGCCCACTTTAGTGGATTCCACTTTGACCGAGCCATTCGTTCTTATGACACTTTAGGCTATGCAGAAAATCCCTCCGCTGATGCTGGAGGAAGTTCTTCATTTGTTGGAGATGTTGAAAGTGCTCATTTAACTGGGGGCCGTTCACTTTTTGAATCGGCCAAAACTGGAGGACAAAAACGCAAAAGAATTGTGAATTACGATGCTTCTGATATTGATGGATATACAGGGCCGTGGGCTAGATTTGAAGATCAAAAAATTGTTGCGAAACCAGATCCTGAATTGCAAAAGGAAATGGACGAGTATATCAGGTTTTTTTTGTTATTTTTTTGGGTTATTTGGAGAATGGGAATTGCTTTTTGTGTCTATTTAACTTTGAATATTGTGTCTAACTTCCAAGGAGGTTTAAAAAAATTTATATTGTAAAGATAAAAGTCCATCTGGTCGGGATTTAAGATGGTTACTAGGCTGACAATGAGGTTTAGGGTGAATTAAAAGAGAGTGGAGGCAGCGACTCGGTCAGCTAATCAGTGAGCACGTTCTAGGAAGGGGCTGTTTTATCCAGAACTAGGGCTTTTTTCTCAACACAAATACTTGCCTGTACGTGGTGACTTGAAGAGCTAACATTTTCTAGGAGATCGCCGGATTGGTGACTGCCTAGGACTATACCTTTACCTCTCTCTTACTTTATAAGCATTCTTTATAGGAAAATTTAAGAGATACCCTTGAATGAATTGATATAATTTTAAGAGATCTCCATGAGTATTTTCTTCGATTTATTCTTTAAAATAAGAGAATTAAACGATTTCCGAATCAAAAAAATTTTTTTTAATTTCCAGAAAAAAGAAAATGAAGAGCCGTATAGGACGCAAATTAGCTATTGAAGAATTACACATGGCCGAAGAAAGTTCAAAATTACATATAAGCGACGATAAGGATTATCTTGGACGTTCATTTATGGAAGCTCCAAAAAGTATTGGTGTCAATTTAAAACCTGATCACGTCCCTGAAAGATGTTATCCCCCAACAAAACAAGCATATACGTATAATGGACATACTAAACCTGTTACAGCAATTAGATGGTTTCCAAAAAGTGCACATTTATTTATTTCTTGTTCAATGGATGGAAAGGTTTTTTAATTACTTTTTGTTGAAAGTTGGAAAAAAAATATTGGGGGATGAATTTTGGGTAAAAAACGAAGGTTTTATCTGGGACGGGTTGAGAAAATAAGTCTGTTCGGGTTTCAAATCGGGTTTTGAATTTTTCTTCTCACCGGGTTGGAAAAAGTCAGTGCTTCAGATAACCCGTGACATCCCTGTTTTTCGATGTCCAAAAAATATTTTCGAAAATTTAAATTAAATTCTATAGATGGAATAGCCATATAGTCTTTTTTTAGATTTTACCTGCCCACCCTCAGAGCTAGGAGAACCTTAGCTAGGTACGAGGGTCCTTTCTTCCATTTAACATTTTTGGGTACCTTTTAAGAACTCCTTTTTGGATTTTTTTATGTTTATGATATTTTTAGAGACCTCTATCTCAATTATTTCTCAAGACCAGTCTCTAATTGTAACCTTAAAAAAATTTTTCAGGTCAAACTTTGGGAAGTTTATGGAAACCGAAAACTAATACGTACATATATTGGACATAAAGTTCCAGTAAAAGATATTTACTTCAATAATGACGGGACAGAACTTTTATCTGCAGCATATGATAATTATATAAAATTGTGGGATACTGAAACTGGTTTTCTTTAAATAAAATTAAAAAAAATTTTTTTAAGGCCAAGTAAAATCTCGTTTTACAATTGGCGCTCATAGAGCTTATGTAGTCAAATTTAATCCGGATGATGACAAACAAAATTTATTTTTAGCGGGGATGTCAAACAAAAAAATTATTCAGTGGGATACGAGAAGTGGGGAAATTGAACAGGTTTGGAGGGAAAAAATTTTTTTTAGAAATTTTCAAGAATTTTTTTTCAAGAATTTTTTTCTGAAAATTTTTTAGAAATTCTTTGAAAATTTTCAAAATTTTTTCAAGAATTTTTTTCTGAAAAATTTTTCAAAAAAATTTTTTTAAATTAAGGAATATGACCGTCACCTTGGCCCTGTCAACTCGATTACCTTTTTTGATAAAAACAGACGATTTGTGTCTACGTCGGATGACAAATCTCTTCGTATTTGGGAATTGTATGTTTTTTATTTAAAAATTTTTATTTTTTTAAATTTTAGTGGAATTCCTGTTGATACAAAAATTATTCAACATGCTGGTTTACATTCAATACCTTCAATGACGAAAGCTCCAAATGGTTATTAATTTTATTTTTTTTATTAGATGGGTAGGGAGAAGGGTTGGAATCTTGTTTAGTCCCTTGGTGGCCCTTTTTTAGCAACAATTTTTTGGCTTTGGTCTAGTTTATGAAGGCTTTATTAGTCCAGTGACGACTTGGGAGTCCAATGGAGGGTTGTGATCTTTTTTATCCTCTAACAGTTGCAAATATCGAGTCGGAATCCACTGATAGATTGTCCATTCATTGGACTCGTAAGCTGGACCAAAATCAAAATTTTTAAACAAAATTATTTCTGGTCAACTTTGGGTCTAACCCAACGTCTAAAAGCTTGAATTTTGGACAGTCTATATCACTTTTGTGAATTTAAAGATTAAAGTGGAGTCTAAATAATTTTGAGGCCTAAGAAAATCTTTGAGGGATTCAGGAGAACTATAAAAATAAAATTTAAATAATTTTTAAAGAAAAATGGGTCGTTGGTCAATCTATGGATAATCGAATCGTGTTGTTCCAAGTAATGGATGATAAACTTAGATTTGCGAGGAAAAAAGCATTTAGAGGTCATAATACTGCTGGGTATGCATGTTCTACAGATTTTTCGCCAGATATGAGGTTAGAAAAATTTTTGAAAATTTCTAGAAAAATTTCTTTCAAGTTTTTTGGCTTCTGGCGACGCAGACGGAAAAATTACAATGTGGGATTGGCGTACACACAAAATTGTTTCGACATGGAAAGCCCATGAAAATGTGTGTATTTCTACTCTTTGGCATCCACACGAAAAAAGTCGAATGATTAGTTGTGGATGGGATAATACAATAAAAATGTGGTTTTAAATTCAAAAGATTTTCTAAAATATTTGGAAACTTTTTAAAAAAAGTTTTTTTTTCGAGGAAAAATTTTCTTTTTATTTTTACTGTCCAATATTTTATTTTTAAAATCTAATAATATTTTGATTTTTTATATGGATAAACGCAAAAAAAAATTTATAAAAAAATAAATCAGCCCAAAATAAGACAAAATTAGGGGAAAACTTGCATAAAATATTTTGGGTTTGTACACTTCATTTTACTATAGAGAAATAATTCTTTTAGTGAGAAGGCGATAGCCCTTGTAAGACAAACCCCCAGAACAACCTCTTTTTAATTGAAAAAATTTCTTAAACGAGCTGGAAAGGATATTCCAATATTCATCATTTGCTAATATCAGCCAATTTCTGGCGATGGCATGACAGAAAAAATCTGGCAGATGCCAGTTGTCATAAAATATTTTGGAACATCTTTTGTTGGAAATGGCGTGTTGGCGCCAGAATGAAAATGGTGAATATTGGAAGAATTTTCAAAAAAATCCCCTAGTCTCTAAAATAAAAAATGCAATGTACAAACCAAAAGCCTACCAGAAAAAAGTGCTGAAATAAAGGGAATTATGAGGAATCTTTTTTTTGGAAAAAAGAATTTAAAAGAAATTATTTTCAAAGAATACATCAACGCTGATAAGGTCTCGGCCAAGAATATCTTTGTGGCTGCGAATTTTTGTTGTTCGATTGTCGATCTTTTTGTGAAGATTGTTGGGACTTATTCCAATTATTATTTTGTTTGGATTTTTGGCCCATTTTATGATTCCCTTGTCCAGTTGTTTTTGGTGTATTGAAAAGAGGCATTGGTGGTGGCGGGGGAGGAGGAGGCAAAAAGTTATCCTGGAAAATTGTGAGTGAATCTTAGAGAGAAAAATGGATGACTAGAAGAGATAATTTTAAAAGCCTTTTTCCTATCCCATCTCGAAATAGTAACTGGGAGCTCACTTAAGAAAATGAAATCCTTTTCTTATCCTACCCCGAAATATCTGGGAGATTACTTGGGAAAATAAAATACTTTTCGTATCCCACCCGATATATCAAGGAGCTCACTCTGGGAAAATAGAATATCACGGAAATAAAATCCCTTTCTTATCCCACCCTGAAATATCTAGTTCAATCAGAAAATGGGATTTCTTTCCTATTTCACCCCAAAATAACTGGGAGTTTAGGCAGGTGTAAGCTTTAAAAAATCATTACCTCATAAAAACGAACAGGCTGATTATAATGCAAGACTGGAGCAGACCAAGATGAAGACATTTTCATATCACCAATTCTACCAGGTTGGTAATCTCGCATATCACCAAGTTGCTTAAAAACAAAATTTAAAAATTTTTTAAGCAAAAATACATTAATTGGAGTCGGTTGATCTGGATAATTGTCGGGACTGGCCCGACTTAATGATGTTTCATAATATTATATTTTTAATATTTTTTAACAAAATTCCAATTTCTATTTTTATTATTATTTCATAATCTTTCCGATGATTCTTTTCATGTTTCTTCCCAAATAATTCATATTTTTGATATTCCAACTTAATCATACTTTTAAAACAATTCTTGTTTTCACCCTTCTTTAAAAGCAAATTCTAATGCCCCAAAAATATCTTTTTCCTCTTCACTTTTAATTTTAAGAATAAAAATCTTCCCCCAAAAAAATTATTAAAACTTTTAAACTTTGAGAATAAATATTAAAATTTTACGTCTTTTCGAATTTATTTTAAGTCGAAATTTATTAATTTCGACAATTGGTGCCGCTAAATCGAACCTGCGAATAATTGCGAACCCGAAAGGGTAAAAATAATTCAAACTGCCTAATCGACGAGAGCGTAGCCCGATTAGAAGAAGAAGCCCTTTAAGAAGAAATAGAGAAAATTCTGAAAGATATCGGCCAAATTATCAAAGAAACAGGTCGTTTTATTTACATAGTGGTAGACAAATTAATTTCGATAGATATCCACAGAGTAGAAATTTTTCTAATACGTTTCGTGGGCGTGGTCGTGGTAATTTTAGAAATTTACGACAACAACAGCAGCAACCACAAATTGTGATACAAGTGCCACCGCAGCCACAGCAAATACAACATTTTCAAGAACATTTTCCACAAATTCCGCAACAGCAGAATTATTTACAACAACAACCAGGACCTTCAGCACAATATTATATTCCACCGCGATTAAATTACAACAATGGCAGCAGTTATTCAAGCTTCTATCCGCCCCATCAAGGAACGTTTGCGCCGCTACGTGGGAGAGGTGGAACAAGAGGATTTCAGCCTAGATGGGAATTTGCAAGGCGCTGAACGTCGCAGGCAATGTAATCTTTTAAAAGAAATGATAATTACACATATAGAAAAAATAAGTTGTTCGGTAAATGAGTTAGAGGGCCAAAATAAAATTTGGATGAATTGGTTAGGTGATATGGAAGACGAGCAATATCAAAGAGCAGCTAGAAATTTTACGGAATTTTCGGAAGGTCCAGAAGGCCATATGATTTTAATGGAAAGAGCCCGGGAACGATTAATACATCTAAGGGAAAACTTAAGAATTTTAAATGATTTTTGTCCATCCGAAAATGCGAACATTACTATAAGGAATCAGGGAAATCTAAATCAAACAATGGTTGAGTCAAATTTACCTACTCTCGAATTGCCAAAATTTAATGGGGATATAAGTAACTGGGAGGCATTTTATGAAGATTTCATGAGTATGATAGATGAAAAACAAATTTCGGATAAGATGAAACATTCCTATTTACGAAAAGCACTGAGAGGGGAAGCTGAGGAATTAGTTCAGGGCTACGCGATTACGGCACTCAATTATAGATTAGTTTTAGAGGTTTTAAAGGACCATTACGGTAATAAAAATATAACAAAAAGTGCGTTACACGGGGCATTAATAAAAATCCCGAGAAGCAGCAAATACGTCCCCGAGGTAAAAAATACTTTAAGAAAAATTGAGTGTATCCTTAGGCAACTTAAGCAATTAGGGGAAGATATTGAGCACGAACAAATAAAACAATTAATACAAAGAAAAATGCCTAAATGGATTTTAAAAGAGATAGTAAAAAGAACTAGGGCCGATCCTGAATGGAAAGTTGAGGCTATGTTAAAATTTTTAGATGAAATGATTCAATTAGAACAGCACGTATATTTGGCCCAAAAAGACTTAGATGAGATAGATGAGAATTTAAAAGGGCGTTTTAATGAAAATAGAAAAATAAATTCAGGCCGATTTCAACGTAATGGCAATGCGAATATAAGCCGAAATAATTATAATACAGGGTCAAAACAAATTTCTTCGGTAATGTATGCCCTCCAAGAAAAAGAAACTAAGAAAAAATGTATATTTTGTTCTGAGGCTCATTGGGAATCAAGATGCGAAAAATTTTCAACAAAAGAACAAAGGGCCGAAAAATGTCACGAATTAGGAATTTGTTTTAAATGCTTAGAATCGGGACATCTTTCAAAAAATTGTAGGGCAAAAATAAATTGTTTTTTCTGTAAAAAGCCCGGCCATAACACAGCATTTTGTCAGAAAATAAATAAAAATAATATAGTCAAAAGAAATGTCCCCAATCAATACACACAGAAATACAATTCAGCTAAAACCGAAATAAATAAACAAGTGTGCGTTGGAATAGAAAAAGAGACCAAAGAAGAAGGAATTGAAAATAAACAGTTTAATAGCCTAATAGAGCCAGATTTTGATAAAACACTAGAAATAATGCTTCCAACCACACAAGCAATAATAAGTCACCCCTCGCATCCTGAAAGGTATGAAAACATTCCAATCTTCTTAGATTCTGGGTGTCACATTTCGTTAATAGAAAATGAGATAGCAGAAAATTTAGGACTAATTCCGGTTAAGACACAAATTTTTAGAGGAAATGGTATATTTGGATGTAAAGTAAACAGAACAATGCCTATTTACCCGGTAGACCTACATTGCCTAGATGGAGAAATAATGAGAATTTTTGTAAGAGGGGCAGATAATGTTACCACAAGAATGTGCATTCAAACAAAAAGGGCCATTGAAGAAGCAATAAGTAAAAAATACGTTCCGAAAAACTCTCTTTTTGTTGAAAAACCAGGTATTTTATTAGGCTCTGACTACTTTGGAAAAATCTTTTTGGCTGAAAATACTGAAGCAGGCTTTGGAATATTTAATACAAAATTGGGAAAAATTTTATCCGGACCTGGAAAATTAATTGATGAAAAAATGCAAAAAGTAATTGGAGCGCTTTCTAAAGAAAATGAACAAAAGGAATTCCATAAATACTGGGAACTTGAAGGCATAGGTATCCACGAAAATCCAGTACAGAATGACGACAAAGTAGCCATGGAACACTTTCAAAAAACATGTACACGAGACTCAGATGGCCGATATGTAGTGAGCTGGCCATTAAAGGATGAAAATGTAAAAATAAAAAATAACTTTTGGGGAGCCATTTCAGTACTAAAGTCCGTGCATAAAAAGTTAATGGAAACAAAAAGATTAAATAAATACAATGAAATGATTATGACACAAATTAATGAGGGAATTTTAGAAATTATTGATAATGACGGTAAAGAAAATTCTACATTGTACATTCCTCACCATCCAGTGTATAATAAAGAAAAGGATAAATTAAGAATAGTTTTTAATGCTAGTTTTAAAACAAAAGGAAGCAATTCTTTAAATGATCTACTTTACAGAGGACCCGTGTTATTACCTGAATTAGTCGGATGCCTAATGCGTTTTAGAATGAGTAAAATTGTAGCTATAGCTGATGTTCAAAAGGCGTTCCATCAAATTGCGATTGCGGAAAATCAAAGAGATCTGACCCGGTGTTTTTGGCTAAAAGATATAGAGGGAGAAGTAGTGGAAAGTAATGTGATAAAATTAAGATTTAAAAGAATGGCATTCGGTGTTATAAGTGCACCTTTTCTTATGACGGCCTCTATTAATGATCATTTAGAAAAAACAAATACTAAGCTCTCTTTAGAATTAAAAAATGGGGGAATGTACGCAGATAATATATTTCTTTTTGCCAATTCAACACAAGAATTAAGGGACAAATGCGAACAATCCAAAGAAATATTTGCCCAAATTAAAATGAATTTACATGAATTTTTCTCTAACGATTTAAAAATAAATAAAGCATTTTCCGAACAGCACGAAAAGAAAATAATTAAGGTTTTGGGGATTAATTGGAATTTACAGGAGGATGAGATCTTTTTAGAATTAAGTAAAAATGAAAATTTAATAAATGAAAATATGATTTGGACCAAGAGAAAGGTGTTAAAACAACTAGCAAAGACATTTGACCCATTAGGCTATTTAATACCAGTCTCTCTCCCCAGAAAATTAATAATGCAGGAAATTTGGAAAAATGACATCGATTGGGATGAGAAACTTAGTCCTGAATTAAATAAAAAATGGAATGAATTAATGCAACAAAATAATGAAGAAAATATGAGTTTAAAAATAAAAAGAGAAACATTTTCACCGGAAGAAGAAATCGAAATACATATTTTTGTGGATGCGTCAAAGGATGCTTATTGCGCCGCAGCCTATTTGAAATGTGGAGAAAATATAAAAATAATTTTAGCAAAAAATCGACTTTCACCGTTAAAAAATAATTTGACCATACCTAGACTTGAACTTTTAGCAGCAGTTGCGGGTAAGAGACTAGTGGAATATATAAAGAATCAAATAAAAACTCCTTTCAAAAATGTGTATGTTTGGTCAGATAGTAAATGCATTCTCTATTGGATAATTTCGAGCAAATTAGAAAAATTGCCAAAATTTGTAAGGCGAAGATTGGAAGAAATTAGGGGCCAAAAAGAAATTATATGGAGATATGTTCCAACTCAAAATAACCCGGCCGATTTGGGAACCCGGGGTTGCACCATGGAAGAATTAAAAAATAATAAACTTTGGTGGGAGGGCCCAAGCTTTTTGAAGGATATGAACCAATGGCCTCCTATAGAAATGAAAGCTGAGGAAGAAAGTCAAGATGAAAATGAATTAGATAAATTAATGGCTTGTGTTTTAATGGGAGAAATTAATTTAAAAGTTAGAAACAAATGGGATGAATTAGTAACAATAGCCACATATTTTTTAAAATTTATTACAAAAATTGGAAAGAGAATTGATTTAAAAAGTGAAATTTTATGCGCTTTCAAAAATGCTGAATCAGAAGCGAAAGAAAGAAAAATAGCGCAACTATATTTATTAAGGCAGGCGCAATTGGAATTCCCACCCGATAAAAAGACACAAATTGATTATTTATTAAAGCAAGATAAGTATTCCCTTTGGAAATGTTGGGGGAGACTAGAAAATTCTGCAAGTACCCCACCAATATGGATGCCAAAAGAGTCGAAAATAGCCGAATTAATTTGCATGGAGGCCCACAGAAAATGTTTACATAGTGGATTAAGAGCCTCATTGGCCGAGTTACGTGAAAAATTTTGGATCACCAAAGGAAGAGCTTTTATGAAAAAAGTTATAGAAAAATGTGAATATTGTTCTAGATTAAAATTAAAAGCATTTGAAATTCCCCCAATGGCTCCATTACCGAAAGAAAGAGTAAATAAATCTAATCCATTTCAATTTTGTGGCATAGACTATTTTGGCCCATACAATATTCGAAAAGCAAATAAAGAAATCGGAAAAATTTATGTTGTTATTTTTGTTTGTGAATCGACACGGGCCATACATTTGGAAATGGTCAATGACCTTACAGCTAATAATTGTATAATGGCTTTACGCCGATTTTTTGCTGAATATGGGAAACCCACAAAAATTCTTTCTGATAATGGGACCCAACTAAAATTAACATCAAAAGTTGTAAAAGAAATAACAAAGTTCTCAACAAAAGAAACTATTGAATGGACATTTATCCCGTCTCTTTCTCCTCGATTTGGTGCATTTTATGAGCGAATTATTGGAATAGTAAAACCAGCAATGAAAGCTGCGACTGGTAAACGATTATTAGAGTCTGAAGAATTCCGAACGCTTTTGGCTGAAGTAAAAAAGGTAGTCAATTCTAGGCCTCTGACTTATGTGTACAATGAACCAGGGGATAATGTCGAAGTTCTTACCCCAATGAAAGCAATTCAACCTAATCGAAATAAAGAAAACTTTGATATAGATTTTGAAAGAGAAAGAAGTTGTGAAAGAGAGAAACCAGAAGAAAAATTAACCCGCATATGGAAAAATTCTAGAGAAGCGGTTGAAATGTTTTGGAAGCGTTGGAATAAAGAGTACTTGCAATATCTACGCGAGCGGGCCGACAAATACAAACACAATAAAGGAAAAAATTATGTCCCTGAAAAGGGAGAAATTGTTCTTTTACAGGATAAATCATTGCCAAAAAATTTATGGAATTTAGCCAAAATAATTGAAACAATAAAAGGAAAAGACAATATTGTAAGAGTAGCCAAAGTTCTATGTAAAGGAAAAATATTAACTAGGGCCATAGATTTGTTGTATCCACTCGAACTTAAGGCCGAATGCGAAGAAAAAATAATTGATAAAAATCAAAAAATAGGGACTAAAATGCACGAAATGAAATTAAGGACTAGAAAAAAGATAAATTATAAAGAGAGCGATTTAGAAAGTGACGTGTCAAGTGAAATAGAAATGAATCTTTGCCCATTCCTTTACGAAAGACGAAATTTCACCCCGCCAAAAATTGAAAGAATTGATCCAAATAAAAATAGAATATTTACAAATAAACAAAAATTTAATTGGGAAAAAGAAGGGCAGAGTTTAGCTAGTAAAATACAAGAGGAAATAAAAGAGATACCCGAAATTGAAAGTAAATTGGAGTCAATAACTGAAGAAATATATGGGATAAAAAATAAAATAAATTTAATTGAACCATTAAAAGAGGAAATAAATAAATTAAAATTGGAAAATAATAATTTAAAACAAGATTATGACAATTTAAAAATATTAGCGGAAAGAAACAGAAATGATATGAATAGGTTAATTGCGGATATTTATAAGTCGCCAGAAAAGATGAATACAAAATGCCAAAACTCGAAAAAACAAAATTCCCGCAAAAATTCAAAAAATAAATTCCTGAACACTTCTGTCTTTTTAATGTCTCTGGTACTAATTCTTTTTATATTAATGGGGAGAAGCGTTGGAGCACCGTGCCAAAAAGGACAAAGGAATGTTTTAGTCAAGTCGCAAACGTGCGCAACCAACGGGTTAAAAATAATGAAAGCACCCGATGGGAATTTTTGTTGGGAAATAATTAATTGTGATTATTCTAAAAAGGAACATTTTGAGTCTGAAAACTGTAATGTACCTTGTAAATGCCCACAATGGACCGAAACATGTTCCTTTTATAATGGCCCCAGTACTAAAAATTCAACAATAAAAAATAAAAATGTTCAAAAGATTTTGGAAAGTTTGGCTTTAGAAAAATGTGAGAAAATTGAAAATTGTGGGCCCCTAAAATTAATAGAAGTGAATCAAATACAATTATTTGACAATTCTCTCCATATAATAAAGGAAATGAAAATTGAAGAAAAACAAGCACTACCCGAAGAATATGAATGTATAGGAACCGGACCCATTACAGGCTCCCCTAAATATTGTTTAGACCATATCTGTGAGCTACATGGAACAAAATTTTGTTATTACCCAGGAAATGAAATTTCTCTCCTAGTAAATGATAATGGAAATATAGCTTTGAAGGCTTGGGGTCGTGTAAAAATAAAAGTTAGGGGATTTCTTGAAAGAAAAGAAAATTTAAAATGTGAAAAATGTCATGTTGAATGTCACAAAGAGGGAGTAAAAATATTTTCACAAGAAGAGATAGGAAGTGTAGAGATATGTGTAAAAAATGATCGATGCGCGCTCTTTCCCCACCCAAAATTGGAAGAATTAATTCCATTATCAAAAGAAATATTGGTTTCAAATTATGAAATTAAAATTAAATTTTGGAGATACGGAGAATTAGTAAAAGAATCTGGGATAAATTGTGAAGCTAAAGTAATTTGTGAAATTATAAAATGTAATATTTGTATAGAATTGCTTAAAAATCCACAATGTGCTTCAAAAACTGCTATAATATTGTTCGCAATAATTTTCTATATATTCTTTTCAATAATAATGACTGTTTTTCGTGTGATTGTGTTTGGATTCAGAGGGGCATTTTGCTTATTAAATTTTAAATTTCGATTAATGCGATGGATTTATAGAAAATATAATATAAAGAGTAATCGGGGCAAAAATGAGGAAAGTGAACTAAAATTAATAAAAGCCAAAAGGGAAATAAATCCGATAAAATTAACAATAGTATTAATATTTTTGACCATTCCCGAAAGTCTTCAATTAACCACTATTACCGCTCAGGAAGAAAAATGTGTTGTAAATAAAAATAAAGAGCGGACATGCTTATTTGAAAAAGTGATTGAGTTAAATTTTCTACCTAGGGAACAAGAAATCAAAATATTATTTGAGGATCACGCTAACAGACCAGCAGGAATGATAAATTTAAAAATATTAAACGCGGAAGCACGCTGCGCAAAGAAAACAAAATTTTTTACAAGAGAATATGAAATGAATGTAATGAGTGTTAAGAGATGCCCAGAAACAGGAAGTTGTAAAGGTAATAAATGCGCGGAAATTAAAGTAAATGAAACAATATTAGAATTAGAAGCAGTCCAAAACTTTCCGGGGATTACAGGTTGTGTCGAAGGTATGAATAATTGGCCAATGACAGGATGTTTCTATGCTACAGCTCCATGCACTTTTTATAGGTACTATGCAAAACCTATAGGAAACGAAATTTTTGAAGTCTTTGAATGTGAAAAGTGGGATATCGCATTAAACTTAAATGTTTCATTAACTAAAAATGACGGAAAGGGAGAATTTATAAGCGAAAGTTTTGAAGTAAATTTAATACCCCAATTTATGAAAGAATGGAATAAATTAAAAATGGTTTTAAATGATTTAAACATCCCTCCCACTCCTACACTAGTCAAACCTTTTATAGCCAATAATCGCGCTACAGCCATTATCGATTTTGAAAAAGAGCATAATCTTAGGAAATTTTATTGTAAAACAGCGCAAGAGGCGAGAGAATTTATAAAATGTAGTATAGCGTATAAAACCTGCGATTGCCATTTGGCCAACGATATAGCCGCGTGTACTTGTCAAGATGGGAGAAAAATATCCCAATTATTAAGAGGGGACCAAACTTTACCCTTTGAACACAACGGTCTCGTTTTTAAAACAAAAAACTCTGAAGTAATTTTTAATCCTGACCTAGCTTCCGCAAAAATGGAAGTTAGAATTGAAGGAATGTTTTTGCGCACAGAAATTGAATTAAATAGTTGTAAAGTCCAATCCGCGTCAATAGAAGGCTGTTACAAATGCGTTAGAGGGGCAATATTAACATTACAATGCAAAACAGATTTTGGGAAAAACCTAGGGTATATAACATGTCCTAGCTTAAAAACTGTTGTGATTTGTGATCCTAAAGGAACCAAGAGAATTATTTCAGTCCATTTAGAACATTCTAATATCGATGAAAATTGTGAAATCCATTGTCCCAGTTCAAACTTTAATTTTCAGTTAGTTGGAACATTAGCCCTGGCGAGCGCGGAGAAAGCAGATATTTGGATAAAAACAAAAACAAATGAAACAAAATTCGGAGAAATAAATTTACCGAGCATATTGGACACGCTTTCTTTCTTTTTTAACCCTCTGCACATCTTAATTTTTATTGCAACAATAATTTCCTTACTTCTACTAATCAACTGCATCCTACCAATACTCTTTCGCTTAATTCTAATTTCTGTCTACAAATTTTGTTTCCGCCGGAGTGTCGGGACTGGCCCGACTTAATGATGTTTCATAATATTATATTTTTAATATTTTTTAACAAAATTCCAATTTCTATTTTTATTATTATTTCATAATCTTTCCGATGATTCTTTTCATGTTTCTTCCCAAATAATTCATATTTTTGATATTCCAACTTAATCATACTTTTAAAACAATTCTTGTTTTCACCCTTCTTTAAAAGCAAATTCTAATGCCCCAAAAATATCTTTTTCCTCTTCACTTTTAATTTTAAGAATAAAAATCTTCCCCCAAAAAAATTATTAAAACTTTTAAACTTTGAGAATAAATATTAAAATTTTACGTCTTTTCGAATTTATTTTAAGTCGAAATTTATTAATTTCGACATAATGAAAAAGTTGGTTTCGTTGTTCAAACCCATCCGATCTGTTTCTTTCCCGCCGATCACTTCTTTCATTATTCTGTTCACGATGCAATTCAAAAGATTTTTCTCGCATTCCATTTTTTGTATAAATTTCTTTCTTAAAAGCAGAGAAAATGAGAAGGCTTACAAGGAAATTTGAAGCCCTATAAATTTTCGGAATGGAGGTGAGGGCCAAAAAGCTAAAAATTGGCAATAGGTTATCAACTATGCTCTACACGATGGTATAATTTTTATTTAAAATTTGTTGGTCATTACATAGTCATAACCTTTCTGGTCCAATAGAAAAGGTCCCTGTTAGTGAAAGAACAAACCTGTTTAGTACTATCCCTCGGCGTAACTTTCAATTTTCTTCCATACAATTCAATTGCATCCATTATTTTGCAGGCAAAAAGAACAGATTCTACATGAGTAAATTCAACGAAAGCAAAACGAAATCTTTCTGGGCTTTTTCCTGCTGAGGAAGTTTTCTCAACTTTTTCCCGAATAGTAACGGATTCAATTGGACCCGCCTAAAAATTTCGAAGTTTGAAAAGATTCAAAAAGAAAAATAAACCTGAACAAAAATTTCCTCCAAAAGTTTATCATCAACTTTTTCATCAAAATTGCAGACATAAAGTGTGCGCTCATATTGGTCGTCGAGTTCCATCTGGTTTTAATAGAATCTTTAAATAAATGGGGTAAAGGTATAAAATTATAGAAAACGAAAGAAAAAGGTGTGAAAAATAAAAGAAAATCATTAGAAAAAACAAAAGGTTGAAGGAAAAATTTTTAAACAAAATTTTAAAAAAATTTTAGGATTTCGTGTTTTAGAATTTTTAGGCGAAAGAACACTAGTTTGATAGAGAATTGCAGAGAAGTAAACAAAGAAAAGAATAGGGATAGCAGAGAAGCAGACTAGAGAAATAATAGATGTTATGAAATAATTTCTTCTTATTTTCATTTTGAAATTCAGATAGCTCAATAATTTCAAATTGGTAACTTTCAACAAATAATGTCAATTAATTAATTAATCATAAAATTTTCAAATTACGTAATTTTGCAACTAAATGATAGCAAAAGCAGGTGGGTACAGCCCGAATAGTCGCGGGCCGAATAGTCGCGGCCGAAAAGTCGCGACCGAATAGACGCCGGCCGAATAGTCGCGAGGCCATATAGTCGCCGGCCGAATAGTCGCCAAGCTTTTAATTAAATAGAATACTATCTGATTAATTCTTTTTAAAATGTTAATAAGCAATTCAATATTTATTTAGATTCAATATTTATTTAGACTCATTTTTTGTTTTAGTTTTAAAACTTGTTTACAAGTTTTTTCTTCCCATTTCTTTCTTTAAAATTATGACCGATTTTACATTTTATTTAAAATTTACCAATTTGAAAGGCTTTTTGTTTACACGTTTGTGTTTACACGTCCGCGTCTTTATTTTTTTATCTGTTTTTTTTATTTAATCTTATTTTTAAAATTTTAAGATATTTACAAGTCAAAATGGGCTCTTCAGAAAGTGTTCCAATTCCAGGTGGAGGAACTGAAGGATATCACGTTCTCAGGGTAAACTTTTATTTTTTAATTGATTAAAAGACCATTTTTAGGTTCAAGAAAATTCTCCTGGACAGGCAGCAGGATTAGAACCATTTTTTGATTTTATTGTTGCAATTGGAAATGATCGCTTAGTTTGTTTTATTTTTACTTAAATTATTTATTGTTTCATTTTTAGGACAAAGACAACGACTCTTTTAAAGAAATATTGAAACAACATATGGATAAACCTTTGGAATTAACTGTCTATAACAGGTTAGTTGATTTATTTAGGATAGAATTTAAATTTTGGGGTTTATCATTTCGTTTCCTTTCCATAACTCTAAAATCCCTGGTTTTTTGCTTTTGGTCTATGAATTTTTCTACAGTTTATCTTTGAGCTGAATTTGGTTCTTTTATCAATACAAAATTTAGTAATCTTGAGGAAAAAGGACAAAAAATTAAAATAAACTTAAAAATATTTTTCAGTAAAACGCAAACTGTTCGTCAAACACAAATAATTCCAACACAAGGCTGGGGTGGTCAAGGACTTTTGGGTGTTTCTATTCGTTTTTGTTCTTTTGATGGAGCTAATCAAAATGTTTGTTTTTTAATGAACCATACCCCTAGTTATCACATCTTACCATTAGGTTGGATAAAATCCATTCGAAATTTTATAAATTCCGGTCATTCTCTCGCCCACCCAAGGCATTCCTCTTAGGTATCTTAGATAGGATATCTCAGAAATTCTCTTTTAGATGCGATTTCCCGTCTATTTTTCACTTATCTCAGGAATCCCTTTAAGATAGGATATGTTAAAGATTTTGTCCGTTTGCGAGGGATAAGACATGTTCGATTTTGTTTTTTATCATCAAAAAATTTTTAGGTTTGGCATATTCTCGACATTCAACCAAATTCACCAGCAGAATTGGCTGGGTTAATACCAAATACGGACTATGTTTTGGGGGCAGAATCATTACTTCAACACGCTGATGATTTAATTGCTTTGGTTCAGGCAAATATTGGGAAGCCTTTAAAGGTTTTTTCGAAACTTTTCTCTTGAAAATTTTATTATTTTAAAGCTTTATGTCTACAACATCGACGCTGATTCTGTTCGAGAAGTCACTTTAGTCCCGAATTCGGCATGGGGCGGAGAGGGATGTTTGGGTTGTGATATTGGTTATGGTTATCTACACAGAATTCCTGTCTCTATTGATCGTTCACAGCCGAGAGAAGAAAAATCTGTTGTTTTGCCAACCCAAATGATGGAGAATTTGAATATTGGAGAGAAACAACCTTCTGTGATTATGCAACCTGGACAGACTGGAATTCCTCAAATTGATCAATTTGTTAATGTTTGTGAATTTTTTTGAATTTTAATAAGGGAAACGAGTAAATTAACAATTGTAAGAAAGAGTTGGTATTTGAGTTGGTAGAATTAAATTCAAAAAAAGCCTTTGATCCTGATCCCAGGGGAGGACCATGACCGATTCTTGACAATAAGTCAAGGAAAAATAAGCAACACTGAAAATGCTTTTGACTCTGGATCCAGGAAAAATCACGGGCTGGATTCTGGCCGATCTCTATAAGTTTTGTTTTTTCTTCACTTTTTCTTGTTTTTGGGATGTTTTCCGTAGCACGCCATAAATGCTAAAACGCCTAAAACCCAAACCACCAAAGACCGCTGAAATACCAACTTCTCTTTCCTATTTACCACTCCAATAAAATTTTGTTCCACAGGCGTCTAAACGTGAAGATTCTGAGCCTAAACGTTTTCCAAATCCAAATGAATTTCTTCTTCCACAAACTTCAACAGCTACAAATACTTTAACTCAACCAATTCAACAACCAATTAATGGAATTTTTCCTCCTCCTCAATCTTTAGATAATAATCTTTATATGCCTCCACCTCAACAACCAATTGATGAAATTAAAGAGAAATTAATTGAAAATTTGGAAGGAGAAAAAAATAAAGAAGATAATCAAGGACAAGGAGAAAAAACAACAACATTTGCTTCTCCATTGGTGTCTCCTCCATTGGTGTCTCAAGCTACTCCAATGTCTCAGGCTATTCCAAACCAATTAACTTCTCCAATGGTGCCTTTTACTTCTCAAAATATTCCAAATCAACTTCCTCCTCTATCCTTTCCGCAACAACAACCCCAACCACCTCCCCCAATCAATACAAGTGCTTATCAACCATTTTTGGCTTATGGAGCTCCTCCAACTTCTGGAGGATATTTTGGTGGATTTCAGCCTGTACAACAACAATATTTTTCTGAACAGCTCCCGATGTTTGGTGGGCAAGAAATGTTGCCACCACAACAATTTAATCAGCAACAAACGTCGGTTAATACATCGGTTCCAATTCAACCATTTTTTACAGGTTTTTTTTTAAATTTTTTAGTTGATTTTTTGATTGATTTTTGAATAATTTCCTTGAAAGACTTTTGGGCTTGTTTCAATTTTTTTGAAAATTCTTGGGAAAGCACTAGAGAATCGGTCTAGATTTTAAGGAACTTGTGGGTCTTTCATTTTTTTGAACATTTTTGGGAAACTCACTAGACATCTTGATTCAGTTTGAAAAAATTTTTTGCCTTCATTTAATCTGTGCTGGGTTGAGAAAAATAGTAGGTGTTGGCTTTACTTGCTTTTTTAATTAATTCTTCAACTAAAATTTTTTTCAAAGTTTTTCTTTTCAATTCTTGTACATTTTTGAAGCATCAACAAGCGGTGTTCATCAACATATTTATTCGTCTGCATATAATCCACCACCACTTCAACCACCATCAATTAATCAACAACAATATTCACAACATCCACCAGTTACATTCCCAATGCCCCCATTATCTTCTTTAGGAATTTCTGGACTTGTAATTCCTCCACCACTTTCAACAAGTATTCAACAATCTAATAATAATGAACAAATAATTTATGGACAACAAATTCAAGCAATGACTGGTAGTGGTGAACAACAACAGATGCAACAAACAGGTTTAATAATAAATTTCTAGAAGTGGGGAAAATATTTTTTATAATTTTAATATTTAATAAGGTCAAAAAGAACTAAAAAATAAATTTTTTAGTTTATTTCATGTCAGATTAACCTAGGAAATTAATTCTGAATTTTTATTTCAACAATATGGGTTAGCTGGCATTTGCTTATTAGTGGATGTAAGCCATGGATATTAAGCCATCTACTTCCTCCGCTTTCATTTTTCATAGATCTTCGCCTTTTTTCTAACCTTTCCGTCTTCCATCTGCCGCTTTTTAAATGTGGAAGAACCCATCCCTTATTTTTGGGAGTATATTTTTAAGACACTTTTGTATCCGCAAATGCCAGGATGCATCTCCGGGTTTTCAAATATTATTTTAACCCTTAAAAATATCAAAATTTTTATTTAAAAAATAAAAAAAAATTCTAGGCAATTTTATGTCTCACCCACCAATTCAACAACCAGTTCAACAATTTCATAGTCTTTAAATATTGAGAGGTGCTAATGAGAAGAATGATTTTTTAGGCGTAAAAATGTGATATCTATTAAAAATGGAATTTTATGTTTTTGGTTGGAGGGATGAAAGACTTGGATTTTAAAAGAAAAATTTTAATTCAAAAAATCCAAGTTTCTTAGAAAGTCGTTCTTGCTGACAATTTTTACGGATTTTTTAAAATTGCTGAATTTCTAAAATTAAGAAAAATTTTTCTTGAGAAATCCAAGTTCCTTAAATATTTTTAAACTTATTTTTGGGAGTGTATTTAAAGACACTATTTATATAAATAATATATTTGTTAAATAAATGTTTAAAATTAATAAATTTATTTTTTAAAATTGGTTTATTGTCGAAAAATATTTGGAGTGTTTTTTAATCAGAAATTTTTAAATTTGATTTTTAGTCTTCTAGTATTATTTTATTTGAATAATGACCTCAATCGAAATTGAAGCAGCAGAGTAAGTATTGATAAAATTTAAATATGTGATAATTCTTGCGGACAATTTTTGCGGACAATTTTTTGCGGATTTTGTTTAATTTACGGACTTTTTATTTTTTTGGGTATTTTTATCTTTTGCAGACTTTAATCTTTGTCTGCAACAAAATCTAACTCTCAATAAATCTTGACTTTTTAAAAATTTTATTTTTTTTCAGTGTTGTCCGTCTAGTAGAGCAATATCTAAAAGAGAACAATCTACACAGGTTTAATTTAAAAAATTATGATTTATTTTTGTTTTATTAGAACCTTGGCAACTTTGCAGGATGAGACGAATATAACGCTTAATACAGGTTTTGTTTATTAAGCCTTGATTAAATTATAAAATTTTTGCGGGTTTTTTTGATTTTCTGCGGATTCTAAAACTTAAAAAAAATTTTTTAGTTGACAGCATCGACCAATTTACCCACGATATAACTAATGGACATTGGGATACAGTGCTTAAACAAATACAGCCTTTGAAATTGCCTGCCAAAAAATTAATTGATTTATATGAACAGGTTTATTTTTAAACTGAGGAGACGGGGGCCTGAACCATTTCTGTCAGTCCTGCTGTTGTCAGCACCTTTTTTCTTCTGATTTTTCACTTTAACATTTCTATATTCTTACAGGGTACTATGATACCCTAATTATCGTTTCCCCCATCGAAGTGGACAGTGGGGGGAAACTGCACTAATTCCACGCTTTCCTTTTAACTTCACCCCAATTTAATCTGAAAGGGATGTGATTTAACTTGATTCGATTCCCTATCCTTTCCTTCTTATGTCAGCAAAATTTGGTTCCTAGGGGTGTCGTTATACAGAGATTTCACTAACTATAAATTTCTCTAGATAATCATTGAATTGGTTGAATTACGAGAATTAGGGTCTGCTCGACTTATTCTAAAGCAGACTGACCCAATGGCTTTACTTCGTCAAATGGACCCTGAAAGGCACACAAAATTGGAAAATTTGGTTGCAAAAACTTATTTTGATCCAAGAGAGGCTTATGCTGAAGGGGGGTCGAAAGAGAAAAGGAGAACTGCTATAGCACAGGTTTTTTGGAAAGAAAATTTTTTTGGGCTTATAAAGTGGTTGAGTTCTAGTTCTCTTTTTTAGTTAACATTTTGTCAGTTTGGCGAAATGTCCAATTTTATGAAATTATTCTTTTTAGAGAAGGAAGGGATTCATAAAATTTCCAATGTTAAATCGAGGTGTTTCAGTTTTACATATTAGGAGGTCCCAAGTAGAGATCGGAATTTTTGAAAATCCTGGGCCTGTTTCTGGATTCTGTGTTTAATTTATTGTCCTGGGCCATTAGTCCAGGAAAAACCTAGGAAGGTAAAAAAATGCCTGGACTCTGGGTACAGGAAAAACCATGTCCTTGTTCCAGACCCAGGCCGATCTCTAGTCCTAACAATAAGTCTTTTAAGTTTTCTCTTACCTATCCCTGGAGCCGTAGGGTGTTTTTCAAATTTTTACTAAAAAATCCTTTGGAAACAACAATTCTTTTTTCAGTCTCTCTTTGCCGAAGTTCACGTAGTCCCGCCTTCTCGTTTACTTTCATTACTCGCTCAAGCATTAAAATGGCAACAACATCAAGGGCTTTTACCCCCTGGAACTCAAATTGATTTATTTAGAGGGAAAGCAGCTGTTAGGGAACAAGAAGATGAAAGGCACCCAACAACGCTTGCACGTACAATGAAATTTGGGTCGAAAAATTATCCAGAATCTGCACAGTTTAGTCCGGATGGGCAATATTTGGTGACAGGTTTGGAATTTTAAATTATTTTTAAGAATGCATAAAAGACATTGTTAAGGGAACAAAATTTCAAATTTTTGGACTTTATTGTAAATTTTTGTTGTCGATTTTGTTCTGTCTGGTTTTCCTTTTGTGAACATTTTGTCACTTTAACGAATTGTCATATCTGTCCCTTATTGACAATTTTCAAAAATCCGTCAAAATTTAATTTCTTTAATTTAAAGGGTCAGCAGATGGATTTATTGAAGTTTGGAATTTTTCAACAGGAAAATTAAGAAAGGATTTGAAATATCAAGCACAAGATAATTTTATGATGATGGATACAGCAATACTTTGTTTAGCTTTTAGTAGGGATTCTGAAATGCTTATAACTGGTTCTAAAGAAGGAAAAATAAAGGTTTGGAGAAATGAGGGAATTATTTAAAAATCAGGGAAGGACGGTAAACATGGGGACTTTGTACGGTGAAGAGTAGTTTTGTGATTTCAACATTTTTCAAATTCTTGACTCCAATTCAGTTAAACTCCTGGGCCAGTTCAGGAACTAGCTCTCTCAACATTGGAGATGAGCACCAAGACTTTCCGTTCAGAGGACTTTCCGCAGTCGGAAAAAATTCTGGCAAAAAGCCATGTAATTCTTTGCGAGGCCCCCATGGAAAATTTTTTAGGAACGTTTAATTTTATAAAATAAAGGTGGTTGTCGTCCTTTCCATTTTTTAGAGGAGTGTGGAAGATAAAATTAAAAAATTTTTTTAAATTAAAGATTTGGAAAATCCAAACAGGACAGTGTTTAAGAAGATTTGAAAATGCACATTCTGAAGGTTTTTTTAAATTAATTTTAAGAAAGGAAATTTTTATTTCTAGGTGTCACAAGTGTTTCATTTTCAAGGGATTCAAGTTATGTTTTGTCGTCTTCTTTTGATAAATTAATTAGGTTTTTTTTGAAAATTTATTGAAAATTTATTTTTAAAAAGAATTCATGGTATGAAAAGTGGAAAGTGTTTAAAAGAATTGAGAGGACATACTTCTTATGTTACTGATGTTAAATATACTGAAGATTGTCATCAATGTGTGAGTGGATGTGCTGATGGAACTGTTAAAGTATTTTTTTGAAAATTTTTTTTGGAAAAAATTTTTTGTAATTTTTTCAAGAAAAAAATTTTTTTTGAATGAATTCTAAAAAATTTGGAAATTTTCAAGAATTTTTTTTGAAAATAAAATTTTTTCTTAAAAAGGTTTGGAATTTAAAATCAATGGAATGCATTAATACTTTTCGTGTACAACAAGAAATCCCAGTAATGAGTGTCCATTTACTTCCAAAATCAAACGATCAATTTCTCATTTGTAACAGAAGCAATACAATATATGTTTGTAATTTACAGGGACAGGTAAAAATTTTTTTGAGAATTTTAAAACAAACGGAGTGAAGGGGATAATAAGAAGTTGAGAGATGTCTAGTACAAATAGACCTTGATATAGGATACCCCAACTACAAGAATCTCTCAATTTACATAAACTTGATTGACCCCTCGATTGTGGAACCAAGGTCTGGGTTTTTCCGGTACCAGGCATTTTTTGGCCTTCCTGGGTTTTTCCTCGGCCTGGGTTTTTCGGATTCTGCCTAGATCAATAAATCAAACCCGGAATTCAAGAACAGGCTCATGTCAGGCTTTTTAAAAATTCTGATCTCTAGTATATAGTTAATTCAAGAAAAATATTTTTTTCTCTTTTAAATAATTTTTAATTTTTAAAAAAGGTAGTAAAAACCCTAACTAGCGGAAAACGAGAAAAAGGCGATTTTATTGCTGCTTGTCCTTCTCCAGAAGCCGAATGGATTTATTGTGTTGGAGAGGACCGTGTACTTTACTGTTTTTCTATGATTAGCGGTCAGCTTGAAAGCACAATAGCGGTAATTTAAAATCTTTTTTTCTTCTCAAAAAATCTTTAAAGATACACGAAGCAACAGTAATTGGAATAGCCCATCACCCGCATCAAAATTTAGTGGCCACATATGCAGAAGATGCTCTTCTTAAGCTTTGGAAGGCTGTTTGATTTATTTTGATATTTTTAAAATGTTACTTGAGAAGAATTCTGATTTTTAAAAATGAAAATCAGAATTCTGATTTAATTTGAAAAATCAGAATTTCCATGGAAATCAGAAAAACTTGTAGAAAATCAGAATTCTGATTTTATTCCAAAATCATAATTTTCATGAAAACCAGAATTTTTAACAAGGTCAGAATATCCTCTAAAAAATCAGAATTCCGTTTTTAATCTCAAAATCAGAATTTCCATGAAAACCAGAATTTTTAACGAGATCAGAATATCCTGTAGAAAATCAGAATTCTGATTTTTATTAAAAAAAATCAGAATTTTTAACGAGGCTAGAATATCCTCTAGAAAATCAGAATTCTGTTCTTGATCTGAAAAATCAGAATTTTTATTTAATCAACTGAAACGATAAAATTCTTTTCTAAATTCTGATTTTCAATTAAGTCTCTCTTATTTCTGAATTTAATTTAAAAAATAATTCTGAGGCTATTCCGCAATCTTTTGTAGGATTGAGAGACTTCCCTTTGAAAATCCAATATTTATTTTTATTTATTTTCTAAATGAATTTTTTTTTGCTTTTCCCTTTTTCCAACCTTGTCTGTCCATCACAACAAACTTTCTCAAAATTTGTTGTGGACATATAAAAATTGGCGCCATAAGGGTGAAATTAGATTTTGAGGGAAATTGAGGGGGAATTTTCTTTTCTACAAAACTTGCAATCAAAAAATAAAATGTGTGGCCTTCCTTTTCTGATTTTTTTCTTCATTTTCTCAATCAAAAATACAAGAAAAAGGAGGAAAATTAATTTTATATAGGAAAATATTTTGAGATGATTTTTAATTAAATAGGAAAAAACAATTGGAAATTATATAGAGGGGAAGAATTTGTTTATTTTTTGAAGGTTTTTGGGACAACTGCCAATTTTCTTTGGTTTTTTAGAAAACGTTTTAAAAAATTTCCAATTGTTGGGGACCCAAAGATAAGTATTAATAAAGCCAACAATTTAAATACAGTCAGACCTCACTTATTTAAACCAAAATTCTGATTTTATTCTGAAAAAATCAGAATTTTTATTTTCAGAAGAAAATGAATATACATCTACCTAAGGTTATACCCTCTATTTAATATACACCTCTTTACAAGATAAAAATTTTTTTCTGGTCCCATAGAGTATCTATAAGCTAGGTCCGACTGTATTGAGATTAAATTTTATTAATTCAAAAAAATTTTCTCTATCGATGCCAACTTATTTTTGCCATTTTACGTTGACGCCAAATAAGTAATCCAGTAACCAACGGAAAACAAAAAACTAGCAAACCAATCCCTGCTAGAGCAGCACCAAAAATATTTTCACTAACACAGACGGTTGATTGGGAAAGAGGGGAGACCGCTAAAAAATTAAATTTTTGAAAAATATTTTTTGAAAATTTCAAGTACCGTATGGCCCTGTAGTCAGTCCGAGACGCGAATTTGTTGAAAAATCTAGAGAAAAATTTCAAGTCTTTAAAATTTTTTTGCACATCTACCTTTCCCAACTTTAAGCAATTCTCTCCGTTCCTCCGCCTCTTCTCCAGTTTCTTCATCATCCAAATCCAAAACATGAATTCTTTCAGCAGACAAATCCTTTAGAAAAAAATATTTTAGAATTCAATTTGAAAGATTTTTCATCTTATCCCTACCCTGGACCACCTATTTAATCCCTATCTTAACCCACCCCAAACAACCTTAATCCGTCATGAATGAGGCTGAGATAATGTTAGAGGGAAAATATTTTAGAGAAAATATATAAAATTAAATATTAAGGGATCAGTTAGATTTGGAGCTTAATCCGGGATAACTAAGAAGGGGAAAATCCCTTTAGAGGGAAAATAGAGAAAAGAAATACCCCGCTACAAATGAGATTGGGATAAGCTAAAATGTGGCTAACATAAGACAGAAATTCTATTAATTTAAAAATGGTCACACCATCGTAAACGGGTCATCAGGTGAAAATGGCGCGGATATCGAAGAATTGTTTTCAATTTCTTTAGCATCTCCAGTCGTTCGTCTCCGACGATTATTTGGGCCACAACGAGGGGGCTGAAAAAGACGATTGTTTTATTAAAGAATATTTTATTTTTACAGTTTTCCCAGAACACATTCCTTCAGAAATCATGCAAGTACTGACTGCACATTGAAAATACGTTGTTACTTTGTCGGCAAACTTTTTTGGGGGAAAAAATTTTTTGAAATTTTTTTGTTGTTCCCCTACCTTAAAAACATTAACTTCTGTAAATGCCAAATTTGCTTGACTATTATATGTTAAATCAGAAACTATTATTGGGTCATTTGTACAGCCTAGAAAATTAATAAAAAATTATTTTTTTTTTATTTTTTAAACACCATGCTCATCAATTAAAGGTTTCCGATCCTTTCCAGCCCCATCATCTACAAAACAGTTGTGGACTAACATTGAAAACATGTCTGAATCGCATTGCCATACCTTTAATTAAAGGGTTATTTAATACCTAGAAGCTCTGAACAAGACAAGATCCCTCCAGACAACCCTAACAAGAAACCCTTTTGCCCCAACTTCGGTCTAAACTGTTATGTCATAACTTTTAAATTTAACACACCCCAATCTCTTACTCATCCTACTTATAGCTTCGTTGTCAGCTCATATTAACTCACTCACATATCCCAGACTCTAGTAACCCCTTCTATTGACCAGACCTGCTCACGGATACAGATTTTGGTATCCGTATCCGGATATTTACAGCGGATACAGGCGGATATCCGCAGGCATCTTGATATTATTTGTATCCATATCCGTATCCATGACCAGGTCTGCTATTGACTAGTAAAGATATATAGCTCCAAACTATGGTGGGATAAGATAGATTTTGGACCGAAAAATAAGAAAAAAAATTTTCACATGAAATACAGGCTCCCCCACACTTGCATAAGTCACAATCGGTCCATTCACAGAACCTCTTCTTACAGTGTACGTACAGAGAGGCATTCTGGCAGTATCAATCAACTCTGTTGTGGGTATCATGCTAACATCAAAGCGATTAGTAACTACTTTATCTGCTTCCTTTAAAAAAATTTTTTAAATTTTTTCTGAAAAAAATTTTCTTGCCATATAAAAACAAGTACAGCGATAAGCACGATCTACTTTGGTAATGAAAATATCGTGGAAAGAAATCTTTAAAAAAAAATTTTTTTAATTAAAATAAATTTAAATTAACCGTCACAGTAATAGACTGTTCTACACCTCGTTGTTCTGGTCCTAACTAAAAAATCAGAATTAAATTTAAATTTAAAATCGGAATTATTTTTAAAGAATATTTTTTTCCCTTTAAAAGTCAGAAAATGTCAAGGTCTTATTAAATAAAATTATTTTTTAAAAACCCCTTCTTGACTCTATTTTAAAATAAATTGAGGTAGAATGTCAAGTGTATACAAAAAGAACAAAAACTTTTTTTGAAATATTTTCTTGAATTAATAATTTAATTTAAAGTTTAAAACTATTATTTTACGTCAAAAAAAAATTAAAAATTTATTGGAGTCTCATTTTGGATATTAAAAAATTCTGATTTGTAAATAAAATTCTGATTGGTAAAATTCTGATTTTTTTTAAATAAAATTCTGATTTTATATTCTGATTTTAAAATAAAAATTTTTTAAATAAAATTCTGATTTTTTTATGAAATTCTGATTTTTAAAATTCTGATTTTTACTAAATTCTGATTTGTAATAATTACAATTCTGTTTTGTAAATATTTTACAAATTCTGATTTTAATTTATTTTAAGCTCTACTTTCCTTTCAAAAGGGAAAGAAAGGGAAAAACCGATTTGTAATTTAAACAAATACTAGAATAGAAAATATTTTTAAAGTATTGTTATTGACCTAAAAGGATATTCAAATAGAAAGTTTAAAAGAAAATATAAAATAAAAACTTACTTTTCTTGATCGTCTCATATTGCAAGCTCCATTGGCCAATTCAAATTCGACCTTTAAAAAATCAGAATTTATTTTAAAAATCAGAAATTATTTTAAAAATCTTAAAAATCAAGTCATTCTGATTAAAAAATCGATTTTTTAAAATTCAGAATTTAAAAAGTCAGAATTTTTCAGAATTTAAAAATCAGAAAATTTAAATCAGAAAACAATCAGAATTTTTATTCTGATTTTTAAAAAATCAGAATTTTTGATAGGAAAAAATCAGAATTTATTTTAAAAAATCAGAATTATTTTAATCAGAGCAAAAATCATAATTTTTTAGATCAAAATAAGAATCAGAATTTTTATTCTGATTTTAAAAAATCAGAATTTCTCTCTACCTTTGTTTGACTATTCTGCCTATAATTTTCCACACACTTTTCATTATCCACCATTCCTTTAACAAAAATTCTTCCAGTAAAAGGTTTTTGCGTTTGAAATGTTAATTTTACACGTTCTTCGAGACAATCAACTAAAGGATCTCCTTTAAATAATTTTTTTAATTTCTGAAAATTTTTTATTAAAATTTACCTATCACAGCATTATCTAAAATTGAAGATTCTGAAGAGGGGAAGGCACTTTCGACAGGGGGATAAAATGAGGGAATTAAAAGGGGTATTAAAGAAAAAAACAAGGGAGAGGAAAGGAAGGATGAGGACATCTTTTGAAATTAAAATCTGATTCTTCTGAATAAATTTCAATCAAAAAATATCTAAAAAAATCGACTAGATAGGAGCTGTTTATAACCTAACTCTCTATCTTATGAACTCACACCTATTAAAAGTCAGGATAACTGAGAAGATTGGATATGCGGGGATACAGGAAAGGAATAAATATGGAAGGAATTTAAGGGGGAATATGTGGGATATTATAGAGATGGCTTGATGATAGCAAATTAATCCAAGCCTAATGAATCCAAGTCTAATGAATCTACATCTTATCACACCAACACCTATTAAGAACCTATAGTCGGGATACCTGAGAGGTGAGATATCTGAGGATGGAAGAAAGAAATGAGACAAACATAGAAGGGAATCAAAGGCTGGGATATGTGGGATATGATAGAGATGATTAATAATAGTCTAAGAACCCATGCCTAGTGAAGAGACCATTTACATCTTATAAAAATTTAAAAAAATAATTTATTTGTTTTAAAATAATTTGTAAACAAATTTGTGCCCTTAGAATAGCTCAAAAGTACTCCTAAAAACTGAGGAAAATATATAAAAGAATGAGCGAAAAATGAGGGAAGATGCTGGTTGTTGTTGTGACAGCCTAAACTCCGCCCTCTAATCGGAGAACCTTTTAAAGTGAAAAAAAAAGTTTGGAAGATTGAAAAGGTCTTTTTCTTTTATTTATTATAAAAGGTCCTAAAAATAAACAAAAAATAAATATTTTTAATTAATTTAATGAACGGTTAGTTATATTTGTACAGTCGAACCTCACTTTAAGTTAACCCTTTTGGGGGCCGAAAAATTTATGTAGCTTATAATTAGGGTTGCCAAAATGGACCGATTCGGACCGAAAGATCGAGTTGAACCTAAGAAATTTGGCCCGAAAAAGACTCGTATGGCCCGACTCGATAAAAACAAGCCCGAAACAAAATGCCTCGACCGTCGGCCCGACTCGAAAACGGCAACCCTACTTATAATGAAATGTATCTCAAATAAAGGATATTTAACCTAGGTAATCCCTAACCAGGGATGAGCTAGGGTGAGAAAAATCGGGTCGGATTTTGGATCTAAAAAAGTCTTGGTTTCATATAACGACCCATCCCTGCCCTATATCCAGTGGTCAACCAAATTCAAAAAACCAGTCTAAAATTGAGGTTCTACTGTAATTAATTAGTTTTTTAAAGTTAATTTTCACTATTTCCTCTTTTTCGATATTTTTCAATACCATTAGAACTCATAATGCAAATGTGTGGTAAATCACGAAACATTTCGTTGTAATCCATTCCATATCCAACAATAAATCTTTAAAATCTGGGTTTTAAAGGGTAGGGTATTTGGGGAACAAAGACCCCACGAGACTTAAACCTCCCAACTTATCCCCCATTTTATTCACAGATCTCCAAACTATCCCTCTCCGATATACCCCAACTCACCTCAAACTTTGGAGAGGGTAGGGGATAAGCGAGAATGTCTGATACCAAATAAAATAAAAATTTACTTGTCAGGAACACTAAATCCAACAAAATCTCCAAAAATTGAATTTTCCTTGACTAGAGTTGTTCTTTTTGATATTAAAATTGCAGTCCAAATACGTCCTTCAGGCCCCACATTTTCTTTCAATTTTTCTGTTAATTTCGAAATTGTAAGTCCTGTGTCGATTATATCATCTACCAACTTTAAAAAAATATTTTAGGAAAATAAAAAAATCAGAGCCAGTCAGGCTCACTCAATAAAAATTTTTAAAAGGAAAGTCAGAAGGTCCCATTCTAAAAATAAATTAAGATTTCTTGGTAACACAAAGCCATAAGGGATGGGGCGGGTTAAACGAAACCAACCTCTATTTTCAGCAAGAAACCCGATCCAGAGAAATTTGTGAAAACCCGAAACCCGATTTTTTAAAATTGGCCAAAAAATCCGATTTTTAAAAATTGGCCCATCCTTGTCACATACTCACACCTCCCACTCTCTGCATTATCCCAGAGATGTTTTCAAAAGAGGATTTTGGAAGGCCAAGAAGTCAAAAAATTCCTTCTAAAATTTTTTCAACCCATTTCCGGGGGGGATGGGGACTGGCTACTACCTTGTAAAATAGAGATTCTTATTATAAAATGACCTTCATTCTAACAATAAATCAAATTTTAGAAACCAAATCTCAAATATATCAGATATCCCATCACCCAAAAATTAAGAAACTCACAACAACTTGTGCTCCTTTAAGACTTTCATCTAACAATAAATTGTTTAATTCTTCAATAAAAACATTTCCAGTTGATTTTTGGTCAATATAACTACGTGCACGAATAAATTCAACTCGAATAGGCCACCCACAGTTAGAACGAGCTTCCGACAAGTTTTGTAATAAATCAGAGAAAAATCGAAAAGAACCTTTCAACACGCAAATCATAACTAGTGGCTTTAAAAATAAATTTAAGAGATTTAAAAATCAAAAAATTAAAAGCTAATTACTCGCTGCCCCCTTAATTTTCCTAAAGTATTATAGGCTCCATCTTGTCTCACATTCTCGGATATCCCATAGACAACTTGTATCACCGATAACTCAATCATACCCAATAGGGTTTGCCGGCCCGGTCCGAGGATCGTGTTTGGGCTCGAATTTTGACCCAAAAAAGACTCTGTCAGGCAGGACCGATAAAAATGAGGCCCGAAAAAAAGACTCGAAAACGGCAACCCTAATTCCTGATGACGTCTCACGCTTCCACATACCCCCTTAAGATTATCACAAATCGAGGTATCTCAAGAATGGACGAGACAAGATAGGGATTCTTACTCAAACCCCACCCCTTAACAAAACCTTTTAAATCAAAAATTAAAACCTTATCACCAATCCGAGAGTCAATCTCAACAGCCATTGCATGTATTCTATCTTGTATAACTGAATATTCAATAAGGACAGCAGACAAATCATCTTCATAACATCGAGGAATACCAAATTCAGAGAGCGGCAACTTAAAAATAAAATTTTTAAAAATCAGAAAGTCCGCAAATTTTTGTCCGCAAAATTTTTGCGGACAATTGAAAATTTAAAAAAAATTATTTTTCAAAAAAACCTCATAATTATCGCCAATTTCAACCGGAAATAGTCCATTATTTTCCATTTTTCTTTGAGTTAAAATTTAGTTAAAATTCAGAAAAATAATTAGTTCACTAACTATCGCCTGATTCATTAACCAATTTATAAGAACATTAATAAATAATTATTAGAGTAAGTAACAAAAAATAAATTAAAAAAAATAAAAATGTGTGATAAATTTATTTTATCAATTTTCTAAAAATTAACAACAAAAATTTTTTAAAATTTTTTTGAATGGCACACGGACATATCGGGATATTTCAATGTACGAACAGTTACCCTGCAGATTTCGGGACCTACGGCCACTGGGTCTTGGATAGTATATTGATAGAGTTTTTATGTTTTAGAACAAGCATAAACACGCAACAAATTATTTTTGCCACTCCAATCCCGATATGTCCGCACACCTTTTGAATAACAAAAAAATTAAAAAAAAATTTTTCTAATAACAATCCCACCCAACATATTCTTTAATTAATTCTTTATTTTGTTGCCGTCCACGTCTTACAGCATTTTGTTGTCCTTTAACTCGTAATTTTTCTTTCTTTGCTTTATTTTTTTCCTTTAGAAAAAAATTTAGGACAAAAATAGAAATTTTAATTTTTGTGGTAAAGTGCAAGTGGGTTAGGTTTGGGTTCTCAAGGGGTAGAGGTTCGAACCCTTTTGAAGGCAAACATTTTTAAAAAAATTTTACAAGTTTTTAAAACATTTATGGACAGTAAATGAATTTTTTAGACCCAAAACTAAGAAAAAAGGGTAAGAAACGAGGGAAAATTATTTTTTAAATTTCTGCTGCTGTGAGAAATTCAGAAACTCTAAAGGCTGTCAAAATTTTATTTAAATTTAAAAAATAATAAAACAAACCATTAACAATCTCCGTTTAATTTCATCTTTGGATAATGTAGAAGTTGACCCAGCAACACTAGATAATTTTAATAAATTATTTTTGGGGTTATTTTTGTGTTGTTTTTGGGGGATTTCTTCGTTTGTTTGTTGGTTATTTGAATAATTTGAAGCGACTGATTCTTCTTCTGATGCCTTAAAGTTAAAAAAAATAAAAATAATTTTTCATTAGTTAATTCATACATTATCGTCTTCGTCCCCCTCTTTCTTTTCAGAATCATTTGGTTGTTTAGTAACCTCATTTTGATTTAAGGCAATCGTTTCTAAACTTTCCCGAGCCTGATCAATCCATTCTTGAAGTCGTCCGGTATTAGAAGGTTCGAGTTGTACTGATTTGGTGGAAGGTTTTTCCTAAAATAAAATTTTTAAAATAAATTTAAGTCTGAAGATAGGGTTGTTAGTTTTCAAGTAGAGTTGTCCACGACCTTTGCATCTTTACCTGTGACGGCTCAAATGTTCTTATTAATCTCTGTTTGAAAAAGGTACAGGAAAAAATTAACTGGATGTGAGCAGCTCTCTTTGTGAACAATTCTTCTCTCAACAAAGACCCGAAAAGACAAAAGACAACCCTACTGTTTTTTTCAAAAATGTCAGGGACCAATTAGAACCTCCATTTAATCAAATTCCACAACTTCAAAATATTTTAAAAATTCTCACCTCTTTTTCAACACCAATTTCCTCCTCATATCCAACCATTTCATAACTTTCTCCATCACCTTCATCCTCATCACTTTGTCCATCCTCCTCTTCATCACCCTCCAAATGAACAGTAAAATCTCCTTCATCATACGCCTAAAAATTTTTAAATTAAAAAAAAATTCGAATAAGAAGCCTTATTCAAATCCAAACGCATTTGTTTTGTAAATCCACTAGCTTCCAATTCAACATCCAAATCATAACATTTTTCAACATCTTTAAATTCTGGCCATTCTTTGGCATCAAAATGAAATTTTCGGGCAAAAAATGTTTTTACACAATTTACATCTCTATTAAAGTAAAATTCTGCATTTGGGTGATACACACTAACCATTTGTGGAAAATCTATTAGAACTGGAGAGCCATCCTAAATTTTAAAGAAAATTATATTTTATGGTTAAGTGGAGGTGTGTTAGGTTTTGAATATTAGAGGGTCAAAGGTTCGAATCCGTTCGAGGGTAAACATAATTAAAATACACTTATTGTTGTTTTAAACGTTTTTAGAAGAAAAATAACCTTCAAAAATATTTTTAGAAACTAAAAAAGCCAAGCTTAGTGGTTAAGTGGAAGTGTATTATGTATTGAAATTTAGGGGGCAAAGGTTCGAACCCGCTCGAGGGTAAACATTTTAAAATATACTTTTTGAAGTTATAAACGGTTTTACAACAAAAATGACTTGCAAAAATATTTTTAAAAATTTTAAAATCAAATTAAAAACCTCTCTAAGCATAATATTGAACTCATTAAAGTCACAATGAATTAATCCATAGGAAGCCAATCTTTCAATTAAATTCATCAATTTTTCAAATAGAATTGCCGGATCATCAACTTGTGCCACATTTGACAATGTTGGACCAACAATTAATTCCATAACCACGGTATGGCGGCTAATATCGATTGGTTTTGGAACGGGAAAATTGTGGGAGTACAAAGCTTTGAGGAAGGCAAATTCTTTAAAGGCAGCCAAACGAGAAAGGTATAACCAGGAACAAAAATGACGTTTTCGATGATAATCACGTTTCTCTTTTAATTTGCGGAAAGAAGTACGTCCAAGACGGTGAAATTTGAGAACCAAATCCTTCAAAAATAATTTTGAAAAAAAATAAAATGAGAAAATTTGGAGGCCCGAAGGTGTTTTTAGACTAAAAAACCCAAAAAGACTCCACAAAAAATCTTTAAAATAAACCTCAAGCACTGGATTAGCCCCAACATAAACATCTGCTTCTTTTCCTACTCCAATTTGATTTCCAATAGATCCAACAACTTCACGGGCGCGGAGTGCTCGAAGAGCCAAAAAGTCATAGCCTAGAGTGGTTAGTCGAAAACCATCATCTAAAATTGGGAAAGAATTAGTCCTCAAATCTTTGTAATTTAGAAACGGAGATTAATGCACAACCACTCGGAGGACTACAACCCAATTTAAAATTTTTTTAATTAAGCCAGAAGACGGCTAAATTGTAATAGAAATAACAAGGTTAGAGCCTATAAAGTAATGAACGAGTAGCGGTCTGTCCCTCACAGAAACTGGCAACCCTCAAAAATTTTCTGAGACAGTTCCAAGGCTATTTTTAATAAAAACAGGTATCTTAATGAAAATATTTTTTTTGAAAATTTTTGAGTTACCAGTTTCTATGAGGAAAAGACCGCTACCCACTCATAACTCGTTCAAAATTTTTTTTATTTCAACTTCCTAGAATCAAATTTGTTTACTGTCCCAATAAAAAAATTTTTCAATTTAATTAAAAATCAAACATCTTTTGCTCCTTTCATAAACAACCAATTTACTTCTGGTTAAGTCATTCAAAAGACGCGAAGTTGCTCCTCTATGAATCGCCGCTATTGAAGCAATTAAGGGTAGAGGAACCTGAAATTTAAATTAAAAAAATTCTTCATTAAAAAAATAAACCAATTCGTGATTCTTCATTCCCATTTCAATAGAAGTAAGTATTCGAAAATGTTGAGAAGTTAAAAAACGAATTACTTGAATGTCAAATTTTCCCATTTCTTTTTTATTTAAATAAAATCCTTCTAAATAAATTGAAAAATTTTATTGAAAAGTAAAAAAATATTAAATTATATAAAAATAAATATTTTTAAAAAATTTCAAAAAAAATTTTTTAGACATTTTATCGAATCAATTTAAATTTTTAAACAAAAGTAAAGATAGGTTTTGATGTGTTGAAAGTGTAATTAAATCTCGTGGTGATCTAATAAAATATTGACTCATAACAAAAATAAAGTTTACTGCATAAACATATTTCCGCCCAGATATATGGGGGTATTGGTATTTAATCTGATGTACATATTTTCCACAAATTTATTTTAAAAAGAAAGTAAATACTATATTAGTGTTTAACCGGAACAAAAATTTTGACCGGAACCGAATCCAATTTGAGTTCCGGATCCTGGAACCGTCGGAACTTTTTGGTTCCTTTTTGTTCCGGAACTTTTGGTTACGTTTTTGGTCCCGGAACCGGAACCAAAAAACATCTGAACTTCCCGGAACCTAAACTTCCGGTTAAATTTAAATATATCATTCAAGAACCCAAACATACAGCACCATCCAAGGTGTCTTATCCAAAAAGGTGTAGGAGTTACTCAGTATTAATCTAGTGGTAGAAGTACTCGTCCTTGTAGTTAATTTTAAATTTTACACATTTACACCTTACTGAAATTTTCAAAAATTTTATTTTAAATCAATTAAAAAATATTCAAAAATGAATGTATTTTATTGTAATGACATTTTGCCATATATTTTCTTTATTCTTATAAAGAATTAATTTAATTCAAAATTGCAACATGCCGCGTTTTAACTGTAATAAAAAGAATATATTTATATAAATTTTAATCAAGACTAACACTCATTTTTTCTCTCGTTTCTCATCGCCGCTTTTTTCTTGATTTATCCAGATAGGCTCCGGGTCCACTATGTCGGGTATCGGATGTATCGGATCATTTCCTGGACACCAATGACCCTCTCTTCCTGGACAAGGATCCCCTCTTCCTGGACAAGGATACTCTCGTCGTAAGGGCTCATACCAAGGCGCACGTTTCTGGCGGTCATCCATATTTATTTTTAGTTTTACTTAATATATTGCTAAAACTGAAAAAAGATGAAACTTATTAATTTAATCTTTCCATAAATTTTTTGAAAATAAAAATTTTAATAAAAAAAATATAAATTTGAAAAATATTTTTAGAAAATGAATAAAAAATTCATAATCCATTTAATTAAAAAATAGTACAAGGGCTGCCATTCTATTTTTCAATATCCCCAAAAATTGCCATTCAAATGAAGGGCATTTTATTTTTCATTTGTTAAAAACAGAGAAGAATGGTTGAATCAAATATCCGATCTAATATTTTTCGAATTCGAAATTCAAGACTTTTTTTGTTCTAAAATTACAGTTAGGCTTTAGCATTTTGGAATTTAGAGGGAATTTAGGAGTTAGACGGATATTGATGAATTTGGAGGTAATAAAGTTACTATTCTTTACTCTAATAAAAATGTCAGAGGATTTTGAGAGATACTATTTAATTAAAATAAATATGATAACAACTCGAAATTTTGTAATAAATAAAAAATAAAATAAATAATAATGTTAAAAGGAAACAATTCAGAATTCTTATATTATTTATTAAATAATAAACTGTTTTTAATAGTAAACAACTATTTTTAACAGATTCATATTAAATCATATGTTTATAAAATTTTTGCCGGCAGATGTTTCACCAATAAGCCATATCTTAAATGTTGCCCTAAATGATGACTATTTACAAAAATATTTTTTACAATAAAAAAATGTGCCGTTTTTCTTTTGTTTTGTTTAAAACTAATGTCACAATTTTTTAGTCATCCATTTTTTTAAAAAATTGGATTTTTTTAAACTATTGTTTTTATAAAAATTTTGTCCAATCCGAACTTTATTTTTCCTTTCTTTTGTATTTTGTTTTTCTTTCTCCGATTTATTTTGTACCAGAACCCTTATGTTAATTTATATTTTGTCCACTTTTTTGGAATTTTGTTTACCTTTAACTTTGTCTATACCGCCTATTTTTTTGGCCTATATAATCTCCCTTCCAAAACACCCCTATTATCTTCTACTAGCTTTTAATTTCTTCATATAGCTTCTCGTTGCTTTTTGGGTTTCATTAATCAATCTATTTGACTTTATTCTTTTGGTGCTTAACCATTGGTCCTAATTGTGTGGGTCTTAACATAAGAAACCTAATCGTTTTTGCTTTTGGCTACAACTTATATATTTTTTAGTTTTATTGTTTTAATTAAAATTTTTTTTAAAAAATTATTTTAAGAGATTAAATTAACGATTGTCATCTTTTTATCATTTTATCTTATCTTTATTTTTCAGTTTTAGCAATACATACTATAATATATAACTAAAAATGGATAAGAAAAACGAAGCTTATGCGGAAAATTTTCACTTATAGCGGGTTTTTAATGCGTGGACGAGGTGTCATTCGACTCAGCTCGACGAGCTGAGTCGAACAAGGGGTGGGAGAAGTTTGTCCGGTACCTAGGGACCGAGATATAGGGGCTCAAAATGGTCAAAAATCGTAAGCGGCATAATAAATATGCAAATGATAGCTCATTCGAAAGAGCTCGACGAGCTGAATCGAATGACACCAAAATCATCGTAATTGTACAAGTCTAGACAGAGTTACGATAGAAAAACAAACACCTAAACCTATGGGGCGTCGGCGAGGCGCTTGTGCAAAACCCCGCGCTTCGCGCGGGGTTTTGCGGCACGCGCCTCGCGGGGAGTCAACGGTCGCTGGGTCTGGGTCAGTAACATAGGCGCTTGTGCAAAACCCCGCGCTTCGCGCGGGGTTTTGCGCGGGGTCTATTCCTATCTCCCTTGCTCTGGAAGTACTTGGGGCCTCCGTCAGCAAAAACCTCCACAGCGAGCATAGGTAAGGAGCTAAAACAAATGCTCATAACTTTGTCAAATCAAGTCGGATTTCGTTGATTTTGGTGTCATTCGACTCAGCTCGATGAGCTCTTTCGAATGAGCTATTATTTGGATATTCGAATTTTTCAACCCAAAATGAGCTTACTCCCCCCTTCACTTTTTAAATTTTCTGAAGTCTGTAACTCAGTACCTAGGTACCGGACAAACTTCTCCCACCCCTAGTTCGACTCAGCTCGTCGAGCTGAGTCGAATGACACCTCATACGTCCATATCCATCCACGCATTAAAAACCCGCTATAAGTGAAGAGTACCGCTTATGCGTGCACGAAAACAGAAAAACATACAATAAATCCAGCGGATAAGAGTTATAAAAAAGAAACAACAATAACTCCATGTAAGGTCCCTGATTGTCCTGCAAAAACGCATGGATTCGGCGATGAGAAAAAAGAAACAGAAAAGAAAAAATGATTGTTAGTTTTAATTAAAATTTATTAAAATTTTTTTATTACAGTGCATGTTGCAATTTTGAAGAATAAAAGAAAATATATGGCAAAATGTCATTACAATAAAATAATTCATTTTTGAATATTATTTTTAAATTGATTTAATAAATATTAAAATAAATTTTTAAAAATTTTAGTAGTTGTAAATGTGTAAAAATTAATTAGGACGAGGATAAAACAAAATTAGTAACTCGTACCCTAGCTTCCATATAAATTTAATATGCCATCCTATTGAAGACCGTAAACGGTTGGATTAATTTTGGACTCGAAATTTCGCAATTTGATTTAGACATTTTAGAATTATCAATTTTTAGATTTCTCTTCAATTATTTTTTCAATTCATTTTAACGGAAATTTAAGAATTCTAGTTTTTTTGGTTAAGTGACCCGTGTTAGGTTCAAATTTTCAAAGGGATGAAGATTCGAACCCGTTAAGAGAAAATATTTTTTAAGTAAACGTGGCAAGGTTTTAAAGCATTATGGGTAGAAAATGTTTCGAGATCCTAAATTAATACAAAAATAAGGAAAAGATTTGTTTTTAAATTCAACTTACCTCACCAATTAATTCCATCTTTAGATAATGTTGAACCATCAACACAAGTAGATAATCTTAATAAATAATTTTTTAAGGTTATTTTTGTGTTGTTTTTGTTGAATTTCTTGATTTAATTGTTGTTTATAGAATTATTTATATCGTTATCGTCTTCTTCCCTCTCTTTATTTTCAAAGTCATTTTGTTTGTTTATTGTTAGTAACTTCATTTTGATTTAAGGCTTGAAGTCGTCCTTGTATTAGAAAGTTCAGGTTGTTCTTGAATATCAAATTTTCCCATTTCCTTTTTTTTGATAATTTTTTCCCTTCCATTTAAATTAAAAGAATTTAAATTAATGGAAAAAATATTAAACTTAAAAATAAAAAATATTTTTTAAAAAATTTCCAAAAAAATTTTTTTGTTCACATTTTATCGAATCAATTTATTTTTTAAATAAAAGTAAAGATAGGCTTTTTGTGAATTTATGGAAATGCTTTGGAGAGAAAGCACGAAAAGGCTTATTTTTCTTTAGGTAATTTTTAGACAGAAGGAACTTTAAAATAAAAGGAAGACAAGAGACGATTATTTGAAGGATTTTGATTTCTAATGACAAATAATTCTAAAAAAATTTGTTTTAAAGACCAAATCTAATTATTAATATAGTTTAGAAATGAAGTTTTACTGTAACATAATTTATTCTAGAGTAGATCTCCGAGCCTTAGGGGGCGGGATCGTCGGGGATCGGCGGTTTGCCGGGGTAGAGCCTTCGGGGCTTTTGCCTAAAAATTCGTCGGGGGTCGAGTGAAGACTTTAAATACCTCCTACTATTGCTCTTTATTTTTACTTTAAATTTTCATTAGAAATCAAACCTAAAAATAAAAAAAGTTGGTTGTGGTGTCATGTGTAAAAAAGAACAGTTAACATAAGTTTTACAATTTAGCAGTTAAAATATATTCATACTTCAAGAAATAGACATGAAAATAAACACATTTTTAGGATGAATAGACACTTTTTTTGTTAAAAGATATGGAGAAAATTAAAAAATTTTAACTAGGTCACACCCAATTTACAAAAAAAAGACCCCAAAAAATTTTTTTTGAAAATCTTAACTCCTCACCCATAATTTAACAAAAAAATGTTTCTTTAATTTTTCCCAATATCAACAAAAGGCAGTTTAGCACAAAAAAAGAAAACCTAACTTGGATGGTAATACATATCGTTCAAACGAATACGTTTTTGCGGCGGTTGGAGATTCTTCTGTTGTGGTGTCGGGAGATTCTTCTCGCTAATGACTATCACCTTTAATTTAATAAATTTAAAAACAATTTTTTAACTCTCTCAAATGTGTGTCTATCATAAAAGGGAATAAAATAAAACGATGACATTTGATCCCAACTTTAAAAATCATTCCACATTTAATTTTATAGACCATCTCCCACCGACAAAAAACACGAAAAATCAATTACAAGATCTTCCTCTGTTTATACCGACATTTGGGATCATATGTCACCATACCAAGCCAAAGTTTTCTTACCCAAAAGATAGCTTATTCAATTGTCAATTTAACCTAGATTCTTATAAAAAACAAAAGAAAACCTTCTCCAAGACAAGATTCAGCAAACGAGGGTTATTTGTCTTCATTTCAGTCCATTCCTGACTAGCCATAAGTTGACGTATATGGCTACGAACCTTTAGAAAAAATTTTTATTTAAAAAATTTCAAAAAATGAACCAAAGGAATGCATGCAGACATAAGTAAATCAGCATTGTGAATATCGGCAATAGTTACCATTGAACAAACATTGGCCATTGAGAGACTGAAAAATTTAAAAAAATATTTTTAAATTTACCAAAAAAACCGTGAAATCAGTTTATCCTGGCAAATAATTTTAAGAGAATCCAACTGGTACTTCTCCGAAATTTCAATTAGATTAGATGCTTGCTCGTCAGAAAAGTCTTCAGGAAGTCCTCCAGAATACCTTTAAATAATTAGTAAGACTTAAAAGTTCACGGAGAAACCAAAAAAAATATTCAGTTGAACCCTGGCCGTGAGTGATTATTATTGAGTAATTATTTTATTTATTATTTTATTTTTTCCAATAAAAAATTTGGCCGCAAAAATGATAAATGCCCTCAAAAAATAACAAAAACCAAAAGTTTAATTGTAAATTTTTTCATCACCCTTTCTTTCTGTTTGAGCCTCAAAATTAATCATTAATTTCTTTTTTGGTTGACAAGAGAAACTGTTTAGAGGTTCAAATAGAGGTGGGGAGTCAAAGTCAAAAAGTGATGAATTTTTTGTTTTCTTTTCTTTTTTTTCAAAGTCAAAAAGCTATCATCCTTGTGATTAGAGACCGGATCGAGACAAGATCTCGAAAGAAAATCTCAATTATCAAGATTTTTCAAGCTATCTGTATGTACGACCCTCCCAGTCCGGTCTCTACTTGTGATGCCAAGAAGGAAAAGATTAATTTTGAGCAAATAGAACTGGGGGGAATAAATTTTCTTTAAATGTCTTGGAAGTAAAATTATAAAAATAATAAAAATCAATTAATTTACATATAAGTAAGCATTTGATGAACAGTCTCCGGCCCAAAATCTGTAATTCGAATACGAGATTCAACACTCTCCAAAGTATCTTTATGATTAAACATTGCACGAAAAACATCAGAATGAGCCATCAAAACAAATTTGTGCACAGGAAATTCTTGATTACCACATTCAACAATACAGTCTGAACCTTCACCAGAAATAAACATTTTGTGGTTACGTTCCAAAAATTCTTTGGTTAGCTTGAAAGATTTTATTAAAATAAATTTGAAGATTATTTGGTCTTGGCCAGTAAAGTTGGATCACTCTCAACCTTTGGAGGTATACGCTTGTGTAAACTACTAGCTAATTTAACACCTTTGGTCGGCCAAATTGTAAGTTATAGTGAGACCAGGATTGTCAACAACCGGTTAATCTTTGCCTGTGGCGGGTCAACAGAGAAGAGAAGGCAATAGAGAAGGCCGCCACATGGAGAAATTTACCGAACGCAAACAACCCTAGTGAAGTGAGTGAGGCCAGCCAATTTATGTCTAACCAATTTATAAAAAAATTGGAAACATTGCAGAAATACCAAAGGAAGGCAAAAAAGAATTGGTAGAAATGTCAAAGAAAGCCACCCATCATAATGGATAAACAACAAAAATCTCGGACAAATCAAGAGATTAATTTAAAAAATCCAAAAAAAACTAACAATTATCGGGTCAATACGATGTTCACGACGCACGTGTGTTTGCAATTTGTTAAAATCCGGAACTAGCTCAATTTGACAGACGATATGGAGAGAATTGTTTGAGCGAATACAGTTGAGAACTTTTTGACGAGGAATATTTCTAAGGCCCCAAGAGTGTGATCCTTTGGCTGGTTTGACTTTGAAATCGCCAGTATTCACATTGCTAAAACGAGCAGCGCCAGTGTCATCCAAAAAGTAGAAACGATACTCAGCACGGACAGTGAACTAAAAATAGAATTGATTAGACTGACTTCGAGAAGGTCAGATAAGGCGTATTAAGAGGGTGGGTCTATAAACACCTTAACAACGTCCAAAGCATCTCGATGCCCTGATACTGGCAATCCCGGAGAATTGGTGTCCATGCGAAAAAAAAGTTTAAAATAGGAGACTTGACGAGCTCCTTTAAACAAGCTATCATTTGCATATTCAAAATTCGGTTCGTATTCAAAATTTAATTCGGGATTTGACTTTTTCAAAATCTGAGTGGGATTCGTAATCAGCATATTATTTTACCGTAGAAACATTTTTTCTATTTTTAAACTTTTTTTTGCAGAACCCCCAATTCTCCGGATTCGCCTAATACTCGCCAATAGATAAAATCATTTAAAAAACCTCTCTCTGGTTCTCAGTTGTCGACATCTTCAGAAAAAGAGAAACATTCCCAGAATTCTCCTCTCTTTTCCCTCCAGGATATAAGCAAAGTTGCCAACAAATGTCAGGCATGCTCTCATCTCTAAAATTACGACTACGCATGCAGGTACCAAAAGTGGCCAGATCCAATGCTTTGGTGAAGTTGTGAATCTGAATAGTGGAAAATTAGAAGGAATAAAAGGAATATGAGGAAGGCTCATCAGCTAAAAGTACAAAATGATCATTTTTACTTGTCGACAAAAAAGGTGATTTTCTCTTTGTTTACAAGTAGGAAAATTTGTTTTTTGTGTAAAAAATGTAAACATTCTTTTTCGATGTACTCGATTAAAAGTTTGTCTGAGACCCTGCATGTTTAAATTTGCAAGGTTATTCAACTAGACCCGAAGAGCTCTTTCGGCTGATATATAATTTATCATAAAAAGAGAATAAATGTCGCATAGGGAAACATGAAAAAATAGAAGGTCCGTAATTCCTCTTATATCATTTTTCAATAGGCATTCGAACCATACTCACAAACAGATTTTCATACAATTCCCAAAAAAAGTTTCTCACTTGAAAACATGAAAAAAGTGAATAATAACTTCAAAAACTAACTGTCCATTCCTGTCGCAACTGTAAAGGTTCCCAAGCAGTAACACACTCATTTTGAGGAGCAGCTTCTGCAGATGCAACCAAAGCAGCGTTTCTCGAAGTAGAGGCACCAAATGGGGGATGATTATGTTGTTGAACTGCTAAAGGGTGAATTTGTTGATGATGACTATAGTCTGTTCGTGGTGGATTGCTGAACAAAACTTAAAAAAGTAAAAAGAAATTTAAGAAGGTAAAAGTCTAAAATAAACCAATATTGCGATTATGATGAAGTAAAGATTGCCCAGAGTGCCAACTATCGTCCATTATATATAACAAAGAAAATATAGGTAAATAGGTAGAATATAAAGAAAATTAATTTATAAGTATCTAAAAAATAATTGTTAAAATTTTAATGAATCACATGAAAAAAAGGAAGCACATAACAAAGAAACAACCAGTAAAATTATAAAATTTGGAGTTTCGGCTGTAAAAAGGGGTACCTACATACTTTGCCAATTCCACATTTTGCCAATAAGGGTAAAAATCCACGTTTAGCCAATAAGCTTATGGCTAAACGTGAATTTTTAGCCTTATTGGCAAAATGTGGAATTGGCAAAATGTGTGAACACGGTAAAAAGGGTGTCAATAAAACTAAAAAATCGTTAACCTTTTCCTTCACTATTTCTTTCTTTCTCTTGCAAATTTTGCAAAGAAAAAACAAAAATAACAGAATGCCAAAAGAAATTTTTTTTGAAACGAAAAAGACTGTAAGGGAAATTGAGTCTCAATCCTACAAAGGCAACAAGAAAAATAAACTCAAGACTCAAATATACATTTCCTATCCATGTCTAACCTGATAGGGACAACTGAGCGCAACCATGAGCGCCAGTTAGCGGCCATAACTTTTTTAGATTTTATTCAATCCGAATAAATCTTATATTTTTCGAAAGCCCTAGATAAGCGGTATCTTTTCCTTAACAGGACGAGTCAGCTCTGGTTCAATAAATTTTATAAAGAAAAAACTAAGCTCCAACGTTCAATAAATTAATTTTGCTGTGGGCGATTAAATGGGACAAGATCGATTGAGAGACTACGTGACATAGAAAAAGAGGAAAATTTTTTTAATTTTTTGTAACTTTTTGAATTTGATTTTTATTATTTTTCGATTGCATCCTTAACGAGTTATCAGTGCAGGACTTTAATTTATTTTTTTCTTTTTTTAGACACATTTAAATTTTCAAAAATAAAACAGAAAATGGACATGTCTTCAGCGACTGCTTTTTTGAATGGAAGTTCTAATGGTGCTTGTGGGAACAATTCATCGTTTGTTTTCTTTTATTTTGTTAAAAATTCCCAAAATTTTTTAGTTCTTTTACTAGTTTGGAGGTTGCAAAAAAACTGGGACTTGGCAATCAATTTGCGTTTGCTCTTGACTGTTTGCCATTTCGAGAAGAAGAAACCTGTCCAATTTTGGTAATCGACTTTCTCCAAATGGATGCTGGTCAGAAGGAGATGGTTGTCAATTTTTTGGTTGGTTTGATAAAAGTAATAAGGGAGGAAATCTTTTGGGAATAGTAAATGATAGGGTTTCGTGCGAGCTATCAACAATGACAAGGCTCGACTTTGTAGAAATGGGGTTCAATATGAGGTGTCATGGGTAAACCAAGGGGTCATAAACACCTGATTAATTCCTTTATTTCTTTTCATATTACTCGGGGAAATCTCAAACTAGCATAGCATAGTTTTACATTTTTTGGAAATCTTATACTTATTTTTAGCTCAATTATGGTGGTCATCTAATTGGGACTGGAGGGCATGCTATCGGTTTCTTGGAATGGACAACTCTTATGGCGGCTAATCTCAGTTTGCGTCGGGCTCATCCTGAGGTTTTCTACAATGGGAATGGTCGTCAGGTGGATGGACAGGCGATTTCACGAAATCAAACGGCTTCAACTGTAATTCTTACACCAGAGACTGAAAAGAAATGGACATTGACAGAGGTGCCGCAATTCTTTGAGTATTGAATGACATATAATATATGTCAAAATCTCATTTGTAAAGAAAATTTTTTTATATTTAAAATAAATTTTTATTTCCTTTAGTTTGTTTTTTTATCGAAAGGTTAGAAAACTTCTGCCTTCTTATTTTTTCTTTTAATTACGTTTCGAAATCAAACCGCAATTGAAAAAACCCCCGCAATTTACGCAATCCGCAATTGCATGCAGCCCTGATCCTCGTCCACAAACGTTTTCTAAGCTCATTCTTGTTGAAGAATTGGTTCATCGTTCCAAACCTTAGTTTTTGTAGACTTGTTCCTACTTATCATTTGACATTTTCCCTTTTCTAGTTTATAATCCGCTAACAAAATATTGAAAAACTTAGTCAGGGAATGATCACAAAAAACATTTTATTAGCCAGACTGCTAGAGGATTTGTGCGATTTCTTTGGTTATTTTCCTGTCAAGATTGATTTTTCCTAGATTTTCCCAGTTTCATAAACATAATTTCACACACAAAAAATATTTACTTGAAAAATAATTAACAATGCAAAAACTGAAATTTTATATAAGAAAATTAGAGACTTTGTCTTTATACTCCCAAAATTCTTAAAACAACCAAAAAATCCCCCCTTTCTCCAAAAAATCAAAAAACATCAATCCCTAATTATTTTCAAATATAATTTAAAAAAAATTGTTTTTGTAACTTTATGTGGTGCATCTCGAGACCATTTTTTGCAATTAAAAAAATCAAAAAAAATTTTCACTGAGCAATTGGACGAATTTTAAAATGAAGTCCAATTAACGAAAAAACCAAACATTTAAGATCCTGAACCAAATAATAAAATGAACGCAAACCAACTGGATCTTTACTGTCATTAACTTCAACTAAGCAACCAATTTTGCTTGTAGTAAAAGAAACGTGATCATTCCCGCTTAAAATTTCCAATTCTTGACGGCCAACACGGTCCGGTTCTGGCCAATTTGCGTCGTCTTCCTAAAAGTTTTTTGGAGTTTTAGAAAGGAAAAGAAAGGGGGTGATTATGCGTTTTTTCTAGTAGGAAATGGAAGGAGGGAAGTTCTACCAGTGGAAAAGTAAAACATTAACGAGTGAAAGAAGTCCTCCTCTTCTAAAGACGTCGGTATCCTCTTAAAATCACACCAAGAATACCAATAAAAACAAACCCTAGAAAAAGAAGTTTAGTCGAGGTCCGGGCCAGATTTTCAAAATTCTCTTCAGATTGGGATTCTGGTCGGGTAATTCGTACCTTCCCTGATATGAGGGCATCTCCTCCACATCTCCCATAATCCTAAATATTCCCATAACCTTAAATCCCTCCCACCTCCCCCGTTTAAAAAAACCGTGCGACGAATTAAAATCTTCTTACATTCATAATTTCAGAGTCATCAATAATACGCTTCAACTCTTCCATAACCGCTTTTCCAACATAACATTCTTTACGGATAAGCGTATCATTTTTGTAATTTGAATTGTTTGCATAACGCAATTTGCCATCTGGTCGAAATTCAAATTCCAAAAATTCGTGACCAAACTTAAAATAATTAAAAATAAATTTTTAGATCCCTAACAAATTTTAGTTTAAATATTGACAAGATTATAGGGAAATCAAACACATTTCCTTAATTTTTGCCTTTTTTTGCAGTATAAAGTTCAACGGTTGGAGCCGACCCAATATATTCGCTGTTAATTAAATCAACTAATACACAGTGCCATAAGTCGCTTTTATGCCCCTATCAAATTCCAGCTTACGGAACTGTTTGAGGTATAAAATAATTGGCCCTACTGGTTTAATCCGGAACGTCTTATAATACCAAGAGCTTCAAATACCTAACCCTCAAACAAAGCGTCGGTTCGACCCCACCTTAGGATTTTTCAATAAAAAGAGAAAAAGTAAACCGTTACTAATCCTACAATATTGGCAAGAAGTTTAATTTAAAAATTTCACAAACCTTTCCTTTATGTCCAACATAGTAACGAACATAAAATTGTTCTTTTTTAGCAGCTCCACTTTTGGTGTTCATTTTCGACAATTTACTCCTTTTTTAAAACAAATTGAAAACTTTTCTAGAAAAAGAAAAGAATAAAATTTAAATTAAATAAATTAAAAAATAAATTTTTTTTGAAAATAACAAATAAAAAAATTGAATTAAACAAATTCGTTTTTTTCAAAATTAATTTACAAGAAAAAAATTTGTTTAAAATAAAAAAATGGAAGAAAAAAAGAGGAAATGTGTAACATTTAGTAGTAGTAATTAAAGAGGATTGAGTTTGTTTTTCCAGGTCAGATTATTCTTTTAATAAAATTTAATAGAAAAATTCGTGGGGCGAACTTTGCAGACCAGAAATTTGCGAATCCCAAATTTACGGAAATCGAAGGCTGCGAGGTGTCCGACCTAAAAACGGTCGAGACAAGGCTCGTTCGAAAGCGAATGTGCCATTTCTAGCAAGGATTTTGTGCCGAATTTCGGGAATCTGGAAGGCCATATCTTGCCAGATCAAAAAACGGGCAAAAACGGCTCAAAATCCTTGCTAGAAAGGGCACATTCTCTATCGAATGAGCCCGGCTTCGACCGTTTTTAAGTCGGACACCTCGCAACCTTTCCTTGTAAGGTTGCGGGCCTCCAAAGTTGGCTGATCTGAAATTTTTCTGAGGCAGCCCAAATTTTTGTTTAGAATTAGGAATAAAACCGAATTTTTAGAAGAGGAAATAAAAGATACATATCTGAGCCTAAAAACAAGCCCAATCCCTTTCATTTTTAGCAGAATAATAATTATCAAAATAGCGAAGATAAATGGAGATCAAAATAAAATAATGCCTTTTAATCTATTTTTACCATAAAAATCGAAAAAAAAATTTTCTTCGTTTTCAGACATTTTTTCCCATTAATTTAAAAATTTTTTAAATAATACCAGAAAATAAATAGAAAAAATAATTTTAGATCCCAAAAATCATCTTAAAAATTGAGTAAAAACAAATATACATAATTACGTTCGGTGCCCTCCTTTTTCAAGCTCTTTCCTTCTTTTGGTTTACAGATTATTTTTGAGGGTAGAGACCAGAGAAGGGTCGGGTTATTCGAAGTTTTTGCAAAACCGATACCCGGTCCACCTTTTCTTAACCTCGTCCATTCCTGGTGGAACTTAGATCGATCAAAATTTCGTTTCGCATAAAAACGAAATTAAAAAAAAGATCATACCTGGAGTGAGGACTTAATGTCATCCCTGGCGAGGACCTAGTGCCCCTGAATTAACTTACATCCATTAGGTAGTCTTGTAGGAAAATGTTCTCCCAAAAGAAAGAAACCCGAAAAATAAGGGTCACAAACGTAATTATTACCAAAAAGACTGTTAATTAAATTAAAAAAAAACTTTCAAGATTCCATAGATTCTGTTGGTTCCTCATCCCCTCCATTTTTTATTTCCCCATCAATTCGACTCTTTTTGATTAATTCACAACTTGCCATTGTTGTATCTGGTGATGTTGTTGCTGTCGCTCCTCTTTTATTCGAACCACCAATATTTCTAATATCACCCCCTTCTCTTTCACCTTCATATAATTCACCTTCTTTTTCTACCATTTTATCGCTCAATGCTCCTGAAATTAAAAAGAAAATTTCTTTTTTAGAATTGAGTAGAAAAAAGTTGGACATAAAAAAAAGAGTTAGATTTTTGCTCAACGATTCCCTCCTTTTTCAGTCTTCAATCCACAACCCTTTCAGAACATGAACTAAGTCCAGGGGTTTTTTCAGTGGTACTAAACAAACAAACAACCATTCCCCATTTAAGGAAATGATCAAAGAAACTTTTCCCTCATCCATGAGAAAGTAAGGGTTGGAATAACTGCTAGTTTGATATATTTAAACAAAGGATAAACCCATTTTAAAAAATAAATTTTTGGAGAAAAAGATATTTTCTAATATAAAAATAAAATACTTGGCAATCGCTCGTCAGGACTTGCTTCATCCATTTGGGCTCCCTCAACATCATCCAAATTCATTGCATCGGGCCCAACGGCTATGAAAAATATATAATCTTAACAGAATGTTAAAAAAAACCTCCAATTTGAACTCCGGGAGCATGTGGAATTTGTCGAAGAGATTCAAAAATCTTCTCCCTAAAAATTAAAATTAATTTCCTCAATTTTTTAATTTAAAAATATTTTTACAAACTTGACTTTGTCGAGGTATTCAACTGTATTATGGTTTGTCATATTTGAAGGAGGTATGTGCAATTTAAAATCTGGACCATAATATTCAAAATAATCATTATATGGAAGTTCTAAATTGGAAAGAATTAAAATTGTAAAAATAAAATTTCCCAACCATTTGCAATATCAACATTTAAAGCTACTGATGTCTCAAAAGTCCAACATCTAGCAACATTTCTAATTGTGTAACCACCACCTCCCAAAAGTAGCATTGGAAGATTGAATTTTTTGAGGAATTCTAAACACATTCCGTGACCTAAAGTTTTTTTTAAAATAGAGTGGGAGTTAAGAAAGGATGCAAAAAATCGAAGATGCGGACAAAAATGGTGCCGTCTACCTTCCCGAAAATCAAGAACTCACGACAGATTTTGGGCCAAAAATTTATCTTCTGTCAGTATGGTTCACGATAAGGACGTTTAGGTTGTTGATAGGCCCTCCTTTAGTCCTAGCCTCGTTTCCAAAATCTAGTCTCTTCCCGGCAAGTGCTCCCTCAGTTTCAGGTATCGAGTATAGGATCCTTTGTTGCATCTGATCCCTATTTTTCTAACCAATCCCATTTCTAGAATTTGCCCCCTCCCTCCTCCCATCAGTGTTCTCTCAGTCAGTTGCCAGCCACCAATCTGATACCAAGTCCCATTAACTTCAAAAATAACCTTTCAAAGTTAGATTGAAACACCCCAACCGATCTCCAGTCAAAGAATCAGCTCCACATTGCAATACAATAACAGAAGGTTGGTAAGCACAAATTATTTTCTCCATTACTGGTTGAAATATTCGTTCATAAGTATCATCATCAATTCCATCACGAAGTGGAAAATTGACTGCATAATAGCGCCCCTTTTCAGCTCCAATGTCTTTTAAATCTCCAGTTCCAGGAAAATATTCTCCATATTTGTGGAAGGAAACCTGAGAACAAAAAATTTTTAGGCGTACTTATTTGCGGATGATTTTGGCAGTATTTGGGGATTTCCAAAATGGGTGAGTCAGAAAAGACATAAAATCAAAAACTAACCGTCATAACCCTGTCTGTCGTATAAAAAGCTTCTTCAACTCCATCACCATGATGTATATCGATATCGACGTACAAAACTCTTTGATGGTATTTTAACAATTCAAGTATAGCAAGCACAATATCGTTTGTGTAACAAAAGCCTGAAGCTTCAGATTTCTTTGCATGGTGCAAACCACCCATCCAATTGATTGCCATATCCACATGCTGACGGTTAATTTTTGTTGCGGCAGCTAAAATAGAGATGGTTATTCTTATTGTTATCCTTACGTCTGAGGCTACTGAGTTCCTAGTAGGGAACTTGTGGGGGGTCATAACCGCGGGACCGTCACCGTGCTCACGGCTATGCCAGAAGCTTAAGCATAAATAGGACGACCCAAACCAGTTCCTAAGAACAAATTCTTGAGAAACTTGAACAGCCCACAAGTCTAGAAACTCTAACTAACATCAAAGTAAATAACTTTTCCAACCTATTGATCCACCGCTCGAAATTTGACAAAATTCAAAGAGTCCATCAAACACAGGGCAATCATCCCCAACATTGAATCGCTGCATTTGACGACTATAGTCACCAATATTGTCTGGTTTAATGTTCTAACAATAAATAAGCATTAAAATAATTCTTTAAAGTCCAAACCTTTAAGAAAAGCATATAATCATCACTATGATATTTTGTCATTTCTTCCAAGCTAGAAGGTTGAGGTCTCTAAAATTGAAATTTATTGACTTTTCTCCTCTTAAAAAAGCTTACATAAACTTCCATTTTTCTGTAAAGTCCATAATTTAATAACAAATTGTGAGTCATACGTATCCGATGAGGTTTCATTGGATGTCCCTGGCCATAATAATAATTACCGACATCACCTAAAAATATAAGAGCTAAGGTGTTAAATACTGAATTAATAACCGTCGTAGTAATATGCAACTTTCTTGCTTGAGTGAATAGTCATTTTCCTTGTTTTTTGTCTAAAAATTACTTTAATTTGACTAAAAATGTAAACTAAAGAGATTTTCCCCCAAATGTCTGGCAACACTTTGATTTGTTCTAGGTAGGATTCATCAGATATAAGATTTTAAGGAGAAGGAAAGCAAATGATTTATTGATTCAGACTCTCGATCTCGGAAATCTTGACCCGAAAATCATCAATGTGAACACGCAAATTTTTTAGCAGTAGTCTGATCAAGTAAATAAGATTAAAGTTTTGCCCTACTTGTTAACTGATCATAAACGAGAAAAAGAGAATTTTCAAGTATGATAAGTAGAAAATTAAAAGTGAACAATTAAAGTCTAACACCCCAGATAAGGTTTGCAATAATGGAACAAATGAGTCCTCACCAGAAAGTGAGCTCTGTTTGATGATTTTATGTGGAGGAAAATGTTTGGGTGATGGGGAGAGACAAACGTAATTAAAAGAAATTAAGTAAAAGAAAAAAGAATAAGGCAGAAGTTTTCTAACCTTTCGACAGAAAAAAAAACAAACCAAAATAAAAATTTATTTCAATATCAAAAATTTTTTTAATGAGAATTTTGTCTTAATTTTATAAATAATCAAAATTATTTAACAAAAACGAGATTTTTGTCACAAAATCAATACGCAAAAAATTGAGGGTTCTCATTCAAAAGCCAAGACTTTTCAGTGACCGTTTTGATGACGACGGTCTTAGCAGTAACAATTGGAGAAAAATAAATTGCACGGCCATTCTCGTCCAAAATACCAGCCGGACCGGTCTCACGGTAGAAAACCTCAGGATGAGCGCAAAGCATCTTATGTTTAGCACCCCAAAGAGCATCCGAATCCACAAATCGAACCATTATCCTTCTGAAAATAAGGAAATGATTTCGAAAACTAAATCTAAAACCATTTTGTCAGTTTTGGGATTTCAAAGGAATACTTTCTTGACAAACTTCGAAAAGAATATAAAGGAACAGATCGGAAGAGTGCTTACGAGCCATTAGAACCCATAACGCTTTTTTAATCGCTTTCACGGATCCCTATCAAAAAACATTTCAAAAGATTTCCTCCCTTGTTATTTTTATCAAACCAACCAAAAAATTGACAACCATCTCCTTCTGACCAGCATCCATTTGGAGAAAGTCGATTACCAAAATTGGACTGCTTTCTTCTTCTTGAAATGGCAAACAGTCAAGGGCAAATGCAAATTGATTGCCAAGTCCCAGTTTTTTTGCAACCTCCAAACTAGTAAAAGAACTAAAAAATTTTTGGGAATTTTTAACAAAATAAAAGAAAACAAACGATAAAGTGGTGCTTGGATCGTCAGAATTGTTGTTCATTTTTTGTTTTATTTTTGAAATTTAAATGGCTAAAAAACTTAAAATCAATTAAAAACCTTCATTCATAAAATGAAAAAAATCACTAATAAAAAGAATTATAAATTAAATGTTAAAAAGATATCCAAGGTTTTTAGAGATCAATTAGAAAAAAATCCGAAATTTTTGCGACTTTGCGGACAAAATTTTTTTGCGGATTACTTACGCGCAAAAATTTTTTGCGGACTTTTTATAAAAAGCAAGGGATTTTTTCAAACGTAGTCAATAAAAATTAAATAAGATTAAAAATACTTTAAAGGTTTTGCTAACCTTGTGAAGAAAACGTTTGGTGATGGGGAGATAGACATTCAAAGACAAATATATTAGGGCAAATATATTAAAAGTTTCAGCAAACGTAATTAATAGAAATTAAAGGAAAAAATAAGAAGGCAGAAGTTTTCTAACCTTTCGACAGAAAAAAACAAACTAAAATAAAAATTTATTTCAATATCAAAAAATTTTTTTAATAAATGAGGATTGTCTTAATTTTATAAATAATCAAAATTATTTAACAAAAACGAGATTTTTGTCACTAAATCAATACTTGAAGAACTGAGGGTCCTCCTTCAAAAGCCAAGACTTTTCAGTGACCGTTTTGATGACGACGGTCTTAGCAGTAACAGCTCGAGACATCTCCTGACCATGCTTTGACCAACCACCATCCAAACTATAGAAAACCTCAGGATGAGCGCAAAGCAACTTATGTTTAGCCTCCCAAAGAGAATCCGAATCCACGAAGCGAAAAGCATTTCCGGACGTCCCAACAGCTTGACCACCATTATCCTTCTGAAAATAAGGAAATGATTTCGAAAATTAAATCTAAAACCATTTTGTCAGTTTTGGGATTTCAAAGGAATACTTTCTTGATAAACTTCGAAAAAAATATAAAGGAACAGATCGGAAGAGTGCTTACGAGCCATTAGAACCCATAACCCTTTTTTAATCGCTACCATGGATCCCCATCAAAAAATGTTCCAAAAGATTTCCTCCCTTATTATTTTTAACAAACAAACCAAAAAGTCCATGATAGTTGCTTTCCGAGCCTGATCCATGTGTAGGTAGTCTATAACGAGCACCGGATCATCCTCACAATACGGAAGAGAGTCAAGAGCGAATGCGAAGGCCTTTCCTCCAACTTTGAGATTGTACTTTGTCTGAAGAATATCCGCCACTTCAAGACTTGACAACTCGGTCAATGGACTAAAACGTTTAGGAATTTTGAATAAAATAAAAGAAAAACAAACGTAGGAGAAATGCCTGAACCATTAATGCCTGAACCATTACATCCGTTTCCATTCATTTTTTAGTTTATTTTAAAAAAATTTTAAATGTCTAAAAAAGAAAAAATCAATTAAAAACCATAACTAATAACGAAAAAATCAATACCAGAAGGAATTAAAATAGGTAAAAGGAAGCAACCCGTTAAGGATGCAAACTACAAATGAAACAAAATCAAATGCAAAAATCTTATTATATAATTGAGAAGGGTGTGTGTGTTTGTCTGTCTGTCCTTTTATAGACAAGTGGGTTTTTATAGTAAAATGATTTGGGGGAGCGAGGAAAAGGGGGCTTTTATAGTAAAGCGTTGCCAGTTGAATTGGGCTGTAAGGGTATAAAAGCAGTCTATTTTGATCATTCTTCAACTGCTATCAACACTTCTCAACATTGCCGTGCTCTGTTCTACGTTGCTGGAGTCCTGTGTCCTCTGAGTGCTAGGCGTCAACGTTCATTTGTCAAGTGCTAGACGTCGACGTTCGTGTGTCAAGTGCTAGACGTCAACGTTCATTTGAAGTGTGCTAGACATCAACGTTCATGTGTCAAGTGCTAGACGTCAACGTTCATGTGTCAAGTGCTAGCTGTCAACGTCATCTGAAGTGCCAGGCGTCAACGTTCATTTGTTAAGGGGTAGGCGTCAACGTTCATGTGTCAAGTGCTAGACGTCGACGTTCGTGTGTCAAGTGCTAGACGTCAACGTTCATTTGAAGTGTGCTAGACGTCAACGTTCAGTTGAAGTGTGCTAGACGTCAACGTCTATGTGTCAAGTGCCAGGCGTCAACGTTCATGTGTCAAGTGCTAGACGTTCAACGTTCATGTGTCAAGTGCTAGCTGTCAACGTCACTTGAAGTGCCAGGCGTCAGCGTTCATTTGTCAAGTGCTAGACGTCAACGTTCATGTGTCAAGCGCTAGCTGTCAACGTCACCTGAAGTGCCAGGCGTCAACGTTCATTTGTTAAGGGGTAGGCGTCAACGTTCATTTGTTAAGTGCTAGGCGTCAACGTTAATGTGTCAAGTGCTAGACGTCAACGTTCATGTGTCAAGTGCTAGACGTCAACGTTCATGTGTCAAGTGCTAGAACTCAACGTTCATGTGTCAAGTGTTAGACGTCAACGTTCATTTGAAGCGCCAGGCGTCAACGTTCATTTGAAGTGCTAGGCGTCAAATTTCAGTCGAATATTGAAACCGGGAATTGTGAGACAGGCGGAATATTGAAGAAGGGGGAATTGTGAAGCAGGTGGAATATTTAAGCAGGGAAATTGTAACGCAGGTCGAATATTGAAACAGGTGCAATTGTGAAGTAGGCGGTATTGTGAGAGGCAAGGGGAATTGTAAAGCAGACGGAATATTGAAACAAGATGAATTGTAAAGCAGGAGAAATATTGAGAAGCAGGCGGAATATTGAAGCGGGAGAATGAAGGGTGATGTGAAGCGGAGAATTGCAGAGCAGGCGGTATTGTGAGACAATGGGAATTGAGAAGTAGGCGGAATATTGAAACAGAGGGAATTGTGAAGCAGGCGAAATTGTGAGGAGAAAAAATGGGTAAGCGAGATGGGTCGGCCAAAGGCTTTTGAATCGGATCTTGAGTTGAATTGTTTTGTTATGCTAGCGGAGTCACACGAGCGCCTGTGTGTACCCTATCAGGTGCGCCTATTAGATGCTTTGCTTTGTTAAATGTTTTGGTAATAAGGTATTGTTTTAATGCTGGTCAATGTTTTGACTATCGGGTTTTTCTGATTATGATTGGATTAGGGCCAATTTTGAGGTTGTGATTTGGAGTTTGTTTTTTGGTTTGTTTTGTTTTTGCTAGCGGGGTGGGGCGGCCGAAGGCCGACCAACTCCGCTAGTAAACAAAAAGTTAAAAGATTGCCCTTTTTATATGTCATGCAGTCCTTTCAATCGACGTCTAAATTACCCATTTAATCGCCACTACTAAATTAGTTTTTGAACGGTGGAACTCAAGACTCTAACGTTGCGATTAAATGACACACCGTGGGAAACGGTACCTTAGAGTCTGAACCCTTTGTTGAGTTCCAGCTTCTCAAATTATTGTAAAGGACGACAAATGTTTATCTTTTTATGTGATATTATTTCTTAATTGTTTAGACAAATTCCTAATCCTTAAAATTTCAGAAGATTAAAAAATGGGAGAATTTGTGCCAAAATTTGAAAGGAATATGGATCTTAAAGGCTTGGGGCCTCGTCCATTGTCTACAGCTGGTGCAATTCCTGTAAAGGACGACAAAGGAAGAATAGTCATGAAGAAAGTCAAAGTACAGCGTTATATGGCAGGAAAAATGTAAAATTTTAGTTTTAGGACGCTGTCTTCAAGGGTGGGTTTTCATGGTGTAGTGGGATAATTTTACTACAGGAGATGTGGGTTCGAACACCGCTGGTGGAATACTCTTTTATTTTAATGAAAATTAGGCATTTTTACAGTCCCAAATTAATTTTTATTTTGCGATGTATTTTTTAAAATTATAGTCCGGAATTCGCTCGTGATGTGGATTCTGACGAAGACAATGCAGAACAAGAAGAAAAACATGAGGACAATCAAAGAGATGAACGTGACCGTTATAGACACCGAGAGAGTGATAGCAGTCGCCAATATAGCAGGAGAAGTGATCATCGTGACAGTGATAGACATAGAAGGTTTGAAATTATTTTTAGGGTATTTTAAGTAGAGTTGGACAAAACGATACTGGTATCGGCTAACCCGAGACCGAGAATGACCGATACTCAAAAACCCGATACCGAGACCGATACCATCATTTTGAGCCGAGACCGATACCGAGAACGATACTGACCGAGACTGACAGAAAATTTTATTGTAGGTCAAAAAATACGTGTAAAAATAATTTATTCATTATTTTCATCATCTAAATCATCAGATAAATACTCTTCATCATCTGGATCCGATTATATTGATGGCTAACATCCTTTTTTAAAAAAATACAATAGTAGGATTTATAGGTAAAAGGATTATACACTCTGTTACAAAAGTATATTACATTCGATTACATTCAATATCCCACCGCCTTACATTCGATATCCCTCCGAATCCATTGATATCCCCTTAAACACCCAGATCCCTCCAAATAACCCAGTATTGGGCAATCCCGGAGAATTGGGGTCCCTGCGGAAAAAAATCTTAAAAATAAGAAAAAGGATTTTTCTAGGGTAAAAAAATATGCTGATTACGAATCCGAGCTCAGATTTTGAAAAAGTCGAATCCCGAACCCGAATTCGGACTTTTGATCCCGAACAGGATTTTTGACCCCTAACATTACAGACATTGTACAAAATGGCCAGTCTTTCAATAGAATCATAGAACTCATCGAGCTGTGTCGAATGACACCAAAATCAATGAAATCCGACCGGATTGAACCGAGATACAGACCCCTAAATATTGAAAAACCACATGGGTGATTTTTTGGAGTAAAAAAAAGTTTTTACAAATGATAGCTCATTCGAAAGAGCTCGTCGAGCTGAATCGAATGACGCCAAAATTACAATGATTGATCAAGTTTTGACAAAGTTATGACATAAGTCGCCGACTCCTACAGTACTCCCATAGGTATACTTTATGTCATAACTTTGTCTAAACTTGTCCAATCACGTTGATTTTGGTGTCATTCGATGCAGCTCGACGAGCTCTTTCGAACGAGCTATCATTTGCATATTCGAAATTCGGGTTCAGGGTTCGAAATTTGATTCGGGTTCGGGATTCGACTTTTTCAAAATCTGAGCTCGGATTCGTAATCAGCATATTTTTTTATCCTAGAAAATACCTTTTTCTTATTTTTAAACTTTTTTTTCGTTGGGACCCCAATTCTCCGGGATTGCCCAGTATTGTATTTAAGCCTTTTAATTTTATTAAATTACTGGGACTCAGTTGAGCTAGATAAAAAAGCAACTCAGTCGTGCAAACTCAATCGTGAGGGCTTAGATAAATGCTCGGATTTTGTAAGGCAAATAAAGAAGGATTCACTCTTTTCAGCGCCGCAGGCGAAAATTTTTTTTGAAATTCAGAAGGCCAATGGTCAAAAATCCTCAGTTTTATTAAAAAATACAAGAAAATTGGGTCTTTGAGTCAGTATCGTTTCTCGCCGAGAAATGGACCGAGAATATCGGTATCGGTTTCGAGACCGAGAATGAAAAAACCGAGACCGATATTGGGAAAAAGCCGAGAATCTCGGTATCGGTCTCGGTATCGGTCTCGGCTTGTCCAACTCTAATTTTAAGTAGGCTAAAATAGATTGGGAAACTTGGGTTTGAATAGAGAGAGAGGATTTCAGACTCTTTGCTTATTAAATGCCCATGTTTGTTCAAAGATCCACCCAAACTAGCAAAAAATCCACCAAACTACCTCTTCGATTGGGGGTACACCCCATATTACAGCAGCCCGGCTTACCGCGCCTAACTTATCGCGAGCCCGTCTTGTTCCAATAAGGTGATGTTATGCCAATAGCGGGGGAATTTGTTCCGTTAGCGTGGTAATTTAAAAAAAAAAAGAAAAATTTTGTTCGGTGGTAAGTTGGGCTGCGGTAAGTTGGCCTGTTCCTGGGCTATATTTTCCTTTATCAGACCTAATTAAAAACTTCTTCCTAATTACTTTAATTTTTAGCCGTAGAGACAACGACTATGAAGAAATTGAGAAGAAATACAAGCAGGAAATGAAGGACGAGCTCGGATTGGAAGAAGAAGATGCAGTTGAACCCGAATCTGCTTCAGAGGATGAAGAATTGGAAGAACGTCATCGGAGGGCTCTACAACGGCGTCAACAAATTGAAGAGGAGGAGCTTAACAGAGTGGAGCAAGAAGAGCCTGATGAATATGCTGATGAGGAGATTATGCAAAGAAGACGTGAACTTATTCGAATGAGACGCCGTCGGCAAGAAGAACAGGTTTGAGGGTTTAAAATGGGAGAAATTTGAGTTTTGTCGTTAAGGAACTTTTGGCTCGTCAGAAAGAAACTGAAGAAGTCAGTGAGGAAGAAAGTGAAGAGGAGAGTTCTGAAGAGGAGGAAGATGAAAGTGATGATGAGATGATTCCGCGTTTGAAACCTGTTTTTGTTCCAAAGTAAGAAAATGTTAAAGTCTTTTAGTCCGCAAAAAATTTGCGGACTAAAATGATTTTGCGGATTTTTCTCCATAAATTTGTAATATTGTTTGGATAATCAAAAAAGAGTGTTATCCGTACCTTTTTAAAAGATTTGTCCGCAAAAATATTTTTTGTCCGCAAATTTTTTTGTCCGAAAATCTAAAATTTTTATTTTAAAAAGAAATGACCGTGTAACTCTCGTTGATGTAGACAAGGAACAAGAAGGTCTAGAAAAATTAAGAAAATTGCAAGTTGAAGAAAAACGTCGTCAAACAATCAAAATGGTTGAGGAGCAAATGAAACATGAAGCAGAAATTGAAAAAGTTAAAAAAGAAGAAAGCGCGGCAAAATTGGATTTGGCAGCAATAGATACTGACGATGAAAGTGAACAAATAGCTTATGAAATGTGGAAAGTACGTGAAATGAAAAGATTGAGGAGAAATCGGGACGAAAGAGAAGCGTTAGTTTTTTTTAAATAAAACCTCTATATAATGGATACCTTCTATATGATGAATCTTCCGTTATAAGAGACTGAATTTTCGAACCTCTATGTAACAGATACCTCTATTTAACGGATTTTTCCTTATAAGAGACTGACTTTTTGAACCTCTGTCTAACGAATACCTCTATTTAACGGACTTCCCGTTATAAGCGACTTTGTCTTCCTCTGACTTTATTAGAAGAGTTGGTTAGATTTTTAAACCTTTTTTTTTCAGATTAGCTCGTGAAAAAGAAGAAATGGATCGAATTCATGGTATGACAGAAGAAGAAAGGCGTGAATATATGAGATTACATCCAAAGGTTTCTTGAAAAGTTTTTTATGTTTGAAAATTTTTTAAAGGTCATAACAAACGAACAACGCAAAGGAAAATACAAATTTTTACAAAAATACTACCACAGAGGAGTTTTCTTTCTTGATAAAGAAGATGATGTTCTTAAAAGAAATTTTGCTGAAGCAACGGGGGAAGATGTTTTTGATAAATCTGTTTTGCCTAAAGTTATGCAGGTTTGGAGGATATTTTTAAACGCGAAAAAATTTTAAAAATTATTTTTTAAGGTTAAAAACTTTGGAAAAGCAAGTCGTACAAAATGGACACATTTAACTGCAGGTTTGTTTTAAATTTTAATTATTGTTGAACAAAAATGGGGGAAAAGTCTCGTGTTTTTAGTTGTCAATTAAATTTTGAATAATTTTTTTTAATGAAAAGGAATCATTAAAATGATGTTCTTAAGATCCAAAGGTTTTTAAAAATCGATTAGAAAGAGTCCGCAATTTTTGCAACTTTGCGGACAACATTTTTTTGCGGACAAAACTTGCGGACATTATTTTAGCGGACAAATGTTTTTGGGACAAAATATTTTTGCGACTTTTCTTATAAAAATAATTAAACTTTAGATTCCGTAATAAACCCAAATTTTAAATAATTGGGTTTGGCAATAAACCCCCAACCCTCAGACTTTAAAATTATCACTCTATGTCCTTATTCTTCTTTTAATTTTCCCAAATTTTTAGAAGATACAACTGATCATCAAGGTGTTTGGGCAACACCAACACCTTTAAGTGCTAAATTTGTAACTAAACATGCAGCTGGGATGAAACCTATTTTTGAAAGGCCGATAACTAAAAAAAGAAAAGTTGGGGATTAAAATTGGGAGATTTTATGTAGAATTTCTTTGGATTTTTTTTTCAAAATTTTGAGTAAAGTAATAATGAATTTAAAGGAATTTAATCAGCTTTATGGATCCCTCCCCCTTTTTTTTATAGAAAACGTCCTGTGATTCGATCTCTTAACAATCACCCAATATGCCCCTCTCTAAGGTGAAAGTTTACCCCGGGCAGGTAGCGATCGCGCGACTTTCTGGAAGTTGTTAATATAAGAGATTACGTTTGCCAGGTACAAGCCAGTGCTATATTTTGGGCATTTGTTGGGTCCGGCTCCAGGGCTTTCAAATTCTTGGCTCCAGGAGCTAGCTCCCAGAGCCAAATACAGCGCTGGTATAGGCTATCTCTTTTAATAGATCTTAGATCCTTTCCTGGTAGGTATTTTAAATGGCCAGCTCTCCTAGCATAAGCAATTTTAATGAAACTGCAAAGTTAAGAATATACCTATAGTCTCTCCTCGAAACTTGAGAAAGTCGTCCTTGTAATCCCCGAGAGATTGTGTATAAAAGGACCTTTTAATTTCTCTCCCATATCATCACTATCATCACTCCACCCACAAAATAAAGTTTGGTCAATAATTATGTTGCTGCTGTTCTTTATAACATGGATGGGTTTCCTGCTACACGTTCCTTTGCTTGTGCATTGTTCCAAGAAGATGAGGAAGAGAGAGGTGGGTGGTTTTCAAAATTTTTCTTAAAATCTTTAAAAAAAATTTTCTTTCTTTTTAGAAGAAATTAAGAAAGAAGCAGAAGAAACAAGAAAAGAAGGCAAGGAAAAGAATGATGGCTCAGAACAACATGGGAATGCAAGGAGGCGAATATCCCCCACCGGCTGGAGTGGCTCCCGGAGCGTCTGTTGGATGGCAGCAGATTGATAGTGGAGGTGGTGGTGGTTTTGTGGAGAATAAGCCTATGAAACCTGTCAAACAGCAACAACAACACGGACCATGCGCGTTATGTTGTCTTGGATGTCTACATGCCTGTGCAAGCCTGAGTTTTTCATCATTAAGCATCAGCAGTAGTTCATCTTCGAGTAGTTAGGGAAATGCTCGGTGGTTGAGGCTAATTGTTGATAGATGTGTAATGAATATATATGTGATTATTGTTTGATTATGTTTGCTATATGTTGTGTTTATTTTTGCTTGTTTGTATGTAAAAATGTTCTTGTAAAATTCTTGTAAAAATTTTTTTTTGGATTTTGGTTAAATTTAAGACGAGTAATCTTTCGTTAAATACATAGCTTTGTACACTTTAAAAGATTTTCGGGACACGCCCGAAATGTCGCGCGGCCATAATGTCGCCGAGCCATAACTTGCTTTAAGATTTCCGAATCTTTCCAAATTTAGTATTAAACGATTCCTCTCATCGAGCCAAAGAGATTGGTACCAAAATTGATAAGGGCCAGTTATTTTTTAGCAAGTTATGGCTTGGCGACATTATGGCCGCGCGACATTTTGGGTTGCACCCAAGATTTTTCAACCACTCGTCAAGTTTGGTGTAGTGGGAAAATTTTTGGTTTCCACTAGGAAGGGATGGGAGTTCGAACCCCACTCATAGAAAATAATTTTTTTATTAATTTAAACAATAGTTTTTATCATAAAATCAAACAAATATTGTTTTAAAAATATTTATAAAATATAATATTTTTTAGAAATATATATTTTTAAAAATCTTATCGTTGAAACAAAAAATAAATATTTTGAGTTTAATTTTGAGAAAAATGATGAGATGGTTGGAAATGATTTTTTTAATTTTTAATTCAACTCTATAACCCAAAAAATTTTTTTCCTACTTGAAAACATGAATGCCTTCATTTTTGTATTTTTTCTAAAGAGTTGAATTGTTCTGAGAGGGCAGCATTATTATGATATGAATTAAATGGGTGTTTAACCGGGAGACAAAAAAATGCAACAATATAAGTAATAAAAATATTTTTTTCTTTCTTTAAAAAAATGGCGAGTTAAAAAGGTGGCGGCCCGTTTGTAAAATCAAGTTGTGGTTCAAAACTCCTAGCAAAATTGTTTAATAAATGGCAGCAATAGTCATCATCGCAGTGAGGAACGAGACACGCTGCTCCCAAAAGTAAGACTAGCATTGCCTGTATTTTTAGAGTTATAATTTTATAGGTGACAAATTTCCGGAAAATGCATAGAATTAAGGAAAATGTCTATTTCTTTTTCCGCAAAACTTATTTTCTGTGTCTATTTCCGGAAAACTTATTGTGTCTATTTCTTTTTCGGTGTCTATTTCCGGAAAATATTGTTGAATCGTTACGGGAAGACATTTTCCGGAAAACATATTTTCTGTGTCTATTTCCGGAAAAAGAATTTAAAAAATACAAATATACATTCATATTTTCCGGAAAATACACAAGGAAAGGAAGATGTATAGTTTCCGGAAGACTTCTATTTCCGGAAAACACAAGGGAAAATACTAATATACTTTACAGAAACATTTTATATTTTCCGGAGTTAAGTACTTTCTCAATTGTTTCTGAAAAACACAATAAACTTCAGGAAATTGTATTTCATCTAAAATACAATTATCCTAATATTTGTGTTTTCCGGAAACTATTCAACTCAATTTACTTGTAAAGGCAAAGCAGTCCGTAAAACACGCCTCCAACGCGATCTGTCATCCAATTCTTGTGATGATCTGGATACTCTATCGCCTTGTCGAGGATCATCGGGCACTGGAGATTCAGGTGTTTCTCCATCTGGATAAATTATGCTGCCAGGTAGAGCTTAAAAATAAATTTTTTTAATTGTTTGATTTCTTAAAAATGTCTCAAGCCACAAGATCGAAAACCTGAAAAAAGCTTTCCGGAAAGGAAACATACTAATTTGTATTTTATGTAAAACACAAAACTATAGTTAGGTATATTATGGGACACGCCCAAGTAGGCGCGCTGCCATAACGGCGCAAGGCCATAACTTGCTGGAAAATTTCTGGCCCTTATCAACTTTGGTCTCAAAACATCTTTAGCGTTCTCTATTAAGAAAAGCTCGATAGAATCGTTTAAACTAAATTTGGTAGGATTCGGAAATCCTGAAGCAAGTTATGTTCTTGCGCCTACTTAAGCTGTACCCTTATATTATATATTTATATTTTCCGGAAACTTCTGTTGCTTTCGGAAATTGTTAGTTAATGTTCAAAATGCCTGTCTTTAGGGTATCAAAAGGATTTCGATCTTTTGTATAGACTCCCAAAAATTCTTTATAATTTTTACATTCAATTTCATATTCCTCCTCTTCAGATTCCTCATCCAAAACCAACTCCAAGTCAGTAATTCCATGTTCTCTCAAAACATCTTTAGGTTCTCTATTAGGAAAAGCTGCAGCAAACATTTCTGCGGCAGCTTCAATATCATAATCCGGCTCTAAATGTTGTTTCGTTGTTATTGTAGAAGTACTTGGTTGTTGTTGATCAAAAATTGTTAATTCTTCCAATCTCTGTTGCCCTTTTTCTTTCATTTGACTTGAAGAAGGAATTAATTCTTCAAGCAATTCTTCGCCTCCTTCCACCTTAAAAAATCATTTAAAAAAATTTAAAAAATTAAAAAAGGATTACTCTATCAGAGTATAATTTTGAAAGAATAAATTCTTCCTTCTTTTGTTCCTCCTCTAAATTAGGAAAACTTTCTTTTGACTTTTCTTCCTCTTCCTCAAAATCTTCTTTTTTCTCTTCTCCTTCTACTACTTCTATTATTCTTTCCGGAAAAGACCCTTCCTCCACCTTTTCACTTTCTCTAATCACCTCCATCTCTAAAATAGGTCTGGAAGGTTCATTCAAGTCAACAGATTCAAGCTCCTTCAATTTCTCCTCTTCTTTTTCCTTCCGTTCTTCATCCAATACTCTTCCTTTAATTGATAATGAGCCTTCTTTTTCTTCAATTTTCTTTTCTTCATCCTTGTGGGTTGTAGTAGAAGGCAAAAGATCCAAGTAATGCTCAACATGTTTATTTTCAACTTCTAAAGGCATTAAATCCATTTCTGTTTGTTTAGTTGCTTCATAAGAAGAAGCTTCTTCAGTCATCTTTACGGCCTCATCTTCTTGGGAAGATTCGACAAATGAAGGAAGTCTTTCAGATATTGTGATCTGTGTGTTTAATTGCTCCACTTCTTCCTTCCTTTCTTTAACTACCCTTTTTTCAGAGCTTTCTTCCTCTACAGAATCCTTCGAGCTTTCTCTAACCTTTCCGGTTTCTTGCTTTCCTTTACTCTCTAAAACTAGTTGTTGTTCAATTTTCTTCTCAGGCTTTTTCTGTTGCAATTCCTTCAATCCTTTTTCTTCTTCCAATCCTTTTTCTTCTTCTCTTCTTCCTTTCCCTTTCTTTACTTTTTTCTTCTTCCCCATTTCTTTCTTCCCTCCAATAAAATCACCTAAACAAAGTCCTGGATGTGCCAAAGATTTTTCTTCCTCCTCCAAAAATGCTGGAGATGATTTGGCAGGATGTTCTTCTCTTCCTTGGTATTCCAAAGGTTTCTTCTTTTCTTCCTCTATCTTTTCTCTTCTTCCAAAACTAAATTCTTCATAATTTTTTGTTTGAATTTCTTGTTCAAATTTAAGTTCTTTTTCCTTAAATTGACTCTCTTGAACAACTGATGCTTCGTAATACCCAACATTCTTTTTTTCAATATCCAAAGGTGTTGAATCCAATTTAGGCTGTTTAAATGCCTCAGAAATGTTGCCAATTAAAGAAGCTTCTTCTAATATCTTTTCTGAAGCTTCAGGCTTCTTCTTTTCAATATTTGAAGCAAATAATTGTTCATAATACCCAATATTCTTCTTTTCAACTTCCATAGGCACAGAATCAATGTCTAATTGTCGTTTAGTCTCCAAGACTTGGCCAATAGAAGGATGTTTAATTTTTTGTTCTTCCATTTCTGTTGAGGTAAAAACTTCATCAGAACGTCCGGAAGAGTAAATATTAACAAATTGATCAATTTTAGATTTATCCAATTCTGTTGATTTGGAAGTTTCAGATAAGAGTTCTAAAAAAGGAAAAGTTTAATTGAAAACAGATTTTTGTTTTAATCCTACCTTCAGGGTTCGTTTCTTGAACAATTGATGGAGGAGGAAGATCTTTATAATACCCAATATTTTTCTTTTCAACCTCCAAAGGTCTTGGCTTCATTTCTGGATGTTTTTCAGTTGTTTTATAAGAGACATTTTCTTCTTCAGGTTTGGGATATTCTGTCATCTCCTTGGAAGGTTCAATAAATGAAGGAAGTCTTTCAAATATTTCAACTTCCTTATTTTGTTCCTCCTCTTCTTTTTCCTTCCTTTCTTCCTCCAACACTCTTCCTTTAGTTGATAAAAAGCCTTCTTCCTCTTCAACCTTTCCGGTTTCTTTCCTTCCTTCACTCTCTAAAACTGGTTGTTGTTCAATTTTCTTCTCAGGCTTTTTCAGTTTCAATTCTTCCACTTCCTTTATTTCTTCTTTTTCTTCTCCTCTTCCTTTCCCTTTCTTTACTTTCTTCTTCTTCCTCATTTCCTTCTTTCCTTCAATAAAATCACCTAAACACAGGCCCTTATGTTCAACTTCCTTCAATTCTTCTTTATCTTCCTCAGTTTTCTTCTTCAATTCAAACTCTTCACCCTCTTCCTTCTTTTCCTTTTCCTCTTCCTTTCTAGCCATGGAAGGCTTTTTCAAAGGGAAGAGGTCAGTTTTTGAAATTTGTTGAGTAAAAAGCTCAGAATCTTTCTTCTTTTCTTCCAAAGCTTCAGGCTTTGCTTCTTCCGTTTTTAAAGGAAGCAAATTTTCTTGATGGCCAATATGCTTCTTTTCAATCTCCAAAGGTTTAAATGACAATTCGTTTTGTTTTTGTTGTTGTTTTGCTTCCAAGTGCTCCTCTTCTTTTGGTTCTAAAGCTGTTTTTGTTAGTTCAAAAGGTTCTGCTTCTAACAAAAATTCTGTAGCTTCTAATGAAGGTTTTGACATTTCTGTCTGTTCTGTAAACAAAGGGAAATCTGAAGCTATTGTTTCTTCCTGAACTTCCGGTCTTTCAGGCTTTTCCTCTTTCTCTTCTTCAATAATTGAAGGAATTAATTGTTCATAATACCCAACACGCTTCTTTTCAACCTCCAAAGGTATTGGCTTCATTTCTAGTTGTTTAGTTGTTTCAGGAACGTTAATTGAAGCTTCACTTGTTGGAGCTTCTCTTGTTTCATCAGAACGTCCAGAAGAGTAGATATTAACAAATTGATCAATTTGAGATTTATCCAATCCTGTTGATTTGCAGATCTCAAGTAAGGGGTCTAAAAAAAGAAAATAGATCGGATAGATTCTAAAGTCTTAGTCTTACATTCAAGCTTTCTTTCTTGCACAATCGATGGTTGTGGAATTTTTAGTGTCTCAGACAAAGTCTTGGTTGTTAAATGTTCGTAATAACCCATATATTTCTTTTCAACTTCCAAAGGTTTTGGCATCATCTCCTTTTTAGTTGTTTCAAAAACATTAATAAATTCTTCCTTTGGAACTTCTTCTGTTTTAGTTGTTGAAACAAATTCAGAACGTTCCTTAAAATATTCAATCTCTTCCTCTTTTGAAGTTAATGGCTCAGTTGTTTCTGTAACTGAACTAGAGAGTGTGCTATCTTTTTGAAGCAGATTTTCTGTTGCTTCCGATTTTTCTTTTTCCTCTTCGTTAATTACTCTAAGAGGTTCTTCAAAAGGCAATTCAGTTTGTTTAATTGTTTCTGGCACAAAATTTGCTTCGCTTTTTTCTTCAGCTTCAGGCTTTTCTTGAACAGTTGATAGTGGAAGATTTTCATAATACCCAATATGCTTCTTTTCATCATCCAAAGGTGTTAAAGCCAATTCAGGCTGTTTAAATGCTTCAGAAATATTGCCAAATAAACAAGCTTCTTTTAATTTTTCTGAAGGTTCAGGCTTCGTTTCCTCTTCTTGTGAAGCAAATAATTGTTCATAATACCCAACATTCTTCTTTTCAACTTCCATTGGCACAGAATCAATGTCTAATTGTCGCTTAGCCTCTGAAACAAGACCAATAGAAGGAACATCAATTTTATGTTCTTCCATTTTTGTTGAAGTAGAAACTTCATCAGAACGTCCAGAAGAGTAAATATTAACGAAAGAGTTGATCGGCTCTTCTGGCAATTCAGAAATTAAATTAGTAGAATTAATAAGAGGTTTTGAATCGACAAGAAGATCTTCCAATGTTTTAAGGTCTTGAGAAGATTCTTCTTCTTCAATTTTCTTTACTTCTTTTTCTTCTTCCTCTCTTCTTTCTTTCCCTCTCTTTACTTTTTTCTTCTTCCTCATTACCTTCCCTTCTTCAATAAAATCACCTAAACAAAGGCTTGGGTGTTTAAATGATTTTTCTTCTTCTTCCTTCCCTTCCTTTATTCTTAATTTCAAATCCTTTTCATCTTCTTTTAGTTCTTCTTCTTCTTCTTCCATATTTTTCTTCTCAATACTAAAACGATCACCTTTCGGTTCTGTTTGTATTTTTGTCTCGATGGGAGATAGTTCTTTAATTTTTGTTTGTTCTGTCGAATTCGTAGTTGTTGAAATTTCATCAGAACGTCCAGAAGAGTAAATATTAACAAATTGATCAATTTGGGATTTATCCAATTCTGTTGATTTGCAAGTTTCAAATAAGGATTCTGAAAAAGGAAATCTAAGTTGAATAGATTCTAAAGTCTTAGTCTTACCTTCAAGCTTCTTTTCTTGAACAATTGATGGTGAAGGAAGATTTTCATAATACCCAACATTCTTCTTTTCAACTTCCAAAGGTATTAGATCCATTTCTATTTGTTTTAATGTTTCTGGAATGTTGTCATTTAATAAGGCTTCCTTTAATATTTCTTCTTTTTCTGTCTTTGTTTTATCTTCAATAATTGAAGGTTTTAATTTTTCATAATAGCCAACATGCTTCTTTTCAACCTCCAAAGGTATTGGCTTCATTTCTTCTTGTTTATTTGTTTTATGAGAAAATAAAGGAGTTTCTTCGATTTTGGAATATTCTGTCATCTCTTTGGAAGGTTCAATAAATGAAGGAAGCCTTCCAGACATCTCAATCCCTTTATTTTGCTCCTCCTCCTCTTCTTTTTCTTTCTTTTCTTCCTCCAATACTCTTCCTTTAGTTGATAAAGACCCTCTTTCATCTCCAACCTTTCCAGGTTCCTTCATTTCTTCACTCACTAGAACAATTTGTTGTTCAATTTCTTTCTCAGCAGAGCCTTTCTGTTGCAATTCTTCCACTTCCTTTATTTCCTTTCTTTCTTTTTCTTCCTCCCCTTTTCCTTTCCCTTTCTTTACTTTTTTCTTCTTCCTCTTCTCTTTCTTTTTTCCTTCTTCAATAAAATCACCCAGACAAAGGCTTGGGTGTTCAAAGGATTTTTCTTCTTCTTCCTCTTCTTTTATTTTTGGCCTCACAACTTTAATTAATTCAATCTCTTTTTGTTGTGTTTCGGAGATTGGTTGAGGTGAACGTCCAGAAGAGGGTTCTGAAAATAAGGATAAAATTAGAATTTTAAATGAATTTTTTTTATGATTATTCAGATATTTTTTGATACTCTCTTGGGGGGTGAAAAATAATTTAGTCTTACCTTCAGCATTAGTTTCATGAATAAATGATGGGGAAGGAAGCTTTTCATAATAACCAACATGTTTATTTTCAATTTCCAATGGTTCTGGCCTCAATTCTGGCTGTTTAAATTCTTCAGAAATATTTTTAATTAAAGACGCTTCGTTTATTTTAGCCTCAGGTTTCTTCCCTTCCCCTTCTTTTAATGCTGTAAAAATCAACTGTTCATCTTCACAATATTCAATATTCTTCTTTTCAATTTCCAAAGGTGTTAAAGTCAATTCAGTTTGTTTAAATGTTTCAGAAATGTCTTCAGAGCGTTTCTCCAATCCAGCCGTCTTTGGAATTGTTTTTGAGTCATCAGAACGTCCAGAAGAGTAAATATTAACAAGTGAATGGATTGGCTCTTTTGGCAATTCAGAGATGATATGAGTGCTAGCGATTGATTCTTCGGAAGGTGTTGAATCAACAAAAAATTGTTGAGAAGTTTTACTTTCATTGAAGGCTTCTTTTATTTTTAATGGAGCTTTAGGCTTCTTTTCTCCCTCCTTGAGTGCTGTACAAATCAACTCTTCATCTTCACAATATTCAACATTCTTCTTCATTTCTGGTTGTTTTTTACTTGTTTCAGAAGAAACAGGCTCTTCAGTTTTAGGATATTCTTCCAGCTCTTTTAAAACTTCACCACAAAATTCGGCTGGCTTTTCAAGTGCCCCAATCCTAATTGTTTTGACTGTTGACATCAGTTCAAGCTCTTCTTTCTGTTGGGTCTCTTCTTGTTTCTTCTGCTGAACATCTTCTTTTCCTTTCCCTTTCTTTTTCCCTTTCCCCATTTTCTTCTTCTTCCCTTCGTCAATAAAATAGCCTAGATGCTTCTCTTCAATTTCAAAAGGTATTGGCTTCATTTCTTCTTGTTTACTTGTATTATCTTCTTTTGAAGGTTCAATAAATGAAGGAAGTCTTTCAATCCCTTTATTTTTCTCCTCTTTTTTCTTCTTTTCTTCATCCATTACTCTTCCTTCAGTTGATAAAGAGCCTTCTTCTTCCTCTCCAACCTTTCCGGTTTCTTTCCTTTCTTCACTCTCCTTTTTCTGCAAATTAATTTGTAGTTGTTGTTCAATTTCCTTCTCAGGCTTTTTCTGTTGTAATTCTTCCAATTCCTTTGTTTCCTCTTTCTCTTCTCCTCTTCCTTTCCCTTTCTTTACTTTTTTCTTCTTCCTCATTTCCTTCTTTTTCCCTTCTTCAATAAAGTCACCTAAACAAAGGCCTGAATGTTCCCAAGATTTCTCTTCCTTTTCTTCCTCCCCTTCCTTTAATTTTGGTTTTAAATCCTTTTCATCTTCTTTTAGTTCTTCCTCCTCTATATTTTTCTTCACAATACTAAAACTAACACCTTCCGGTTCTGTTTGTATTTTTGTCTCTTGGAGGGGAGATAGTTTTTTAATCTTTGTTTGTTCTGTTATTTTCGTAGTTGTTGAAATTTCATCAGAACGTGCAGAAGAGTAAATATTAACAAATTGATCAATTTTAGATTGATCCAATTCTGTTGATTTGCGTGTTTCAAATGAGGGTTCTAAAAAGAAAAATAAAGTTAGATAAATACTAAAATAAAAAATTTCTAGTCTTACTTTCAAAGTTCGTTTCAAGAACAATTGATAGAGGGGGAAGTTCTTCATAATACCCAATATCTTTCTTCTCAACTTGTAAAGGTTTTGACTTCATTTCTGGATGTTGTTTAGTTGTTTCATAAGAAATAGCTTCTTCTTCAGGTTTGTGATATTCTGTCATCTTTACTGTTAAAGCTTCTTTGGAAGATTGAATAAATGAAGGAAGAAGCCTTCCAAATATCTCAATCACTTTATTATGCTCCTCCTCTTCTTCTTTTTCCTCCCTTTCTTCATCCTCTCTTCTCAAAGTTAACAAAGAGCCTTCCTCCTCCTCAATAACATCTCTCGAGCTTTCTTCAACTCTTCCAGTTTCTTTTATTAATTCACCCTTTTTCTGTTGTAATTCTTCCAATTCCTTTACTTCGTTTCCTCCTTCTTCTCCTCTTCCTTTCCCTTTCTTTACTTTTTTCTTCTTTCTCATCTCTTTCTTCTTCCCTTCCTCAATAAAATCACCTAAACAAAGTCCTGAATGTTCAGATGATTTCTCTTCCTTTTCTTCCTCTTCTTCTATATTCTTCTCAACACTAAAAGGAAGACCTTCAGGTACTGTTTGTATTTTTGTCTCTTGGATGGGAGATGGTTCTTTAATTTTTGGATGTTGTGTTGTTTTCGTAGTTGTTGAAATTTCATCAGAACGTCCAGAAGAGTAAACATCAACAATTTCATGGATTTGCTCCTTTGCTGCTTCAGGTATTGTAATACTCGTAATTTGGATAGAAGGCTGCTCGTAATTTAGAGTAAACTCTTCACAAGCTTTGTCTTCTTTAAAAAGCTCTTTGTGTTCTATTCCAGCCTTGGTTTGTTCTTCTTCTTCCGTTGCTTTTATTGAAGGCGATTCATCATAAAATCCAACATGTTTGTTTCCAACTTCCAAAGGTACCTCTTCAAACACTTTTTTATTTAATTTGTTTATGTTGCCAATAAGGAGTTCTTTTGGATATTCTGTCAAGTTTATTGTTGGAATTTTATCGGAAGGTTTAGAAGAGTGAATATTGCCCGAGGAATGGATTACTTCTGTCTGTGCATGGATTGCTTCCTTTTCAGTTAAAAGTTCTTCATACCCTTCTTCAGGTTTTGCTTCCTTCTCCTCTTCTTCTTCATCTCCTCTCACTAATTCTTCAGGTTTTGCTACCTTTGCCTCATTTTCAGTAGATTTTGAAGACAATTTTTCGTTTTCGTCGGCAAGGTCAGAAGAATGGATATTAACAGTCGGTTCTTTTTGTGTTTCAGAAGGCATTTTACTAGAAATTTCCTCAAGTACTTCTTCAGATTTTTCTTCCCCTTCAACTTTAATAGGTTCAGAAGTCATTTTTTCGTAATACACAATGTTCTTCTTTTCAATTTCCAAAGGAAGATGACTCAATTCGGAATAACAAAGTTTTGTTTCTGAGAGATTTTCGTTAACATATTCCTCAATTTTTGAATTTTTACTTGTTTCTAAACTTGTTGGAAGTTGTTTAAATAATTTTAATTCTTCTTCAGGTAATTCAGAAATGAGGGGAGTGTTGTAAATTGGATATTCTGTTAATTTTGTTGTTGGACTTTTAATTGATTCGATGATGGACTTTGAAGTGTCGGGGGATTCTTTCACTTGTTTGAAGATTTGAGAGGGTTCTTCTTCTTTCTCATCTTCTTCAACTTTCCTTTTTTCCTCTCTAGATGTTCTAGTAGCAGGCAAAATATTCGAGTAATATCCAACATGTTTATTTTCAACTTCCAACGGTATTGGCTCCAATTCTGATTGCTTAGTTGTTTCAAAAATTGTTTCGGATATGTTAATTGGAGCCTCAACTGTTGAAACTTCAATTGTAGCCTTATTTGTTTCATCAGAACCCCCAGAAGAGTGGATGTTGACAAAAGAATGGATTGGCTCTCTAGGCAGTTCAGAAGCAGTGCTAGTGGGATATTCTGTTAATTTTGTTGTTGGAATTTTAATTGTTTCAATGAAGGAGTCGGAAATGTTAGGGAATTCTTCCATTTGTTTGAAGCTTTGAGAAGGTTTTTCTTCCTTCTTTTCTTCTTCAATATTCTTTTCTTCCTCTCTAAATGTTCTAGTAGCAGGCAAAAGATCCACGTAATACCCAACATGTTTATTTTCAACATCCAAAGGTATTGGCTTCATTTCAGATTGTTTAAATGTTTCAGAAACAAACAATTGTTGTTCAGTTTCAGGATATTCTGTCATCTCTTCTACAGCTTCATCATTTGGTCTTTCTAGTGTCCCAGTCGCAGTTTTGGCTGTTAATTGTTCGTAATAGCCAATATACTTCTTTTTAACTTCTAGAGGTATTGGACTCATTTCTGGCTGTTTCGATGTTTTACGAATGTTAATGGAAGCTTCACTTATTGAAAATTTAATTGGAGCTTCTTTTATTTCATCAGAACGTCCAGAAGAGTAAATATCGACAAATTGATCAATTTGAGATTTATTTAATTCTGTTGATTTGCAAGTTTCGAATAAGGATTCTAAAAAAATGGAAAATTTAAATTGAATAGATTTTCGAGTTTTAATCTTACCTTCAGGCTTCTTTTCTTGAACAAATGATGGGAAAGGAAGCTTTTCATAATAACCAACATGTTTATTTTCAATTTTCAAAGGTTTTAGCTTCATTTCTGGTTGTTTAGTTGTCTCATGAGAAATTAAAGAAGTCTCAACTTTGTGGCAGACAAATTGTTGTGTTGGTTCCTCAGTTGCTTCAAGTGAAATATTGGTGGTATCTACTAGACTTTCAAGCTTCATTTCTTCAATCTTTGTATCCTCTTTCATTAATTGTTCATAATAACCAACATTCTTCTTTTCAATTTCCAAAGGTATAGGCTTCATTTCTTCTTGCTTAGTTATTTCAGAAACGTTAATTGAAGTTTCACTTGTTGACTCTTCAATTGGAGCTTCCTTTACTTCATCAGAACGTCCAGATGAGTAAATATTAACAAGTGAATGAATTGGCTCTTTAGGCATTTCAGAAGCAATGTTAGTCGTTGTTATTGGGGCATTAAGAGGTTCAGACTTCTCAAAACTTTTGCTTTCCTTCAGGTTACCTTCAAACGTTTCCATCCCTTCCTCATATTTAGTTGTCGAAATAGTAGCTGGTAATTGCTCATAGAAGCCTTCATGTTTATCTTCAATTTTTAATTCGATTCTATTCAATTCAGATTGTTTACTGGTCACTGGAAGGTTTTCAATTAATGCTTCTTTGATAATGGGAATCATTTCGATCCCTTCTTGAGTCAAGTCTTCAGGCACTTCAGATTCCGCTTCTTTTTCGATTTCTGTTTCAGGCAAACCCAAACTTCCTCTTTGGATTTCCAAAGGTTCAAAATCCAATTCTGTTTGTTTTGTTGTTTCGTAGCTAATTTGTGATGGTTCTTCAATTACCTCTACTAAGTTTGATGTTTCTTCAAAGCCTTTTGTCTTTATCTCTAAAGCTTCAGGCTTCTTTTCTTCAATAGTTGGAGGTTTTAATTGTTCATAATACCCAATATTTTTCTTTTCAACTTCCAAAGGTATTGTTTTGATTTCTGATTGTTTAGTTGTTTCATGAGAAGGAGCTTGTTCAGTTTTGGGATATTCTGCCATCTTTTCTTTTTTATCCTCTTTGGAAGGCTCAATAAATGAAGGAAGTACTTCAGACATCTCAATCACTTTATTTTGTTCCTCCTCTTCTTTTTCCTTCCTTTCTTCATCTTTCCTTTCAGTTAATAAAGTACCTTCTTCTTCCTCTCCAACTTTCCCTGTTTCTTTCCTTCCTTCACTCTCTAGAACTGGGTGTTGTTCAATTTCATCCTCAGGCTTTTTCTGTTGTAATTCTTCCAATTCCTTTGCTTCTTCTTTTTCTTCGTCCACCCTTCTTCCTTTCTCTTTCTTTACTTTTTTCTTCTTCCTCATTTCTTCCTTTCCTCCAATAAAGTCACCTAAACAAAGGCCTGAACGTTCAAATGATTTTTCTTCTTCAATTTCCTTTATTTTTGGCTTAATATTCTTTTCATCTTCCTTTATTGTTAAATGTTCATAACTAAGAATATTCTTCTTTTCAACTTCCATTGGGACAGAGTCAATGTATAATTGTCGTTTAGTCTCTGAGACTTGGCTAATAGAAGGAACTTCAATTTTTTGTTCTTGCATTTTTGTTGAGGTAGAAACTTCATCAGAACGTCCAGAAGAGTAAATATTAACAAATTGATCAATTTGGAATTTATCGAATTCTGTTGATTTGCATGTTTTAAATAAGGATTCTGAAAAAAGGAAAAATAAGTCGAGTAGATTTTAGTATTTTAATCTAGGGTTCGATATTACGGGGCGGGGCTGAGTTTACGGGGAACGGGGGTTGCTGGGAATTCGCGTTCGGGGAACGGGGCGGGGAGGGCTTCTTCCCCCCCGCGAGCTTCTCCCCGGAGAATTTTTAAAAAAGGAGGCTCTAGGGAGGCCATACCTGCGTCGGGGAACGGGGATGAACCCTATTTTAATCTTACCTTCAAGGTTCGTTTCAGGAGTAATATGCTTGTAATAACCAACATTCTTCCTTTCAACCTCCAAAGGTATTGGTTTCATTTCTGGTTGTTTACCTGTTTCATGAGAAACTAAAGAAGCTTCTTCAATTTCTGGATATTCTGTTGTTTTTTGTTCATCAGAACGTCCAGAAGAGTAAATACCGACAAATTGTTGTATTGGTCCTTCTGTAGCTGCAGGTAAAATATTGGTGGTATTTACTAAACCTTCAAGCTTCCTTTCTTCCATCTTCGTATCCTCTTTTATTTTTAAATGTTCATAATAGCCAATATTCTTCTTTTCAACTTCCAAGGGTATTGGCTTAATTTCTGATTGTTTAAATGTTTCGGAAACAAACAATTGTTGTTCAATTTCTGGATATTCTGTCACCTCTTTTACAACTTCATCAGAAACTTCATTTGGTCTTTTTAGTGTAACAGGCGCAGTTTTGGCTGTTAATTGTTCATAATACCCAACATTCTTCTTTTCAATTTCCAAAGGTATAAGCTTCATTTCTTCTTGCTTAGTTGTTTTATGAGAAGAAACTTCTTCAATTTGGGGATATTCTTTAATTTCTTCAGAACGTCCAGAAGAGTAAATATTAACAGATTGATCAATTTGAAATCTATTTAATTCTGTTAATTTGCAAGTTTGAGATAGGAGGCCTAAAAAAAAAGAGAAATTTAGATTGGATAGATCCAATTGTTCTAGTCTTACTTTTAAACTTCTTTTCTTGAACAATTGAAAGCTGTGGACGATCTTCGTAATACCCAACATGTCTCTTTTCAACTTTCAAAGACATAGGCTTCATTTCTTCTTGTTTAGTTGTTTCAGAAACAAACAATTGTTGTTTGTTGGAATATTCTGTCACCTCTTTTACAAGCTCACTAAAAGGGTCAAGTGGTCTTCCCAGTGTCTTAGATACCTTTTTGGCTATTAATTGTTCATAATAACCAATATGCTTCTTCTCAATTTCTAAAGGTTTTAACTCCAATTCTGGTTGCTTAGTTGTTTCAGAAATTTTGATTAAAGTTTTACTTGCTGAAGCTTCAATTGGAGCTTCCTTTATTTCATCAGAACGTCCAGAAGAGTAGATGTTTACAAGAGAATGGATTGGCTCTTTAGGCATTTCAAAAGTAATGTTAGTCGTTATTATTGAAACATTAATAGGTTCTTCTTTAACTTGAAGTTCTTCAGAAATATTTTCTTCTTCTTCCCCCTTTCTTTTTTGTTTTGATAACGATATTATTTCAATAAAATCATCTTCCTTTTCTTGCTTTGATTCTAAAGATTTGTCAAGTTTAATATCAAATTCAACGGATTTAACTTCTTCAACTTTAGGGAGGTCGACGACTTTTGTTACCTTAAAATTGAAAAATTTTACAATGATAGTAAGAGTTAAGTATAGCTGCCGGCAAGGATTCGAACCTACAACCTCCTTTTCCTTGACAGCCTCTTCCCCTACTAACCTTTTTTTCCTTCTGTATTTTCTTCTTGTTCAGTTCATCTTCCCCTTGCTTCCTTCCCTTTTCCTTCATTTCCCTTTCATCCCCTTCCTTATATTCTTCATTCTCTTCCCTCTGTTTTAAATCCTCTTCCTTCTTTCCTTCAACTTCCTTCTTTTTCATTTCATCCTCTTCCTTTTTATTCAAATTTTTCCTTTCGCCTTTCACCTTTTTCATTTCAGTTGCCATTTGTTTCACATCTTCCTCTTTCCTTCCCTTTTTCATTTTAATTTCATCCTCTTCCATCTTTTTCTCTTCCTCCACTTTCCTTTCTTCTTCCCTTATTCTTTCCTCTTCAATTCGTTTATTTTCCTCTTCCTTTTTCCTTTCCTCTTCGCTTCTTCTTCCTCCAACTTCGTTCACCTTTTTCCTTTCCTCTTCCCTTCTTCTTCCAACTTCTTCCTCTTTCTGCTCCTCCTTCTTCCTCTTCTCCTCCTTCTTCCTCTTCTCCTCCTTTCCCCTTTTCTTCTCCTTCCTTTCCTCTTCCTTCTCTTTCTTTTCCTCCTCCTCAACTTTCCTTTCTTCTTCCCTTATTCTTTCCTCTTCCCTTCTCCTTCCAACCCCTTCCTCCTCTTTCCTTTCCCTTTCCTTCTTCCTCTTCTCTTCCTTTCTCCTTTTCTTCTCCTTCCTTTCTTCTTCCTTTTCTTTCTTTTCCTCCTCCTTTTGTCTTCCAATTCTCTTCTCTACTTCAACAAACTCTTCAAAAACAACCACAAATTTCTTCTCAATTACTTCAAGTTCTCCAGACAATTTTTTAACTTTTTCCAAAACTTTAATTAATTCAACACTTTTTTCTTCTTCCATTTTTATTTCTTCTTTCAATCCCTTCAATTCTTTATTTATTGCTTCAATTAATTCTATTTGACGACTAAATTGTTCATTTGTAGAAGGCATTTGTATTTGACCCGAAAGCATTTCTTCCAACATAAATTTCATTTTTGTTGATTTATCAAAGGCAATATTAGCCTCTTCTATTAGACGAGGATCTAGAAAATTTTTTTGAAATTTTCTTATAAAATTTGTATAGTTACATGTCTTTAATTTTCTTCAATTTCTAAAATCCCCTTATTTTCCCCTTTAAAATTTAATTACCACACTTATGTCTACGCGCTCTCTTAGGACTGAAAACACTATAAAATAGGTGTAAACAACAGAGGTGAGTCGGAACAGTCCGAGGTGTCGGAAATCGGAAGAGCCTGAAATCGGAACTGGCTCAAAAGTCGGAACTTGGAAATCGGAAATCAAATTTTTTTCGGAAATCGGAATTCCGACCCACCTCTGGTAAACAACAACGAGGATATTGTTAAGTCGCTCCTCAAATAACAGTCACCAACTAGATTAAAAAAAGTACACTAAATTGAGAGTGTTCAAGTTAATGGAAAAGGTTCACATAAGGGAGGGGTCCGACTATAATTTTAAATATTTTTTAAAAAAATTTTCTCACTTGTTTTCTTCTCAGATTTCATCTGTTTCTCACTTAAAGGTTCCGATCTTGCTTTTTCCTTCTTAATTAATTTTTCTTTTTCAATAGCTGGATCAGTAACCAAATATTTACTACTGCTACTACGTTGAATATTCTCTTCAGATTTTTCCTTTTCTTTTACAACATTTTGTCGTCCAAAAATTTTTCTACTAATATTTTTTAAATTGTTTCCTTCTTTTATTTTCTTTTCAATTTCTTCATTTTCTTCCTTCATTTCAAAATAAAATTCACAAAATATTTCTTCATCCTCAATTTTTTCTTCAATATTTTTTTCTTCCCTCTTTAACATTTTTTCCCCTTTCCTAATTTTATTAAATTCAATTTCTTTCGATTTTTCCAACAAAATAATTTTTTCTAATTTATTTTCAATTATTTCTTCATTTCTTCTTTTTATTTGAGAAGTTGATGGACCTTCTTCTTCAATTAAATCTTCATTTTTTTCATTATTATTTATTTCAGTTTCTTGTTTATTTACTTGTTCATTTTGCCATTTATCATCAATTACCTTAAAAAATCAAAAAAAATTTATTCGAATGTTATCCAAAATTTAAAGAACTGGACCAAGGACGGTTCAGGTTGAGAAAAAATTTGGGATGCGTTTCCGAGTTTTAGGATGGGAAAACAGTCCGAGGTTTTGAGTATCGAGTTTTGCGTATTCCGGTCCATCCATGGTCCGAATCTGGACAGGCTCATGGATAAGGAGGACCTGAAGGGTTGACCAAAGCCTGAAGGTTTCTGAGCTAATCCCTAAAAACTGAAAAATAGGCTCAGTTTTTCCGACCCAAATTTTTTTTATCGAAAATTTTTTACAACTATTACAAAGTTTCGTTCTTTTTCCAATTCCAATTTTTTCCCCTTGGTTTTCGCATTTTTCCCATTTTCTTGGAGGCTTCCCTAATTTTTAATACCCACAATTATATGTAAAGTAGGCGAGAGATGACCACCTCTTCCCAAAAATTTTTTAACCCCTCAGAGGACCAGAAAATTTTTTACAAATTTTTTAGAAAAATTTCTACACCTGAATTATAGTAGTTACACTATTACAAAGTTTCAAAATTATTTTTTTCTGTTTTGAAGGACTTAAAGATTTGCTTCCATCAATACTAATTTCCACATATTGTCTAACTACTCTACACTGTTTTTTGAGCAATTCAATTTGAAGTTGTAAAAATTTTAAATTTTCTTTTGATTTAAAATTTTGGGGGTCCATTTGATTCTCACAAACAACAAAATTTTCAACATCCCCCAATCTTTCCACAATTTGTTTGTAATTGGATCTAAGCTCAATTTCTTGGTTAATTTCTGTTGTTAAAGCTTTGTGGAAACGTTTAAGTGAATTCTTTTCTCTTTTTAGGGAAGCTACAAGTTTGAATAAACGTTGTTTTAAAGTATCGTTTTGAATGGAGGAGGCTAATTGGCAAAGTTGAGTTTTTTGTTCAGTTACTTTTGAAGCAAATAACTGGAATATAAAAAATGATTTTAAAAAAAAATTAAAAATAGACAAGAAAGAGACTCAGAAATCCTAAAAGGAGGAACAGGAAAAAATTATATGAGACCCCAAAAAGAAAAAATCTTCCTTAACTGATTTGAACATAGTTAAATGAGTTGGACGGATTTTGGACTTTTGGGTTCAAAATCCGAGATTGTATAATTATTTCAGACAGGATACGTTAACAACATCAGGGGTATGAAACAACACTAAACAGTCCTCGGGAGGTATTGAAGGAAAATCAAAGTACAAGGCAAAGGAACGAACATGAGAGATAACAGAACCACTACCATCCCTCCTACTATCTACTACTACCCTCAATCAACCCACAGCTACCTAAACTACCTACTACTCTCAATAAAAAAATTTTTTTTTACAAAAAATAACAACCCCGACTCTCTCCCTAGAGACATTTTAAAATTTATTTAAAATAAAATTAAACCCTACTTTCAACAAATTAACGTCTTCTCTAGCAATTTCCAAAGGTTTAGGAGTATAATAACGAGCATGTAATCTATCTATTGCTATTTGAATATGTTTAACTTCTTTTTCAATTAATTCAATTGGAATATCCTCCAATTTGTTTCCTGCTTCCAATTTATTTATTAATGTATTTAAGACATTATTTTCTTCTTCAAAATTTTCTTTTAAATTTTCCTCTTTTATAAGTGAAAGTGCTTCAGCTACAATTACTTCACTATTTAATGAAGCTAAATCAGAATCCAAATCAGAAGAAAAACCGACAGAACTTGATGTAGAGGCTAAGGAAAGCTGTAAAAAAGAATAACAAATTTTTAAAAAAATAAAAGAAAATAGTATTGACAATACGGAGAGTGTTCTCTAACTCTCTAATTTTCAATAGAGTTCAGCGGGATAAGGCGGGATTATCACAGTTTTTTTAATCCCGACACACCTCAATTTAGGATACATTTTTAAAGCATAGCTAGAATCTAGGTGTAGGAATTTTTAGGGATTTATTTTTGGGAAGCTAAAAAGGTGTGGAGGAAATATGGGAGCATCCTAAGCAATACCTCCAATTTAACATTATCAATAGGGTTGCACCCAGAACGCTCGGGGCGGGTATGTCGGGTACGGGGTTTTAAATTGTTTCGGGGCGGGGAAATTTTGAAAAAATCTTTCGGGAACGGGGGTGGGTGTGCAACTCTAATTATCATGTATGCCTTTTCAGTTTTAAAAGAAGTATGTAAAAACGAGGTATTTGAAGCCTAAACACACCTGAGAAGCAAGTCGATGTCTAAATTCAACACTACAAGTCTCTGAAGGAGTTGTAGTTCTCCTAATTGGCACTAAATGGGCTGAGGGTAATTGCATTTGTTCAAATTGTTCCATTAAATGTTTGTAACGTTCACAAAGGTCATTAGCAATTTTTGCTTGTTGTTCAGTTTGAAATTGGTGAAGTTGAAATTTTGAGACCTTTTTTTAAAAGAAAAAAGTTAAGAAATTTTAAAAGAAATTTTTTGAAATTCCAGAAAAATTTTTTTGAAAATTAAAAAAAAAATTTTTTTGAAGTTTTTAAAAAATTTTTAAAATTTTTTGAAAATTTTGAAGAAATTTTTTTGAAAATTTTTTGAGAAAAAAAAGTTTGAATTTTAAAAATTCAATAAAAATTTTTCTAAAAAAATTCCCATACCAATCGAAAATGTTCAAGACAATTATCCCTTAATTGAACAAGCATAGCTTGACATTTCTTATAATCCAAATCTAATGGTTGTTTTTGTAATTGGCCAACTTCTTTCTCCATCTATTAAAAAAGGAAATTAATTAATTTAGTCATGCTGTATTTTTTAAAAAATTTTAATAATGACAAAAGTGTAAAAAACAGAATTATCACATGTTTTTTTTGACCGACTTTCCTTTCTCGTCTTATTTCCCCTCTTTATTTCCGCCGTTTAATTTGTTAAAAAAATTTTTAGAATAAACAAATTACTGGAGATGAGACGGAGAAAGTCGTATACGACAATCAGAAAATACCCGACATTTTTATTTTAGAGCTAACCTCGGTCTAGAGGGTAAACGCGAGGTAATACAAACTGACATATGACATAGTATTTTAAATTTTTCAAATGTATAAAGGACTATCTAACCCCTTCAAAGAAATTAAAAAAAAATTTTTTTTTAGTTTAGCTATTAATTTTATCAAATTCTCAATCTGTCCACAAATCTTTTAAAAAGAAATTTTTTTCTACTTACTATATTTAGCCATTTTCCAAAAGCTTCCAAATTATTCAACCATTTACGTTCATTTAGAGATATTTGTTGCTCTTTTTCTTCCTCAATTTTAATATTTCCATTTATTATTTGTTGTTTTTTCTCTTGATCAAAAAACAACGATTTTTTCAATTCTTCTTCTTGTAAAATAATTTTTGTTGTTCTAGCAGTTATTAGTTGATCACACTTAAAAATTAACAGAAAATTTTTTCGTCTTTTAAAAGAAAATATATAAGGCTCAATAATGCTCAAAAATGGCGCTCTCTCAAATAATTACACCTTCCCTATAATTACTCCCTCCGGCGAGAGGTTGGAATAATAATTACCCTGGGTAATTATTTTAGCAAATACAGTATATCCTGTCAAGAATACTACTTATATCTAACAAATCCACTTATATCCCACCTCCTTAATAACTCCTTTACCCTCGAAAAAATTTTCGGTTCGTCTTCGGTTAACCGAAGGCTTCGGTTCGGGTTTTTCGGTTCAGGTTTGATTAACCAAAGAATTTGGTGAACCGACAACCCTAATCCCAGATCTTGATCAAAAAATGAAAATTTCCGGATATCCAGAGCTCCAGGCGTCAAAATTATTTTCAAAAAAATTTTCCTTACAAGCTCAACAATTTGTCTTCTAACAGGTTCCCCAGCATTTTTAATCCATTCATTTCCAGTTTCATCCATTTCCTCAGCCAAAACTTCCATTTTTCTAATAATTACTTCTTCTTTTTCTTTCAAATTTTCTTCTTCTTCTTCAATAATAAATAAATTTATAAATAAATTTTTTTCTTCTTCAAATTCACTCCATAATTGTATTAAATCAATTAAAATAAATTCACAACGAATAAATTGACCCAATTCTTCGTTTATTTGTTTTTCTATTTGTTTTGTTATTAATTCTTTTTGGGCTGAAAATTGAAATTAAATTTTAAATTTTAATTTGAAAAATAATTTAATTTTTGTTAAAGAAGAACGGAGAAAGGAAATGACGAAAAAATATAAAAGTTCTTTTTCAATTTTTATTTGGATCAAATTACAGACGAAAAAAAGACGTGAAAATAAAATTGAAATTGTCAACAAAAAAAAATTAAAAAGTGAAAACAGAAAAGATTTTTTTGTTCATTGTTTATCTCTAGAGTAAATCCCCGACCTAAATAGTCCATTCCCCAAACATTCTTCCCTCGTTCTCCAAAAAAAGTTTTCTCCCTGACGAATTTTAGGACCAAACCTATTCAGGGGCGAGAGCGCATTGCGTTATTTGCATTAAATTTTGGTCTTGCGTTACGTTTTTCGAGATTGTCACTTGCGTTCACCCCTGATACTACATATTTATAAGTGTTTGTTATTCCTTCTTGTTTTTACCCTCGAGAAGGCGCCAGTTTTTTAATTAAGTTAACCCACTTTCTTACATTCACGATTACCATTCTCTCCTTCAAAAAACCCTATTTTTTAAGAAAACTCACAAGAATTCAATAAACTTGTAGATTCCAAAATATTTTCATGATGAACTTCTCCAGAGGAAATACAATCGTCTCTTGATATTTTTAAAGCATTTAGAAGGTGTTCCATTTGATGGATAGGTTTACATTCAGAAGCCATTATCTTGAAAAAAATTTTTTGATGAAAGAATAGGAATTAAAAGATTTTCAAAAAAAATTTTAAAAACTGAAAAAAAATTTTTTTTTAATTGTTGGATTTTTTATTTTTTTTTTGAAAAATTTTTTCTGGCATTAAAAAAAAATTTTTTTTAATAACCTTGGGATTTTTAAGAAATAAGTCCGAATCAGTTTCTTTTTTTTCAAAAAATTAAAACTAAATATTTAAGTTCTGTAGACTTTCGGAATTTTTTTTTAATTTTTCTTAAAAAAATCCTAAAAAAAAATTTATAATTTTTTTAAAAATTTTTCCAACCAAAAAAAAAATAAAATTTTCAAAAATTTCGTAAAATAAAATTCATACATTCGCACAAAATTTACAAACAACTATTCACCTTATATTCCTCCAATGTTTCCTTAGTTTCTTCCAAACTCCCAGTTCTCATTCCCCAAACAGCCAAACTTGCTTTTAATTTACTTGAAGCTTTAATTATTCTTAAACGTGACTGAATAAATAAAATTTCTTTAAATATCCTTCTTTCCAATAAAGTTGAAAATTCAATTCTTTCTTTTAAATCTTCTAATGAATGTTCGGGTAAAAGTAAAAAATCCTCTGGGGAGGTTGTTAAAGAAGAAGTTTGTTGGTCTTTATGTTGTTCCAATTTTAATGCTAATTCTAATCTTTTATTTGGTAATTCTTTAAAATGTTCCTTTAAAAATAAAAATATTTTTTAATTAAATTAGAGATCGACCCCTAACCATCTAAGTTGAGTATTGTTGAGGTATGGGGTTAGAGTGAGAGATTAATTAATTAATTAATTAATTAATCCTATTTTTAACTATGAAGGTTCTCTATTTTTTAATGAAAAATCAAAAATACAAAATCTGAAAATTTTTTCAAAAAAATTAGCGGATTTTTTGTTTGGAATTTTCATTGAGAAAAAAATGCAATACTTTTTTTTTGGAGTATTTATAGAAACGACGTTTTCAAAAAATTTTTTTTTGAATTTTAAAATTTCTACTCTTTCATAAAAACACTTTTACAGACACTAGCTTTGAGAAAAAAATTTTTTTTTGATTTTTTTTTCCAAATTTTTTTAATTTAGCCTAACGAAAGTTAAGGGAAAATGCTTCAAAATACATTTAAAAAATTCGGTTTTTCTAGTAAAAAAATTTTTTTTCTAAACTACCTCAAATCGTCTAATTGTAAATTCCAAATTTTCAAGCACTTCTTCCAACCCTCTATCTTCAATTTGTAATAATTTGTCTTCTGTCAAAGGCAAACTGGAAGCTAATAACCTCTCCCCTTCCAACATCCATTGTTCTAACTCTTTCATTTCTTCTCCAAGTTTAGAAAGTAATGATTGGATTTTTGATTCCCACGAAGAAACGATTGACTGGAAAATTAGAAAAAAAAATTTTTTAAATTAAAAATTTTATCATTGGATACGAATTTTGATATGAATATATCGAGATTGGACTAATAAACTTCAAAAGAAAAAATAGACAATTATTTTTCTAATCCAAAAAAAATTTTTTTTCAAATAAACTTCTGATCTCTACATTATTAAAGATTGGGTTGTTTCCTATTTTTCATTTTTCTAATTTTTCCTTGACCAATTTCCTACATTTAGAACCGAATTTTGGTTTTAGGGAAGGAACCGTTAGGTCTTATTGTTAGAAATTTTTATTTCTTTCGCTAACGCAAAAACGTTTAAAGACTTCTCTCAAGTTTAGAAAGTAAAGAGTTCAAGACTTCCCTAGTCTCGACAATGAGGAATTTTAAATTTTTTAAAATTCAAAACACCTCTATATTGTCCAATTGCCCTTTAAAAATATCCAAATCCTCTTTTTCAACAACTTCTTTTAATGCAGGAAAAACATTTTCGGTTAACACTCTACGCCTTTCAAGCCATTCTTCTTTTTTAATTAAACGACGAAATAACTAAAAAGGTGAATTTAAAAAAAATTTTTAATTAAAAATTAAAAAAATTCCCAAGTGTAGAAATTAGTTATCCCCCTCTCCCCTCAAAGACTCGTATTTTGCCCAAAAAATGAGAATAGAGATGTGGTTTTTTTTTTTGGAAAATCCTAGAGTATTCGGATGTGGAAGCAATTGAAAAAATTTCCGCAGCCGCAGTCAGCAAGTCAAAAAAAAACACGCAATTCCACACAATTCGCAATTGCGTCCAGCCCTGATTCGAATGCGAATCGAAGACCCGAACCGACACAACTTCAATTAACAACACAAAAAACAATGTCTCGAGTCTCGAAAATTTTTGATTGTTGCTATCTTTTTTAATTTTGGGTTTTGTCCCTTAGAAAATTTTTTGGTTCCAAACATTCTATAGGTTACTGAGGCGAAACAAGTTCTCTTCCTTAATGTTATTAAAAAATATTCTTTTTAAAAAAACACCTTAAATTGTCCAACTGTTGGCCTTTGCCTTTCACTCAATTTTAAATGCCCTCCTTCTTCAACTGTTCTCCTCAACCATTCAAATAAATTTTTATAACATTTTAAAATTTGTTGTTTATTTTCATTTTTTGTTGTTAATTTTTGAATATTTTTAACAGTCAAATTTTCTTCCAATTTTACATTTTTGTTAAATTGTGGTGGTCGGTAAAGACACAAAAATTGAGAAATGTATGTTATTACAGAACGACGACAAGGAAGACGACCTGGTGCACAAAGCTCTGTTGGATCCAAAAATGGACTGAAATAAAAAAATTTTTTGAGAATTTTTAGAAGTCAATTTAGCCTAGAAATAAAGTCAACGAATGACAACTGTGAAAAATTTCTGGAAAAATTAAAAAAAAATTTTTCCAGAAATTTTTTTGAAAATTAAAAAAAATCTGAGCATTTTCCTCTTTGAGTCAGCGTTTTTACAGTTCAGGATTGGCTCCCAGAACACGCCTGTGAACCTTAACCTCGGAACCTCCAAAAGTTTGGAGAGCTGTTGGAAACCGGAAACCTTCGATTTTTTGAATAGAAATTTTTGACCGTTTTCTTTAATAAGTCGAAAGAAACCCTTAAAAAAATTTTCGCAAAATTTCTTTGAAAAACTGAAAATTCAGAGAATTTTGCGTAAATTTTCAAAATCAAAAAAATTTTTATGTCAATTTTTCATTTACCTAATCCCCAAATGAAGCCTTGCCAATTGTATAGCCTTTTGAGCACGTTGTCGTGCTTCTTCAGGCTCATCACCCCCTTCCAAAATTTCTTCTCGATTAACTAGAGCTGGGACAAATCTGTGTAAAAGAGCAAGTAATAATCTTCCATCCTTCCAACTTAAATCTAAATCAACAATTGCTCCAGAAGGAAGTCCTAATTGCCTTTAAAAATTGAAATTTTGTAGGTTAAAAATTGAGGGAAACTGAGAATTTTTAAAGGAAAATTTGAAGAGAATTTGTAAGAATTATGGAAACATTATTAAAGAAACAGCGGAAACTAGAGATCAGAATTTTTGAAAAGCCAAGCCTGTTCCTGGGTTCCGGGTTTGATTCATTGACCTGGGCTGGGCCGGATCCTGGGCCTATAGTCCAAGAAAAACCCAAGCCCAGGAAAAACCCAAGGTCAAAAATGCCTGGGTCTGGACTCTGGGTACAGGAAAAACCCAAGCCTTGGTCCAGACCCAGTCCGATCTCTAGTGGAAACACTCGAAAATTAAAGAATTCTAAAAGCAGAAAATTTCAAAAAAAATTTTGAGGAAAATTTTCATAAAATTTTTTAGAAGCTTTTTGAATTTTAAAAATCCGAAAAAAAATTATTAAGTCGCCAATTTTCTTTCTGAAAAAATTTTTCTATTCCAAACTCTACCTAGGTCTAATAGCCTCTCTATTCAACCAATCCAACAATGATTGTTCTACACTTTTCTTTGGGGGTAATTTAGAGGTAGAAGGGTGTTGATGATTATAATCTGTTGTTGTAATGCCGGTTGATGTTCCTTCACCTCCATTAGGTTGTTGATTACTATGAATTTGATGCCAAGCAGAACGCCTAACCATAGAAAGGCCTGTCTCTACCTTAAAAAATAAATTTTTTTCTAATTTTAAAAAATAATTTTAAAAAAATTAAAAATATTCGTTTCCTATGCCTAAAAAATTTTTCCCGCCTTACAAAAAAATTTTCCCAGTCTAAATATTTTTTTCTCCCTTCCTATGTTAAAAAATATTTTAATTTTTAAAAAATTTTTTCAAAAAAAATTTTTTTTCGCCTTAAAAAAATTATTTCCGTCCAAAAAGAATTTTTAAAATAAATGATCAAAAGATCCCACACATTTTTACCGAGAAATTTTTTTTTCAATTTATTTTAACAAAAAAATACACGCATTAACAAAAATAAATCAGACAATTAGTGATCAAAAAAAGGAAAAATAAAATTTAACAAAAAAACTAGATTTATTTTCTTAACCTTGGGCTTTTAATTAACCAAAAAATTAACAAAAAAATTTTTTTTAATTTATTTTTAACACTTGCTAACCTTCTTTTTAGATAATTTTCCTTTGCCCATTTTTATTTATTTATTTGCAAGTCAGAATAAATTAAAAGAATGAATAAATATTAATTAAATCAATATAAAAATGCGCAAAAGATTAAATAAAATGATTAAAAAGAGAATTTATAAGCTAGGTTAGTCTAAGAACAAGTTTAAAAAATTTTTTTTCTAATAAGCATAAAGGTTTTCCATAAAAAAATTTTTTTCCTAAAGAAAGCTGCGTAATAAAAAAAAGTTGCGCCCTAGGAGTGAGCGCAAAAGGAAATCGTGAAAAATGCAAAATGCAACGCAAGGCCAAAAATCAACGCAAAAACGCAAAAAAATAGAAAAAACCGCAATGCGCTCACCCCTATTACGCAAACATTTATTTATTTTTCTGTTAATTTTTTTTTTTGGAAAAAAGACAAAAAAATGTAAAAAAAATATTGTTAACATTTAGTAAAAAAATTACAAAAAAATATTACAATTTTTTTTCTTATTTTTACCCAATTTTTTTGTGTAATATTAAGCAGCTTTTTATTATTATCGAAAAAAAAGATACTTTTTATCGGCTCCCGGACAATCCGTCAGTGGACAATCCGGCAGTGGAAAATCCGTCAGTGGACAATGCGTCAGTGGTCGGACAATCGGTCAGTGGACAATCCGTCAGTGAACAAATTCATAATTCCCACCCGAATCCAAAAAACCGCGGCCAAAAATTTTCATTTTTTTCATGTGAGAGGTTATAAGAGATAACGAAAATATGGAGATTAATGAGGAAATCGGCAGATTTAGCTGGATTAAAAGCATATCTGTGGATTTGGGAGTCATCGGGGACTTCAAAGATATTGTGGGATCAATGGGAATATAAAAGATTTGTAGTATTGTGGTGGTTATCTAGGAATTTGGGAGATTAAGATGGATCTCGTAGATAAAGGAGGATATCAAGGGATATAGGCGGGTTAAGATGATTTGGAGGTTTTTCCATGATATCCATCTAAAAACAAACTCTCTTATTTATCGAGTTCCATAATTACACGATATTTACCCAAATCCTACAATAATGCCACACGTTAATCACGTAAATCTAATCCATCCAAATCCCCGATATCCTTCTAAAGCCATCGACATTGGCGTAATTCAACACATTGCCCACTGAATTGCTTTTAATCCAGCTAAATCTGCCGATTTCCTACTTAATCTCCATATTTTCGATATCTCTTATAATCCCCTACATTATAAAATGAAAATTTTTGGCCGAGATAGTTTGGGTAAGGGTAAAAATTACAAATTTGTTCACTGTCGGATTGTCCACTGACCGATTGTCCGACCACTGACGCATTGTCCACTGACGGATTTTCCACTGCCGGATTGTCCGGTCACGTTTTTATCAAATAATTATTTTTGAAAAACAAAGCAAAAAAAGGGTAGACTAAAAAAATAAAAAAGAGAGAAAAAAAGAATATGCGTGTATTTAATTGATTTTTATTTTTAATTTAATTTTGTGTGTATGTACTTTTTCGGGACTCAAAATTTCAAAAAAATTTCCCTAATTTTAGTAAAAATTTCAAAAATTCTCAAAAAATTAAAAAATTTTTTCAAAAAAAAATTTAAAAAATTTTCGAAAATACATATTTTGATTTTTGAAATTTTTACTCAAATTAGGGAAATTTCAAAAAAATTTCATAACAAATTTTTTTAACTAGTTCAAAAAATTTCTAAAAATTTTCTAAATTTTTTTTTAAATTTTCTAAATTTTTCTAAATTTTCTAGAAAAATTTCTAAAATTTAAAAAAAAATTTTTTTAATTCAAAAAAATATTCCTCACTTGAAAATGTAAAATTAATTGCCAAATCAGCCCCAACCAAATTCTCGGATTTCCATCAGCCAAATCAACAACGTTATTATTTATTAATTTAATTCCTTTTGCTCTCAAACATTTTAATGCTGTATTTAAATTGTTTAATTTGTAAGCTCTTTTGAGTGTTTTTATTGTTTTGAGATTGCTAGATGAACTAAAAATTGATAAAAAAAATTTCAAATTTTTTAGAAAATTAATTTGGAAGCAAAATAAATTAATTTTGAGTTAGCCTTACTCAAAGATTAATTCCCGGAAAAAAATTTCAAAAATTAAAAATAATTCCCGGACAGATTAAAATCTGAAGAATTATTTTTAACGGTTATAAACTCTGATGGGTAATTTTAAAAAAATTCAGAAATAAAAAAATTTTTTCCCAAAAATTAAAAAAAATTCAATTTTAATCTGACCGGGAATTAATTAAACATTAAATTTGCGTACGAACGCTTTTCAAAAAAATTAATTAAATTAATAAAATTGGGTTTTGAAACCTATAGGGGAATTAGGGGGATTTATTGAATAATGCTTAATAGGCTCTCTATTTTATAAATCAACAAAAAATTTATATTTTCGACAGGCTAAATGATCCGTCCAATAAGGTCTGTCCACAAAAAATTCCTATCTTAATCAGAATCATTTAATTAATTTAAAAATCATTTCCCATCTGTTCCCCCTCTCTTTAAAAATTAAAAAAAAATTTTCCCCCACCTTTTATTAACAACAACATTATTACTACTCTCCTCATTCCCACCACTTGAAGTAGTAACAGGTAAAACATCCCCAGTCAAAACTTCCAATAAATGACACAAAAGAATTCCGTCTTTCATATCTTCAATTAAATTTTGTGTTTGACTGGAGGAGGAATGCTACAACAAAAAAATTTTTTAAAAAATTTTAAAAAAATTTTCCGAACCGCTTCCAAATGGTGATTAACCCAACGGGTAAAAGTATTCCTCTGCATTCGTTGTTCAGCTTCTAAATAAGAGAATCGTTTAAGTCTGGAAGCTTCAATCATTTTTTAATTAAAAATCTGTGGATTTTTGAGTTAAAAATTTTGAGAGAGAAAAAAATTTTGGAGCTGAAGAAAATTAAAGAAAAAAGGAGGGGAGAGGGGTGGAGTAGGCCGAGAGGAGGGTAAATCTAGTTATACCCCAATTTAGTTTAACTCGACCCTTTATTAGTATTATAAAACCATCCCAGAAACCATTCCAGAAGCATCCAAGAACCCTCCTAGAAAAAGTATGGCATTGAGAATTGAAAGGGGATATAAAACATCGGATGGGACATGATCCTTTGAGAACTTCTCCACACATAATCCTCTGTGTGGAGAAGTTGTGTTAACGATAGAAAAATGAACGATAGAAAAATAAAATGTTTCCTAACTTTAATTAAAGCTTTAAGCTCTATTTTAAAAATTAATTTTTAAATTTAATTTAAGATAATAAATATATATTTGCAATAAAAAAAGTAAAATGACTGGTAAATATGTATGTATTTTTCTACAATCTTCTTAAAAAGAAAAATTTTAAAAAAATCATTGTCAAATGAGAGGAGATCTTTTTGAGAGAGCTTGGGGGGTTTTCGCAGCTGTGGTCACACGAAGGAAGTAAAAAAAGTGAAGAAGAAAAAGTGAGGAAAGAGAGGAAAGAATGGCATTGAGAATTAAGGGGATATAAAAACAACAAAAAAAACGAAAATGTTTTCATTTTTGCAATAAAAATAAAAAAGGAAAGGAAGATCAGTTTTCGTTTAAAAAAAAGATAAAAAAAAAGGAGAAAAAAATCGGTCAATATTCATTAACACATTTTTATAGAGGAAAGAATAAATATTATTTAATAGAAAGAAGAAAACTTCTAAAAGGGGGGAAAACCTTCCCGAAGGGACTGACCTCCCTTAAAAAAAGAGAAATGATTTTCCTTTGAAAAAAATACAAAATTTATTTATTTTGAAAAGCGGGAAAGCTTTTCAAAATGATAAGGGGGGGCTTCAAATGGAGGAGGGGGTGCTTCATTTATTAATTATTAACTGAGGAGGAGGGGTGCTTCAATTATTAATGTGGGAGGCTTCAAAGGTTTATAGGAAAGGTTTCCTGGAAATCCATAGAGAACGATTTAAAGAAAATTTGGAATAAAAATTAGAACAAATGAATTTAAAAATTTGACACAAAAACCACAGGGAGTTCCTATTAACTTCAAAAATTATCAAAAAAATTTTATAAAAATCCTCTCTTAAATAAATTATCGAAAAAGGATGGTCAGTCATTTAATGTACAAAAATAAAATTAAAATTTTTATCTGAAAACAAATAAACAAAAATTAGAGATAATTTTTAAATTCGCTAAAGAATTGCTGACGCAAAATATTTTTTGCTTAAAAGTGGGTATTTTTATTTTTCCTTTTTTAACCCGCCAAAAATGGTGTGGCCATTTTTAATGTGTTTTTAACATTAAAAGCAAATAAAATAAACAGATCATTTGAATTTTTGTTTAATTTTTGATTTTTAAATTTATGTCCAAAAGGGAGAGGAAATTGGCGTTAATTAAAAAGTAATTATTTAGAACTTGAATCAGTTAAAGTGGAAGGAAATATTTTAAAAAACTTTAGGGAATTAGAAAATGTCTGAAATCGGGATTTAGGCCAATTTCTGATTAGCACCCCTTCGAGAAAACGAACGAATCAGAAACCTTCGACCAACCTTTGTAACTGGAAACATTTAAACAGGCTTGGGAATGGATACAAATAAGTTCAAAATGCCTGCGGATATCCGTCTGTATCCGCCGTAAATATCTGTATACGAATACCAAAATCCGTATCCATTACCAAGTCTGCTTTGAAATCCCCCACTAATACTCTTTACAAAAACCTAAAGAATCGCTAAACAACAAAACATAAAAATAGAAATCTATGAGAACGAGGAATTATGGAGAAGAAAATATTCAAAAAATAATAAAAATGAATATTCCGGCAGGACATAAAAATAGGATGAAAAAGAACAGATTAGATACGGTCAGGAAGCTGTCATCAAAAATCGGAAAAATAATGAAAAATTGGGTACCTTTTTATATATCCCTCGCATTATTCAAGTTCAAAATTAATTTTTTACTCATTGTCAATCAACAGGGAGATGTTTTTTTCTTGTTAAATGAAAAAAAAAGAACGGATTAAGGTTGAGAAACGAGTAGGGGAGAGAGGGGGTGATATATAAAAAAAGGGGTACAGCCCAAGTAACGCGCGGTCATAACAGCGCAAAGCCATAACTTGCTTCAAGATTCCCGAATCTTACCAAATTTAGTATTAAACAATTCCTCTCATCGAGCTAAAGAGATTGGCACCAAAATTGTTAAAGGCCAGAAATTTTCCAGCAAGTTATGGCTTTGCGCCGCTGCGCACCTACTTGGGCTGTCCCATAAAAAACCCCAAAAATCGAATCAAGCCAGGCTCTTCCCTCAAAAAAAATTCCCTCAAAAAATCCCCTCAAATTTTTTAACTTTTTCAAAACCCACCCCCACATTCCTCATCGCTGCTCTTTCCAGTTTGAATCATTTTCGAATAACAATGACAACAACAACAACGCCGAATAAATCGTTGTTTTAATCCTTGTAGTCGTTGTTTTAATTTACTTTTTGGTTTTTTGTTTTCTGTTGTTTCTTCTAGTGAAGAGTTTTCTTCTTGTAAGCTCTGCTAAAATTAAAGAAAAATTTTAATGTCATTTTGTGTTATATTGAACTGAGTCGTATGTAGAGCTGTCCGAAACCTAAAGACCCTCCAAGGGAAGGTAACACACTTTTGCCTATTTTGGGGGCACCTATCCATATTTTCGACCTATTTCACCTCATTTTTGGGTCTCTTTTGAGAAGCCATGCTTCTTTTTGATGATTTGGAAAGTGCCACCCTCCTCCAAGTCGTAAAAATCCCATGAAGGGCTTTGGGACAAGAGATTCTATAACAGAGTTCTAGACAGCTCTACTGAAATTTATCCCCGCAGCAGTAAAAAATTATACTTTTATTTTAACAAAAATTATATTTTCTACACAAAACTGTCCAAAAAATACCCAAAAAATAATAAAAAAGAAAACCCTCTTCTTCAGCTTTACAAATACACCAAAACACTTGTGTGTTTAAAAAGCTGCTTTTTTCCCTATTTTTCTCTGTCAGTCGGCGAGAGACTTTTTGTTTTAGAAAAGAACGGGGAAGAATTAGAAACATTTGTGAGAGGATAAAATTAATTAAAAGACAGTTTTTGTAGCAAATTTGAAAGGGAAGACTTGAAAAATTTTTAAAAAAATTTAAAAAGCCCTGCCCACCTTTGAATTATTTTCCTTCTTTGATTTATTCCTTGAAGTAGGGTTCTTTTTTTGCATTCAACTCTCTATTTAAAAAATAAGGCAAAATGACGGAATGTTGAAATAAAAATTTTTTAAACTCGCTGAAAATAAGTTAAATTTGAACAGTCAGACGGAAGGTGACTTGAAACCAAAAGGAAGTCTTGAAAAACCCTAGAGAAGACTAGACAGATAGGAAAGCGAACGGAAAAGCCTAGAGAAACATAAAAGATGATAAATTTCCAACAGTTAAACGGAAGGTTAAAGGTCTAAAGAAGCCGTGAGAACGCCTAAAGAAGTCCTAGACGGAACAAGAAAGTGAACGGAAAGCTTAGAGAAAAATAAAAGATAAAAAATAAAAGACGAAAAAGAAAACAACTTTAAAACTTAAAAAGCAAAGAATAAAAGCTGTTGAACTTGAAAAATTTCAAAAGACACGTCAAACTTATTTGCCAAGTTTGTTTACATTAAAAGTGAAAAAATAAAAAAAAATAGCGTAGGTAGAGATTTAAAGAAAAAATAAACAGCATCGATTTGGGTCATACACAAACTTTCCGGTTTTATTTTTTCCGGAAAATCCAGATGTGTAATAGTTTTTATAAAGAAGAGAGAAAAGAAAAAAAAAGAAACAGAATAAAAAGAAAAGATGAGTACAAGTGTTTGTTTGTTGTTCTCTGTCTGCTTTTTTAACTGCCAGCTGTGACAGAGTTAACAAATAAAAATGCAATAAAAAGTATGAGAAAAAGAAAAAATTATTTTTCTCTATTTTTGTATATTAATTTGCGCGGAAAAAATTAAATTGCCTTTTTCTGAGTTATTAAAAATGCGCGGGGGTTTTCTGTGTGGTCAAGTAAAAAAAAACGTGGAACTTAAAAAAAATTTTTTTTAATTTGTTTTTCTTTTTACAAAAAAATTAATTTATTTTTTCCCTCGATTTAATTTAAATCAATTTATTAATCAATTTAAAATTCAATCATGTGGAGATTCAAAAAAAAATTTTTTTTGAAAAAAAATTTTTTTTTAATTAAAAAAATATATGGAGGAATATACAAGACCGTAAAAACAAATAAAATTTCAAAAAAAAATTTGAATTTTCCCGAAACGTTAACTAATGCATTACAGCAGGGATGTATCGGATTACCAGTATATCAGAAACCCCATCCAAAGAAAAAAAATTATTTAAGATCCACCCCGAATTTATTCTCAACCAGACTCATTCTACAAGTGTCCAAGATGCTTAAACCTAAAAAATTTTTTCTAGGGGGTCCAAAAATTTTAAAAATTTCTCCAAAAATACAAATAAGTCCCTATCTTTTGGCTCTACGCGTCTTTGAAATTTTGAAAAATTATTTTATTTTTCGCTTTTTAAATTAATGTTTTTTGGCCATTCTTTTGATGACTGATTAATTTTTTAAAATTATTTTCCTTATAATTTTACAACAAAAAAAATCAAAAAATAATTTTTCAAAATAATTTTTTAAAAGAAAAAATAAATAAGAAAAAGGGACGGAAATACTTTAGTATTATTTTTTAAAAGAGGATTATTTACATTTGTAATAATTGAAAAAAATGAATGGAATTGAGGGGAGGGAAGGGGAGTTGTTTTGGTATTTTTACGAGAAAAAAAAATTTTTTTTTGTATTGTTATACCATCACTTTTTGCAATTTAAGCACTTAAATATTCAAATACTCTCTTAAAAAGAGAGGGGGAAGGGAGAGGGAAGAGGGGGGTTTAAAGTAATGAGATTATCATTTTAGCGCTGCTTTGCATTTTTTTGTCAATTAATTTAATGGGGTTGTTTTTGCTACTGTTAAATAATTGATAATTTTGTGATAAAAGTACAGATATTGATAAAAAAGGAAAAAGAAGTGTTAAAATTAACACACTGATATCGAAAGAGAAAAACAAGTATTTTCAATGGATTTCTCGTTGGATTTGTGCTGCTGTTATAATTAAGAAGAGATCCGGCTGGGAAATTCTGAATGAGAATCAGACTGATTTTCGATAACCTAGACTTTTGTTCGATATCTTCGTATCGGTCCGGTTTCTAATCTCTTTCTAACACGTCGCTTTCTTTTATACGTCGGTAAAATCTGTCCGAGGGGCAACGTGTTGGAGAGATTCAAACGTAACGTAAATACTCAAAAATAATTTTTTGCAATATAAAAAGTCGAAAACCAACATTTTTGAAATTAAAAACAAAATTGAGAATCTTTAGTAAATATTTATATGTACACATAATTAATTACTAGACACCCCCCTTTTGTCGGTATTTAAATTCCTTTAAGATTTTTAATTAATAGTAGGGAGTTTTAGTTAATTAAGGGATGGAAATCGTAAAATAGCGATTAAAACAGAATAACGTCCAACAGAAAAATTAGAATAAATAGAAGGGTTTCCTATATTCTCCTACTAAATCAGCTTTAATTTGAATTGATTTAAGAGAATAAATTAACTGTAGAAGGGAGGGGGTGTTTGTTTTAAGGGAGGGAATTGATGCGCCACAAAACTTTTTACGGTTGGCCAGTTATCGGGGAAATGAGAAATAAAGAAAAACAAAAAAAATTAATTAGAAAACAAATATGAAGGGAAGATTCTTGAGAAGAATGTCAAGGAAGAAAAATCGGAAAATTATAAAGAGCCTTTGGGTTTTATTAAAAAAAGGTCGCCGCGGCATGAAATTGATAGAAAGTGACAAATTGTTTTTATGAATTATGCATTTATTTAATAATTTATTGAGCTAATTAGGTAGATAAATAATTTAGTTAGTTTATTGTTGTTGGGAAGGGAAAAATTTTTGTTTTGGATAACTTCGAGTACTAACAAACAGAGGTGGGTCAGAATTCCGAGTTCCGACTTTTGAGCTAGTTCCGATTTCCGGCTCTTCCGATTTCCGACACCTCTGACTGTTCTGACCCACTTCTGCTAACAAATAGGAACGACGTCTTTAACAGCCACCTTCTTTGAAATTGTACGAGAAAGAGCCGTGGGATTTTATAGAGTGAACCTTCACCAATTGACCATATAAGGAGGAGCTATCCAAGATTCTTGGTATTGAGACCCGACTCAAGACTTTTTGGGGGTTTTTCAGTTCCGACACCTCTGACTGTTCCGACCCACCTTTGCTGCCAAATAGGGACAAAGTCAAATCTTGGTCTAGAGTCTTGGAAAATTTCAGGTCTTGGACAGCTCTAAAGGAATTTGTAAACAAAGAGGACATGAGCAGGAACTTCAAAGGAAATTTAAAATTTGAAAGAATCTCCATCTATTTGTTTTTTAGGTGTTCAACGGCTCTCGAAGAAGTACTCGAAAAAAGAAGAACGTTAAATTTTTCTTTTAAAATAAGGAGTGCTAAGAGAAGGTTTATTGCCAAATCTGAAAGCAATGAATGCTTTTAAAGGGCAAAAGCAAGAAAAGGTGCTTATATGTAAAGCTTATTTGGGCATAAATGTTCCATCGATTGTTTGTTTTCTCGCCATGCTTTTCCTTTTAAGGAAAGAGAGACAGCTGGCCAAAAGACGAAGTACATGGATACGAGGCGGGGTGAAGGGGGGAGGGGATGTGGTGGATACGAGGCGGGTGGTTGTGAAGGGGTGGTGATTCCACTTTATTTATGTGGCACTTGTTTCATTCTTGACCTTTCTCTCTTATTTTCTAAAGTGAGGTTTAGGAGTCGGTTACATAGCTACCAGCCGTAAATAGGCTCTATTCACAACTAAAATGACTTGAAAATTATTTTTAATATTTGTCGAGTACATATACATATTTCAAAAATGCCGTTTTATAAAAATTCCTTGTATTTTCTTTAAAAAATTAAATTTAAAAATTGGTTTTTAAGACAAAAATTATCAAAAAAATTTTACAAATTAAATAAAAATTAAATTAAAAAGCTTCTGCGTCCAACGGGAATCGAACCCGTGCCTACTGCTTGGAAGGCAGCAATGCTAACCACTACACCATGGACGCTCTTGCATGACTGATTAAATAATAAACTTTATTGCGCTGATTAATGGAAAAACGAGTTTTTGGTGTGAGCAAAATACTTTTTGGATTTACGCTTATTTTGGAGAGATATAGGAGGATATTGGAAAATTTGAAGGGATTAAGAGAAAATTTCAGAAATATGGGGGAATTGAGGGGGGCGGGATTTGGAGACCAAAGTGTTTTAAAGGAGTATTGGAAGACAGCCAGTACGGAGTACTGCTACATTCGTTCAGTTCGGTCCCGAACGATAACGTTATAGCAAGATGCCAACGTACCAACAAAAATTGAAGGAGGTTACGCGTAAACCCCCCAACCCAAAAATTCTACGGAGGCTATATAAATGATTGAAGAATCTTTTTGGTTGTAAATTTATTTTCATAAATAAAATAATTAATTAAATTTTGTATATTATGTAAAATGGAAATTTTTTCAAAAAAAAATTTTGCAAATTTATTTTTATTCTTTATTTTTTCTGTAAAAATACTCTTTTTAAGTTCGTGTAGACAGTTGTGGGCCGAGATATCAAATCAAATGACATATAAATCAAAGGGCTTCCGACCCGGCCACCGGCTAAAGTATATCAGAAAATTTATTATACCTCGAAAATTATTTTAAATTTTAAGTTAACCACTGGAGAGATTAGAGCTGTTTCGAAATTTTGATTGACGATTTTCGAAGTTATTTTTCTTTAACTTTTGTTGATTTTTTTGTTTCGAAAAAGCTCTGGAGATGCTTGAAAGATAAAATCTCTCCTCACCAACTCAATAACCAACATCTAATCCTAATTTTAAATTATAATGGAAGCTTTCCACTCACTTCAATTTCTCTTTCCCACCTTCGTTCAATACGACCCCGAAGGGGTACGGTAAACGGAAATCCTACCGTACCGACAACTTAAGGGGGTCACGCGTTAACCCCCCAGCCCAAAAATTAATAAGAAAATTACTTATCTAAATTAATGTCCTCATTGTAATTCTATTTATATAAATAAAATAATAAATTAATTTTTGTATATTGAGTAAAATTAAAAATTTTTCTAAAAATAATTTTTTATAATTTTTTTCTTTATAAAGTATTCAGAAAGAAATCACTTTAATTCTTATTTAAACAAGTGGAAAACGTTACTGGACGAAATTAAATATTTCAAATAAGAGTTAAAAAAAAGCCTTTGTTTAAATTTTTGTACAAAAATAACTTTAAATTTCCTAATTTAAAAAAATTTTTCTTTTAATTTTTAAAGTTTGGAATTTATTAAAATTCCTAAGTAAAAGGGAAATGAATTTTTTTAACTAAATTAAATTTAAAAATAAATCTTAAAATCCATTGACAACGGGGAATGTTATTTCTGGAACGAGGCAAGTTGATGTGGTAATGGGGGTTATGTTGCTGTGTTCTTTAACTTCTTAGGTCAAGGCGAAATGTGAGAATTTTGGAAGGCCAAGGAGCCAGAAATCTTTATTTTTCAGCACTCCTTTTTCTTAAAATAAAATAGAACATTGGAATTTTCACCGGTCGGTATTAACGGTATATGTTTTTCCGTACCGTATACAGTGCCATAATGCCGAAAAATGCCGAGGAACTTCAAAATCTTTTCGTTGGCTACCGAAATAACGATAAACAAAAAAACAGTCTCATTACTAATTGAATTACAGGGAAAGCTTTATGCTTCCAAATCACCTCCTATCTTACATTCATTCACTTCCGACTCAAAGAATGTCGTTATAACGAGATACAATGGACAAAACAAAAATTTAAGGGGGCCACGCGTGAACCCCCCAGCCCAAAAATTAGGTAGCAAATATAAATAAAAGAAGATTGAATTGGTCGTCCCTACAACTCTTTATATTTAAATAAAATAATAATTTAATTTTTGTATATTAAGCAAAATTAAAATTTTTTTTAATTTTTACTTCTTTAAAAGTACTCTTTAAAATTATACAAATATTATTTTAAAAAAATTTTACGTCACTTAATAAGTAAAATGAATTAATTATGGATAAATACCTCAAGAGAAGATAACCCCCCCCCCCTCCTCCCCCCAAGAGGTCAACACTTTTAATAAATTTTGCTATACCAAATTTTTTTGTTTTTTAAACATGAAAGGAAATCACAATGGGGAGAAACAAAACCTAAGATCGAAATTAGAAGATATGTATTTAAAAATAATTTTGATCAAGCTAACAGAAAAATCTTAGCAAAAAATCAATTCAAAATTGCGCAAAATTTAAAGAAATGGTAAAAAAATTTTTTTGTAAACTACGAAACACCAAATGTCAAAACGTCAACTAGAAGAAAATATACCATTTTGCACTATTGACAACTTTTAATTTTTTTATTTCTCTTAAAGCGTTAATTTCAAATTTCAATTTTATTATCAGCCATGTCACAACAAAAACTACAAGCTTTTGAAGATTTTATAAAAATTTGTAAAAATGATGACAATTTACACAAACATTTTTTGCAATTTATGATGCAACGTAGATGTATTGAGGTAGAAATTGTTATTATTTTATCTTATTTTTCTCTCAGGTACCCCGAATCGGCGAAACTTTTTTGGAATTTTGCAATAATGATGACGCTACCGAAGAAAAAACAAGAAGTATTTTTAATTTTTTTTGTAAAAGTCTCAGGTTTTATACGCGCTAACATGGAAATCGGCTGTAGCACCGAGATGTAGCACCTATATCTCGGTCCACGGGCATTTCCGCACCTAGAGAGTGGCATAGTTCGACTCAGCTCGCTGAGACGAATCGATTGACATATCATTTATCACATTTCGGTGGAGGCCCTCGACTAACTTATATCCAGAAAATCTGAAAATTTCAATGTTTGCAGACAAAACTTGCGGACTTTCTGCACTTACAAGAGAATAATTTTCCTTTTACAGATTTGGACAAATTGGACCCCGACCAAAACAGACAGGCAATGAAAGCCCTTCGAAAGGCCATAGATCCAATGCTTCATCGCGTAGGAATGTACATTGTCCATATTGCTGACGAATATTCTCGAAATATGGAATATTGGGTTTTGGCCTCTGATTTAAACTTTGCTCCAAGTCTTTTACAAGCCGGTTCCCTCCAAAAAGACGAACTTTCAATGTTCCATTTTTGGTTAAAATTAATGTTTCTTGAATACAAAAATGAAGAAGAAGATGAGGAAGACTCTGCTGTTGAAGATATTTCTAATTGTGAAGAACCGCTGAAAGGAACGGGCGGAGAATTGAGTCAAAACAAGGTCTTTCTATTTGCAAAAAAGAAAGGCTGGACTGCTGTTAGAACTCAAAAACTGATAGATAAACTGTGGAAACAACAACGATGGATTAGAGTAATGAAAGGAGATGTACATAATCTAAGGTATTTATTTTTGTTAGACTTGCGGACCCTCAAAGATTTTTTGCGGACCCCCAAAAATTTTTGCGGACGACATTTGCGGACAAAATTTTTTCCTCCTAATTTAAAGTAAAAAAAAAATTAAAAATAATTCACAATTAATTTCTAGTCGAAACAAGCGGAAATCTAACAAAGTTGGAGATGATCAATCAATTATTCGACTCCATCCATGTGCAATGGTAGAGATGGAACCACTACTTTTCCAGCTTAACGTCCCAAAATGTGTTTTATGCAAACGGCCTATTGTTGTCAGTAGATTGTCTTATACTTGTGAAGGTTGTGGGTCTTGTTATCATGCGAATTGTATGCTGCGGTATTTTTTAAGAAATTTTATTGGGTTTAGGGAAGATGAAATGAGCGGTTGACTTATCTTTTTATTTTGGCTCTTCCACCTTTTTCGGCTCTTTCAAAAAATTATCAAAGGGAATACAGGCAGGAGCTTTCATAGACTCACAAAAAACACTGGGAAGCATTAAAAATAGAAAATCTATCTTTTTTTTATGGGGGTTAGGGGTAAGATGGGGGTTAGGGTCAAGGGGAATACAGGCAGGAACTTTCATAGACTCACAAAGAACACAGGAGAGCATTGAAATAGAAAATCTACTTTTTGCGAAAAATACTTTCGGCTGACTTTAAAAAATTTTTTTCTTAAATTTCCACATTTTCAGAGAAATGGAATTCCCAGCCAAATGTTCCGGACAAAACTGCGGACAAGAACTCGATGAAGAAATTATTGACGAATTCGAATTTGATGTAGACCATGAATATATACCTCCTAGGCGAAGTCAAACTGGAATGAGTACAAGTCGACGTAGTGTCACAGACAGTCATCGTCAACCTTTTCCTTCTTTGAGAGATTAATTTAAACAATATTTTTTGAGAATTTCTTTGAAATCTCTAAGTATTTTTTAATGTCCTTTCCTTCTGCCATTAAATTTTTGAAATTAAATTTGTTTTTATTTAATAGGCTTAAGAGAAAAACATCAAAAAAGTCCACTAAAAGGAATTCATTTGAAATTATTTTTTAAAATAGAAAATTCTTCGAGAATAACTTAAATATCCCTATCATCAAAATTATTTGTCGAAATTAGCCCGGTGGCCATCCCAATTGGCGTCCACCCAAAACGTGAAGATGAAGGTGAAATACGCTCTACAAAATTATAGAGAAATGTCATAAGGACTAAAATAAAAAATTTACTTGACATCCATTGCGTCCATTATTAACAACAATTCGATAACCATCAGCGAGACCTTGTTCTTTAGCAACATTTTTAGCTGTCAACATGAGCTTGCCAAGCAATGCTTCATGCTATAAAGAATGAAAATAAAAAATTTTAGGATTTAAAATTAGTGGAAGGAATGAAGTCTTCCCTACGAGATGATGAATTTTATTTTTCCGACAAAGGAAACTCATGGAGAATTTTAAAAAAACTCATTAAGGGAGGTCGGCCCTAAAAGAGAAGGTTAAAAGGAAGGCGTTACACTAAAGAATTCTACATTCGTCCGATCTGACTTGAAGAAATAGGAATCAGGATCATTAAATCAAAGAAATTCGCGTTAGTATTTTTGATGCCTAAAGCCCTTAAAAATCCTTTTGCGCCCAATTACTTAATAGGAGATCGAGAACAATTCGTTTCCACCAACCTACACTATATGCTAAAAACAAAACCCACTTTTGCTTCACAGTTGTCCATTGACGGTATCGGCTCCTTCGGAATGACCAAGAAATGCGTAGGCGCTTGAGGAGCTACATCTTTGAAAGCGAGTACCTTAAAATCACCAAAATAAATATTTTTTTCTATTCTTTTTAAAAAAACCTCATTATCTTCATAAAGTATATTTGCCGGAATTTCCTTTCTAATTATTTTCCCAAAGATCGTGTCAGTCGGCTCACTTGGCGGCGCTGCTGTTTGCGCTTTTGCTGCTTCGTCTGACATTTTTGAAAATGAGAAGAGGTTTCCTTTTTGACGAGTCAATAAATTATTTAAAATAGAATTAAATACTTTACAACGCTGTCCAAACATTAAAAATAAACAGAAAAAATGAGGGAAAATATGCTAAATTATGTAAAGACAGAGAGAGGTCTTCACAATCTACTAATTGTAAGGATCCAGAGCAGGCACAAAGCCATTTAGAAGAAGGAGAGGAGGACTACGTACCGTGAAAAGGAACAAATGGGATGGGAACACGCGTCTGACTTGGAGCCGGACAAAAAAGAGAGAAACATGACGTAATGAAGACACCATTTGCGCTGTCATAAGAGAAATCTAGGCCCTACGTAATTCTTATAGTTAGTGAACTTACAAGACCTATAGCTCGAAAAGCAAACTTAAAACATCATAAAAATAAAAAATTGTTACTAAACAAATTCAAAGAAAAAAATGAACAATTTTTATATCCAAACAATTTTATATATCGAAACAACAGGAATATAACAAGTGGAAAAAACTGATTTTTCAATATTTAATAATATCATTTATTCCACAAAATTTTCTTTATTACTTCTTCTTACCAGCAGCGGCTCCAGCCTTCTGTGCAGATTTTGTAACCTTTCCACCAGCTTCAACCTTCTCAACAGCCTTAATAACACCAACAGCCACAGTTTGACGCATATCACGAACAGCAAAACGTCCAAGAGGAGCGTAGTCGGTAAAAGCCTCGACACACATTGGCTTGGTTGGAATTAAGTCGACAATACCTAAAATTGATTTTTTACAAAAAGAAATAAAATTAAAAGCAAACCAGCATCTCCAGTCTTCAAAGCCTTTGGATTGTCTTCAACCTTTTTGCCAGTTCGACGATCAACCTTCTCTTTAAGCTCAGCAAACTTGCAAGCAATGTGGGCAGTGTGACAGTCAAGAACAGGCGTGTAGCCAGCAGCAATTTGTCCAGGGTGGTTCATGATGATAACTGAAAGAAAGAGGATTGAAACAAAAATCAACTAAAAGGTTAACCCTGAGCAGTGAATTGCTTGGTTTCCTTCGCCGGGTCACTCTTAGAGTCAGAAGTGACCGATCCACGACGGATGTCCTTGACAGAAATGTTCTTGACGTTAAACCCAACATTGTCTCCTGGAACGGCCTCAGGGAGGGACTCGTGGTGCATTTCAACAGACTTGACTTCAGTAGAGATTCCTTGAGGTGCAAAGGTAACAACCATTCCAGGCTTGATAATGCCAGTCTCGACTCGTCCAACAGGCACAGTTCCAATACCTAAAATATTATTTTAAAATCTTCAAGGATAAGACCAAATCAAACCTCCAATCTTGTAAACATCTTGAAGTGGAAGTCGGAGTGGCTTGTCAGTAGGCCTACTTGGAGGCAGAATGGCGTCAAGAGCTTCCAACAAAGTCTTCCCGCTAGCGTTTCCATCCTTCCTTTCAATAGCCCATCCTTTGAACCAAGGCATCTTATCAGACGGCTCCAACATGTTGTCGCCATTAAAGCCAGAAATAGGGACGAACGCAACGGTTGCTGGGTTGTAACCAATCTTCTTAATAAAGCTGGAGACTTCGTTCTTGACTTCCTCAAAACGAGCTTCCGAAAATGGTGGCTCTGTCGTGTCCATCTAAATATTGATTTTATAAAGAAAACAAAGGAGGTAAGAAACCTTATTACAGGCAACGATAAGTTGCTTCACTCCCAAAGTCTGAGCGAGAAGAGCATGCTCTCGAGTTTGACCATTCTTAGAAATTCCAGCCTCGAACTCTCCAGTGCCACAAGCGACAACCAAAACAGCACAATCAGCTTGGGATGTACCTAAATTGAACATTTAAATCAATCATAAATCTCAAAAGAAACCAGTAATCATGTTCTTGATGAAGTCACGATGTCCAGGAGCATCAATAATTGTGACATAGTATTTAGCGGTCTCGAACTTCCAGAGAGCAATGTCGATGGTAATACCACGTTCACGCTCGGCCTTCAACTTGTCCAACACCTGAATTTAAGAGTTAAAGGTACTTAAAAGTTCTCATACCCAAGCATATTTGAACGATCCCTTTCCCATTTCCTGAGCTTCCTTCTCGAACTTTTCAATCGTCCTCTTATCAATTCCACCACATTTGTAGATTAAATGGCCGGTCGTGGTGGATTTACCAGAGTCGACGTGACCAATAACAACAATGTTGATATGGATTTTCTCTTTTCCCATTTTTAGAGCGAGGTTTAGCGATAAAACTTAAAATATCTGAACATTTGAAAAAATTTAGCGATTTAATGTTTGATTAATTTCCACGAAAAAAAGTATTATCAATAATCGCTTGCAATAAGTTATTAAAAACCCCAACAAAAAAATTACGAAATAAAACAATTTTCAACAAACATTTCCCATAGAAAAAAATAGTGAACGAAAACTGAGGAAAAAAGTAAATTTGGCTTTTATAGTATAATTATAAACAGAATGCCAAAAATCTATAATATAGCAAATTTAAAAATAAAAGTTAGCTTTTTAGCGTTACTCTTCGAAATTAAAATTAACATTTTCGTTTTTAATTGTTTTAACTTTTCTAGGCGCTATGCGCTTTCCATACTTAAAATACTTACTTAAATCAGTTACTAATGTGCCAGAACAACGAGCTATTAAGGCGGTTTTTAAAGATGGTTTATTTTATAGTAAATTTGAATAAATTTATTTAAGGATCACAAAGACTATTTCCTTACGTTTGGCTCAGAGATTGTTCTCTAGATGATAAAACTTATGTAATTTCTGATGCTATGAAGGTATAGATTTTAAAATTTAAACTGAAACTCTGCTCGCCGACGCGCTTTAGGCTTATTTATCTGGTTAACTGTCCACACAGGGAAATCGATTAGAGGTCGGGGAGCAGGATAAACGGCAAAAGGATGGTGTCGGTGAACAGGGTTGGCTCTATGCAATTTTATTTTTAAATTAGGGAAGACTACATACTATGCGAGATTTTGATGTAAACGTTGAGCCTCTCAGTTTTCGATTGAATTCTAATGGTTTAATTGTTAAATGGCCAGGAAATGTTGTTAGTTGGTAAATATTTTTTTCTATTTTATTGATTTTTAATGTTTAAATTTGCAATTTTGGTCAGATTACTTGAAGAAAAATTTGCCAAAAAAATTTTTTTATGATCACCCAAAAACATGTCCTACCTTTCTCAAAATTTATAAAATAAATCCTCTATTTTTCCAGTTATAAACAGAGATGGCTGCGAACTCATTGCCCTGGCAGCAAAGAAGTTATAGAGAAGAGACGACAAATTTATCTTGGTCGTGAATGCATTCGTCTCTGGGAAGATGGAGGACCAACGAGCAAAAATCATTTCCAGTTTTCCCATCAATCGTTTTTGGAAGATGACAAAGTAAGAGAAAAAGAAATGGGTGGTTTGTTACAAGGTTTTTAATTGGGGTGGATTTTGTTAGTTTTTTAATCTTTCAGTAGAAACACGTTTTTGTGGTTCTTTGGGACTTTTGGTTAGCCCAAAAGATCACCTTTATGATTAGACCTTGGATTTAGACTCTCCTGTATTTTGTTGGTTTATCCTTTTCGGATTTAAAAAATTTTTCGGTCTTTATGGAGCCTTTATAACTTGGGAGGGTATAATAGAGAAATAAAAACAATTATCTAACAAAAAGATTTATTTTGCTTTTACAGGTATTACATGATTTTCACAAGTCAGTTTGTGTGGATGGCATTGGAGTACTCAGAGGGCAGGAATATGGTCCAAACTTAAGAACTGAAGTTTTTTCAAGTATAATTCGACGTATTGGGATGGTACAACCTACACATTTTGGGTATGTTTTTTTCTTGTTTTGTAGCTTTAAAATATCCCGCCTGGCTTTAGCGTGTTTAGATGGTGGGGTGTTAACACGCTCGTCTTCAAAGTGCGTAAGAGCTCTTAGTCATCCCCTCCATCCTTAATTATTGCCGGGATTTTTATCATGTTCGTCTTTGGATTTTTGTGGGATAACTTAGAAATTTTACTTTTTTTTAAATATTGCTTTTTGAAGTGAAACTTTTGAAGTCTGCCCTAAACCGGATGCAAGTAACATGGCGTATGCAAATACTGGAGAACTTCCCTACCACACAGACTTTCCATCTCTACAAGATCCACCACAACTTCAATTGCTTCATATGTGTAAACAGTCCGAATGTGGTGGAGGGAAAAGTATGTTTGTTGATGGATTTTCTATTGCTAGAGAGGTCTATTTTTAATAAATTTAGTCTCTAAAAAATAATTTGTTTAGATGTCATTAAAATACCCTAAAGAATACCAAATTCTCAGTGATTATCCTTTGGAATTTATCGAAGAAGGTTATGATGTTCACAATGTTAAAGGCTTTCAAGACAAGGAGGAAAGGGTTGATTTTTCTATGGTAGCCAGGCATAAAACGTTCAAGTATATTTTTAGAAATTCCAAATTTTTCGCTCCAAAATTTTCCTCTTATGCACTCATCCAGTGCTGTACACTCTCGTTCTTTGTTTAACCACTCTTCGGATTGTCTAACTAACCCGAAAAATTTTTTTCGGATCCTTATTAGAATGAGAGAGTACAGAGTAAAGCAGGGGCATTTTTACATTGAAAAAATCAAAAGAATTACTAATTAAAATTTTATTATTTTTTTATCACAGAACCGATGAATCTGGACTTATACAAGTACAATTCGGAAATGTTATGAGAAGGTTAATTATTTTTTAAAAAAATATAAATTTTCTTTTTTCAGCTGGTTTTTGGACATGGCTGCAAATGACCCTTTACTTGTTCAAAATATTTATTCTTCACTTAAGTTGTTCACTGAATTGTGCTATTTACCTGAAAATCAACTTATTTTCTCGCTTAATTCTGGTAAGAAAATTAAATACTTGACCTTTATTTTTTGGAAAAGGATTTTTAATTTCGCCTTATGGCACAATAGGAGAGCAATTTTCGCTAGCTTTCTCTCGAAATTTTTTTCCTTTCCAAAATTTAAAATTTAAAAAAAATTAGGTGACACAGTTCTTTGGGCCAACACAAGAATTCTTCATGCTCGTAGTGCTTATAATTTAATTGGAATACCTGAAAGGGAGCGTCATCTACTTGGATGCTATTTTTCTTGGGATACAATAAAATCAAAAATTCGTCTAATCAGAAGACAATTAAAACTGGAGGAGGATCAAGAAACACTTTAAAAGAAGGTTTATGAAAAGAATAATTTAAAGAATTAAAACGATATTTTTACTAAGCCCGTAACCAAGATTTTTCAAGAGTTTCTCCCTCTTAATCTTTGATGTCCCCAAATCCTTTTAATCCTTTGTATTTCCTTTCTATCTCCCTTAATCCTTCCAAATCCACCTTAACCATTGAATTTGTTAAAATTTTTAAATTATTCAGAATTCGAACGACATTTTTTGTAAATTGAATAATTTTTGAATTTTTACCCGTTTTTAATTTGTATAAATTAGTTTGCTATAAATTTAAAAAAAAATTATATCACATAAATTTCCTAAGTACTTCTAATCTTTCAATAACCTGAGGATGCGAATATTTGCAAGCAGAGTAGAGCCAATCGTTGATAGGACTCGACAAATTGTTCTCTTCCTATAATTAAAAGATTATTTCGAAATAATCTAATAAACCAAACCAGTTTAACAAGCCCAGTGCTCAGCTGCGAGACGAATCCCAATCGAGCTGCAAAAGCATCAGCAGCAAATTCTAAATTAAAAAAGATTTCAATGAAAATCCAATTTTAATTTAAAAAAAATTTTACCACAGCGACGCTTCATAAAACACGCAGCCGAATACATTAATTCATTGTAAGGTGCAAAAACATATTGACTGACTAGAAGAATTCCAATTAGAGAAGGTTGTTGTGCCGATGAAAGGAAACCAAATGCCAAATATAAATTGGATTGTTGATGTAAAGAACCAAAAACAAAAAATACAAGAAGCATATTCAACTGAAAAATGGACGGATTTAACCAATTATTCAACTCATACCTCAGCAAAAATAAACATCCACATTGAATGGTACTCACACCAATGACCCAATTCATGCCCGAGAATGGCTACAATTTCATCATGTTGCATATTTAGACTTTCTCCCTCCAAGGTTTTGTTGGTTGTTTTTGAATTCGTTTCCTCCTCAAATGTCTCTGAACTTGTTTTAGTTGTAGTTTCTGATTCGGTTTTTTGGTCAGCCTGAACGAATTAAACATTAAGGAGATTTTTGTAAATATCTGACTGACAATTGAGACAGACCACAAAAATTTTGTAAGGCAAAAGGGAGACCCAAGTGGTTAGCATTTAAAGCGCTTACTAGGCGCGGGTTTTACCATTTATTAAAAGAGAAGATGAAGACAGGAAAGCAGTGCCCCGGGTAGCTCACTCACATTAGTCGGTAGAGCATTTGTACGTGGTCAGCAAAATGCCTAACAATAATGTCATGAAATGCAGGATTGATGCCTACCCGGGCTAAACTTTCACTCTTTCCTATTAGTATTAAACCTGTATTGATTTGTTCATTTCCTCGCCAAGAAGTGTATCATAAAGAACAATTTTTTTATTCTTCCAAAATCCAAAAATGTAAGCATTGCTGTGTGTTGAACGTTTAGATTCTTTTAAATAAAAATGTTAACAATTAATAAAATTAAGAAACCTTCTACAACATAAATATTTTTAAGCGGAAATCCAATTTTGTTAGCTAGAGCCTCAATTTTTGTTTTCAATTCACTTTCTTGAAGAGGAGTGTATTTATCAAAGAGTGGAGCAATAACATCTGGATAAATAAAAGCCATCAACTAAAAATTGAATTTTGGCTAAAAATTTTTTTTTATAAAATTCTTTACCATCAAGTAAACAGAAACAAAAGCCCAAACATAAATATAAGAATATTGTCCACCCTCTTGTACAATCCAAGCATTAGCAGCCACAAGAGGTGATGAAATTAAAAGAATTAAACAAAATTTTTTGGCTCGGTCAATGAAGAAGAAAGACACAGTCTAAAAAATATTTTGGATTATATTGTTGGACTATTTTTCAATTTGATTTTTGGAATAAAACTGGTAAGAGGCAGACAAACGTTTGGTCCCTGTCAGGAATCGAACCTGTTACCTCCTGATATTGGAGTAAATCTGAAATGGGTTATAGCTATTCCCCTCCTTCAGCTAATGCAAAAAATTATTCGGCGTCTGGGAGCGAACCAGCAGCTTAAATTGACCGGACTGATATCATCCATTACACTCGCTGTCTCCGGTATAGCTTTAGGAATTAAATTGCTGTCTTACACTAGTAAATGTCAACTAATGCGAGTCTCGCGGCGATGACCGTGGCGATGATTTTCTCTTCTAGACAAACCCTCGCCCTAAGCCTCTTAAAAACTTCAACAAACCTCATTTTTAGTTCCATGCTTCAAGTCAATATAAAATGTTTCATAATATGAAAAAGGCAATTCTATCAGTCCTTCAATAAAGGCATAAAAAAGAATGAAAAGAACGGATTGAAAACTCTAAAAAAATTAAAAATTTAAAAATTCACGAAAATTTGAAAAAAAACCTCCCCACTCTCTGGTTTTATAAAAAGTCCATATCTGCCACAAATTGACCAAAGCCAAGGAATCAGATTACAAAAAAGAATTATCTAAAAAATATTTTCAAAAGTTTTTATGAAAACTAACTGTAGATAAAGTTTTTTGGGCCACAAGTTTGTAAGAATCAAAGGTCAATTTATCCAAATAATAATTTCGATGATAACCAAAATCCTCCTCAGAAATAATTTCATAAACTTCCTCTGGCCTAGTTTCAGTTTTACGATAAACATTATATTGTCGCAAAGTTAAATAAAAATTCCAAATAAAGGTAGCAGAATAAAACGAATAAATAAACCAAAATATGGCAGTTGGATCCATTATCTAAAAATATATTTTTACTTTTGGACTGATCAAAAGAAGAGAAAATAATGAAAATTAGGAACTTATATTTACTTTAACTACCCACCCTCAAAAATTTTATCAAAAGATTTTTGATATGGACGATTTATATGTCAACCAAAACTTCTCGACGAGCCGACTCGAAGGATATCAAAATTAGCCCTCACTCTCAAGTTTGCGCCGAGACAAAGAGGCTCAAATGGTTAAAGCAAACCCATGGGCGTCGGCGTTGGACGTCAGCGTTGCTTGTAATTTTGTTCAAAATCGCCAAATCAAGCTGACTCTGTACCATTCGACTCAGATCGTCGTGCTCCTTCGATTGACATATGCAATGTCCAAATATAACTGATAAATCTCCCGGTAAAATTTTTGTGTGGGTAGTTAAAGTAAATAAGTCCCGAAAATTACTCATATATTCAGCAGCTCTGTTTCAAATTAAAATTTTTAAATGGTTTTTATAGGGTTGGACACGACCGGTTTTAAAACAGGAAATTTTGATCTATGGAATTTATTGAATAAATTTCCACTTAAAAATCTTTATGTTTTAGGTAAAAAAACATTTCATCGATGGAGTTACTAATGTTTCCTTATACCACACTTCGATTTGTTTGGTAGAGTTTGTGTTCTGTAATTTTTGCCTGTTCATAATTGTAATTGTCATTTTGTTTTGGATGACATTTTATCCAAATAAATTTTTTGTCAGCTGCTTTTTTACATGAAACTTTTGTACTTTTACAAGTTTTTTGGCTAAATTTGTTGATTTTTGGTAGCGTTGATTTAAGTAGCTTTCTTATATTTTTTTAATTTTTATTTTCCTAAATTCTTTTCGGTTTTTTCAGATTTTTTGAAAAAATAATTTGTTGTAAAGAAAAGACTTGTTATGGCTGGAGGTTAATTTTTTCCAAAAATTTTAAAATTCAATCAAATTATTTTCAGTTGAAGTTCCTCGCAATTTTCGACTTTTAGAGGAATTAGAAGACGGACAAAAAGGCAAAGGTGACGGCAATATATCTTGGGGACTTGAAGACGATGATGATATGGCGTTGTCTCGATGGACTGGAATGATAATTGGGCCGAGCAGGGTTTTTTAATTTATTTTTGGATTTTTCTAAAATTGTTTTTAGACACCTTATGAAGGCAGAATTTATAATTTGCGGGTTGAATGTGGTCCAAATTATCCAAAGGAGCCGCCGATTGTTCGATTTACTACAAAAATAAATTTGAATGGTGTTAGTCAGCAAAATGGATTGGTATTTATTTTTTTATTTTTTGGGGGGTTTTTTGGGACAGGGCATTTCTTAAGCTTAGGGTTTACCTGAATATCTCCTAGAATAAAGGTCTTGGATTCCGCTTTATTGTTAGTCAGTTAATTTGAAAATTAGGTCAGGCCCATACCCAGACTTTACTGATTATTACCTCTAAATTCTATTAGGAAGTTTTGCCTACCGCTTGAGAAAATTTGAAAAAATTTTTAAATTAGCATTTCGAAATATCTTTCAACGTTTTTTCATGTGTGATTTGATGGGAAATCTCTTGTTAGCATTTTTGAATTCTTTATAAATGTTGTTAAATAAATGGGGTTAGGACCTTCAGGGAACAAAATTTCCTTTAAGTGGGAATTTTATGGTAAAGCTTAACTTGAAAAAAATTATTTTTTTGGACCAATGAGTAGGTTAAAAACGAGGGGATTTTTTGAATTAAACTTACTATTAGAATATATTTAAAAAATCCTTAACATTTAGTTGGACAAGCGTGTAGTTCCATCATTACGTCAGTGGAACAGTTCTTATTCAATAAAGACTGTGCTTGAGGACATTCGAAGGTTTTCTTTGTTTAATTCTTGGAAAATAAATTAAAATTCAATTTTCAGGCATTTAATGACTGCAAAGGAGAATCAAAAGCTTTCACAACCGGCTGAGGGAACTGTCTTTTAAATTGGCGAAGAAAGGATTTGGAAACATTGTTTTGGAGATTAGAGCTCATATAATGAATATATATGATTGTTTTGACACCCCCAACACTCCACAAAATTTCTTTTTTGTTTGGTAAATAAGAAAATTTTTTTTTCTAGTTAAGGGGAGTTTACTTTCCGTAAGAAAATATTTTTTTCTAGTTAAGGGGAGTTTACTTTCCGTAAGTCTTCTCCACAGTCTCTTGTTAAGAAAATGGGTTTTATTGTTCGGCTTTGAGACTTACTCGATTTGCTGATCAATATGACACGATGTTAGACATCGTTCGCTTTTAGATACTTTTTTTTAATTTGATGGCCACTAGGTTGAGAAGAGGTGTACGTTTACCTTCCGTTAGTCTTCTCCGCAGTCTGTTCTTTACCTTCCGTAATCCCAAGTGTCCGTTTAATAAAAAATTTTTTAACATCCAACTCTGTAAATTGTTTCTGACTTTTTTGGGAAGATAGCTTATTACTCCGTGGATATTTTAATTTCTTCTTGGAAAGTAAACTCCTTTTAAATTTAATGTTTAGGGATCGGACTAAAAATTTTGTGTAATTTTAGGTAAAATAATTTTTAAGGTTAATTTAATTTCCCTTATAATTCCTTAAAAAATTATTCCGATTCCTTTTTATGATTATATTAAAAGAATTATTAATTCGACCTCTTGATATTTTTCTTAGAAATTTTGTTTTTTTTTAAATTTTTGTCAAATAAAATGAAGAGTGTCGCTTTATATTTTATTCGATTTTTAAGTAGTTTTGTTTAATAATCAACCAATAAAATTATTTTTCAATTTTTTATTAATTTTTAAAAATTTTGTTTTTCCATAGAAGGACTTCAGTGTGATAGAAATAATGGTTATTTTGATTTTTTAAAAAATTATTTTGATTATTATTTTAGTTTCAAGAGCTTTACTTTGAAGTATGCCGAGGAAAGCAACATATAATGTTACAAGCTAGGGAAAATTGGACTGCAGCAGATTTGAAGATGGCGATTGAAGTTATTTTGAAGGTTTGTGGAAATTTAAAGATAATTCTTTTTTCGATGCGTGCCTTGTCGATAGGGTTGCCGGGGAACTTTCGGTTAACCATAACCGACTAGGAGATCTTTGGGAGTTTTGGTTCGGGCTTGAAACCGACAACCCTAGTAGTCAACCAAAAAATATGTGTTTTCCTACTAAATTCAATGACAAAATATTTTTAAAAAATCCACATATTTTCAGGTTCCTCCAAAAAGCCAATCACTTCGAGTACCTCCAAATGAACAACGCACAGAATGGATGGTTCTAGACGAAAAGCAGACTCTTCAAGAAGCGGGATTTACCCCAAAAAATGCTCGGGCTGATGAACCGATTGTTTTAGCGCTTGTTTTGCCAGGTTATTTTAAAGGTTATTGAGTCCTCTAATTTTTTTAATTTAAGAAGACAACGACAGGGTCAATGTTACACCAGTTTCTCTGCCACCGCCAATTCCAGATGCAATGTTGGGAGGACGACAAAGGGATATGGATGCGGAATGAAAAGAGAAGGATATTAAAAAATAAAATAAACATAAGTAAATGAATTTTTGGGGATATAAAACCATTAAAAAAATTTTTTTTGGAAAATTCAATAATTTTTATTTAACCTCGTCGTAAAAAGTGCTTTTACAATAAAATTGAAAAAAATGAAAATTTAAGTTAGTCAAAAAATGATTGAGTTTATCCAGGGCCGTGTCCGTGAGGGAACACCCCATTTTAGCCTCTCCCCCGAAATCCTACCCTGGATACGCCCTTGGTTATTGTTGAATAATAGTAGGATATGTAAATGGATGAGCAAACATAGGCACGTTTCATCTCCTTCCAACATTAGAAGGATGTGACTGTCTAGGACCTCTAACCTCCATAGAATCTGACCGCTGTTTCTTTACTAAAGCCATCCTCGTTTTTGAATATTCCAACTCTGGAGAGAGAAGAAAACCTTTTCGATGGGTTGGGCTCCAATCTTGAAAGCCTAAAAATTTTTTAAAATTTATTTACAAAAATTACACATACGAGTTAGAAGTGTTTGAGTGTCTGAAGATTTTGGACCACAGAATTCGTTCTTTATAAAATTTACAAAGGGTTGAGATTTGGGTGATATTTTTTGTTTATTTAAAAGAGAGAAGAGCATCTGTTTAAAATAAAATCGTGACTTCTTTTAGTTAAAAGGGGCAATTTATAGAGATTAGAATCAAGGGTAATGGTATTTCCAGCCAGGGATGGACTTGGTTAAACGAAACTTGCCACCCAGACGTTTCTACCCGAACCATGATTCAAAAAAAATTTGAAAACCCGATCTGGAACTTGACTCAACTTTTTTCTTAACCCAGCCTGCCCGTTTCCAACTGGAGGGGAACACTTCAAAAAAATGTTTTTGACCATTAAATCCCTCTTATAAAAAATAAAATAAAAAAACCTTTTCAAGTCTTAGACATACAATCTTTCCAAAACGTTCAATAACACTTTCTAATTTTTTCGCCTCTTCACATCTAGTATTTTCTGGTTCATAAAACTTGCCATAATCAAAAAATTTTTTGTGAATTGAATAAAGTGTAGTTGCCAAAAAAGTACAATTCTCCACGTTGTAAGGGCTTATTTGTAAAATAAAAAACTATAAAAGTGACTGTTTTAGTTAAAAACAATCTTTTACTAAAAGTAAAAATTGTTTTCCCTGCAAGGGGTTCGAACCTTCGACCCCCTTCAAGTCAAAACCAAACACTATCCCACTACACCAAAAAATCAAAATTTTTCCCCCATTTATTTTTGAGAGGAAAAACCCACATAGAAGTGTAAACACCAAAAAGTTGCTGCATTTTAATAACTCTACGAGAAATTAGACCAAATTGTGCAATATTAAATTTATTAGAAATAATAGAGCGTTCTAAAATCACTTGAATTGAATAAAGGGAAGAGGCTTCATGACGAAAATAATTTGATTGTTGTTGGGATTTATCATCAGAAAAATATGCTAAATGGACTTTAAGGATGGGGAGAATTTTTAGAAAATTTTTTTTGTAAAATTTTAACCTCCTCTAACAAAATTTTTGGTAACCAAATCAAGCCCTACAGACATTTCCTTGTAAATTTTGGCAAAAGTTGCGTCAATTTGTGGCTCATTTAAACGAAAATTTGATATAGATTGATAAGAAGTTGGTAAATTTGGAACGGAAGAATGCACAGTTTTGACAGAAAAATGTTTTGTTTGAATTTTATTTTCAATTTCGACGGCCAAATCAACCCATAATTTCTTTAGAAAAATAAAATTAAAATTTAGGCAATCCAGGAGAATTGTGGTCCCTGCGGGAAAAAATCTTAAAAATAAGGAAAATGATTTTTCTAGGGTAAAAAAGTACGCTGATTACGAATCTGAACTCAGATTTTGAAAAAGTCGAATCCGAACCCGAATATAGGTCCTCGAATGTCGAAAACCCATAGGGGGGACCAAGCTGATTTGGGGTGAAAAATTCGAATATGCAAATTATACCTCATTCGAAAGAGCTCTTCAAGCTGAGTCGAATGACACCAAAATTACCGTTATTGAACAAGATTGGACGAAGTTATACCACAATAAACAAACAAGGTAAACCTATGTCTTTTGTGTTATAACTTCGTCCGATTTTGATCAATCACGATGATTTTGATGTCATTCGACTCAGCTCGCTGAGCTCTTTCGAATGAGATATTAATTGACCAATTTGCGCTCTGTTTATTTTTCAAAATTTTCCCCAAAATGTCAAATATGCGAATTTCGGGTTCGGGATTCGACTTTTTCAAAATCTGAGTTCAGATTCGTAATCAGCGTATTTTTTTACCCTAGAAAAATCCTCTTTCTTATTTTTAAGATTTTTTTCCGCAGGGACCACAATTCTCCTGGATTGCCAAAATTTAAGCCTAAAATAAACCTTAAATTCGTCTTCCTGTAAAAGATCTTCCATTATTGATTGTGTTACTTCCTCCATACTAAATTGAAAAATCTGAAGGAAACTTTTTTGAGCAACTTTTCTGTGAGACTTTCAGATGATTGTGTCTATTTGTCTATTTTGCCCTTTTGACCATTTTGTCATTTGGGATTTTGTATATTTTCTATTTTGAAGAATTTGTCGGCGCTTATTTTTAAACTGATTTTTTTATTAGAGTTCGACATTTTTAATTTGCCTGGCCCGGTATCCGGTTTTTTCTTCCAAGTCGACCCGGGCCGGGTTTTTGGGGCTAAACCCCAACATTTTGTTAGAATTTTATTTTGTTTCAATTTTGTATGATTTTAAAGAGATTTTTCAAAGTAAAAATTTATTTTTGTTTCCGGGAGAGGCCCGGTGATTGGCTTTTGTTTAATTCTTGTTAATACAGGGTTTTTAGCTGACAAAATATTTTTTTTTAAATGCCCTAAAAATGTGAAAAAATACACAATATTTTAATTGCATCATTTTATTCAGAATATGTAAAATTCATTTACAATTTTTAGGTTTCTGGGTTTAAATGTGGATTTTTTTACTTTCCTTTAAAATAATTTTTTGTATAAATTTAGGATATGTAATTAAAGCTTTAATATATAATGGCACTTTTCAGGTCGAAATTTCGATTTTCGACGTTTGAGATTTTTGGCATTCGATTTTTGGCTATTTTTACCTTAGACTTAAGATTTTCGAATTTTTAAAAAAATTTGGATTTTTAAAATTTTAATATGTAGCTTCGAGTTGGTTTCGATATTTTTCGATATATTTTTTCAGTTAAATGGAGGAAAATTTTTAGAGGAAAACTATTTCTGAAAAACCACATGTATACTTATAAGGATTTACTTTGATATCGTACTCGTAACTGTGTCGGAAGTACGAGCAATTTAAAATTTCCAAAAACTGACTGTTAGAGAGGGCGACTTTTTTCCAGTTAAGTGCCATTATTTTAAAGCTTTTATGTTAAATTTCCTTTAATGCAAAAAAATCCGCAAATTAAAATTTTTTATTTTCAGGGAGGGGGGACTTATTTAGTTTAACCCAGGGCTCTCATCGACAAAATACCAATCAAAAGTACAAAAATCTTGATTTTAAAGTACATAGGGACAAAATTTCCACGTTTAAAGTACACTCAAAATTAAATTAGAAAATACATATTTATTCGTGCTTAAATTTTTATATTTCTCTCCTAAATGAATCTTTTCTAATAATTTCTTGTTTCCACTGAGCATTTTGTGCATTTCAATGCATGACATGTCAAAATTCGCTGACACAAGAAATAAAGCCCTGACAGTCAACCTCAAACAAGCTACTTTCTTTCGTCATTTTTCAGCGCCGCAGGCGAAAATTTTGAGAATTTTAGAGCTCAAGAAGCCAGATTATTTCCATTTTTAGCGCCGCAGGCGAAAATTTTTAAAATTTTAGAAGGCCGTAGGCAAAAAAATTCACTTTTTCAGCACCGCAGGCGAAAATTTTTTGAAATTTGGAGCCCAAGAAGCCAGATTTCTTCCTTTTTCAGCGCCGCAGGCGAAAATTTTGAGAATTTCGAATGCCGTAGGCCAAAAAAATTCACTTTTTTGCCCAATCCCTTCCCCAATTTCATTTTCAATCTAAAATGTTGATTTTAAAGTACATACTTTCATTAAAGTACAAATTCAATTTTGTAAGTACGGAGGTCGATTTTAAAGTACTGTACTTTCAAATAAAGTACGAATGAGAGCCCTGGTTTAACCACAAAAAGTTATGTTAAAATATCGACTACTTTCCTACCCTTTCTCCTATTTTTCCAACCAATTTCATACCCCCAGCAAATAAACCCTTCGTTTTTACCGTATATGCTATTTCAGCGGAATCTTCTAAAAGCGTTTCGCCCGTTTCGGCAAACACGTCCTTAAGAGACTCAACGATGTCTAACATTTTTTTGGCAATGTTAGCAAGGTTGTCAAGTCCAATGATGTCAGGCAGATCTTGAATCAATTTTTTTATAAGCGGTGCCAATTTATTTACAATCATTTCAATTTTTGCAGTGTTTCCTTTTGAAGTTTTAGTCCACTCTTTGACAGCTATATTTAACTGTTTATATACTTTGTCCACATCTTCGGAATCAATCATATTGACAATATCGGTTGCGTTAAAGTCCCAGTCTTTACCCTTGTACTTCGCATCTTTGCATTTTTGCTCTATCAATTTTAGAAATATCATCATTACATAATTATAATAAGGAACAAGTGGGGGCCCAACAAAAGGCACTGCTGCGATTATTGTAGCACCAGTATCAATACCTCCACGTATGATGTTTTTCTTCGCTTGGATGATAAGATCTAAAATGATTTGTTAAATAACATTTCGTCAACTTAATAATTATCAGAATTGTTTCGCAATTACAAATGGTGCCGTGTGATTTCGACAAAAGTGAATGGGCAGTGAGTAATTTGGGCAGTAACAGTTGTTTGAGGCTTGAACTTAAAAATTTCCAAAAATAGGGGGTAATTGTGGATCCGGAGACGTGTTTAGCCACCCATCTCTTTTCGTTAGCCACCCATCTCTTTTCGTTAGCCACCCATCTCTTTTCGTTAGCCACCCATCTCTTTTCGTTAGCCACCCATCTCTTTTCGTTAGCCACCCATCTCTTTTCGTTAGCCACCCATCTCTTTTCGTTAGCCACCCATCTCTTTTCGTTAGCCACCCATCTCTTTTCGTTAGCCACCCATCTCTTTTCGTTAGCCACCCATCTCTTTTCGTTAGCCACCCATCTCTTTTCGTTAGCCACCCATCTCTTTTCGTTAGCCACCCATCTCTTTTCGTTAGCCACCCATCTCTTTTCGTTAGCCACCCATCTCTTTTCGTTAGCCACCCATCTCTTTTCGTTAGCCACCCATCTCTTTTCGTTAGCCACCCATCTCTTTTCGTTAGCCACCCATCTCTTTTCGTTAGCCACCCATCTCTTTTCGTTAGCCACCCATCTCTTTTCGTTAGCCACCCATCTCTTTTCGTTAGCCACCCATCTCTTTTCGTCACCAGACACGTTACAAATAGGTTACTTCCCGACGGTGGAAAAGAGGGTTAAAATACGGGGAGCATCTATCAGGATATTCACGGTAATTTATCTGGAACTGATTCCTCCCAGGAATATCAAAAATACATTGGATTATCTCCTTCTACTAGATATATCCCCAAATATATATGAAGGATTTTTGAATGAAATTAAAGGTAAAAGTGAAGATTAACCTAAAACTCAGTTGGGGACGGGGCCGGATATGAACAAAGTACCTAACTTTGTGACTCGCATTTTTGTCTCAGAAGTCACATATGTAAATGTTCAGTTTATGTCAACAAAGACGGTAAATATAGAGCAAGTAGCTCTACGATCTGCTACTATTGAGGATGCCATAGGGAAACAGATTGAGATTGATGAAGAAAATCTAACATGACGAGGAAAAAAATGCGAGTCATAAAGTTCAAAATTAACAGACGATAATTTGTACACGAAAATATAAAAAAATCTACCATGAGATAAGCTTATACCATAGTTCATAGCACAATAGGCATTTATTGAAACATTACTAATAATCCCATTTGTCTTAGCTTTTATTCCTGGTAAATCGGTTTTTTCAATTTTGTTGACTCTTCTTGCTAAATCAGCTACTGTTGTTACTAATTTATCCAATTGAGTTTGTCCATTTGAGTTTTTATCTACCTAAAAGCTTGTTTGTAATTTAGCTTTAAAATAGAATAGCTCAAAACTGGTTTAAGATCATCTTCTCGATTTTCAAAATTCATTTTCTGTTTAAATTTTCAGAGGAAATCTTATTATGTTTACAAAATAGGAACAAGATGATATTCGAAAACAAGAAAAAGTTTTTTCCCATTTTTAATTTAATTTTAATTAATCTAAAAAACTTTCTAAAATGAATTATAAAAACAATTACAAATTTTTTATGAACCAACATGGTAAATATTAGGACCCCGTCCCCGAAAGTCAGGGAATTTGAGACATTTTTTGAAAGCCCCTTCCCCCCCCCCCCCCCCCCCCCCCCCACTGTGGCGTTGCCTCCCCGAAAAACTTTCCCTGTGAGTAACAACCCTAATAAATATAAAATTCTACCTGTTTTCCATTATCTACTTTGAGTCTTCTTTCTATATCCCCTACTGTACCTTGCTGAGTTTGAATTTCTTCCAAAAGTTGCTTAAGTTGAGCTTCTCGATTTTCAAAATTCTTGTTTTGTTTAAGGTACTCTTGCAGAATCGGGGATCTTTCATAAACCTTAAAAATCAGCATTTTTTTCTGAAAATCATTTTATATAGGTAATCGAACATGCTGATCACGAATCCGATGACCTGCACCGGGAATTTGAGATATTTTTTGAAAGCCCCCCCCCCCCCCCGTGGCATTGCCTCCCCGAATAACTTTCCCCGTGATCCTCCCCCCACTCGGGGAACAACCCTAATAAAAATAAAATTCTACCGGATAATTAGGCATAAGTCGGCCATTAACACACTTCCTATTATAAAATTGATATTGTGTTTAAAATAATCAAGGATTCATAAAAAAGTTTTAAGTTAAACAAGGGATAAAAATTATCTTTATTAAATACTGCACCGCAGTCGCGATAATTTCGCTTTTTAATTTACTGACCGCCAAAATCAATTTTGCCAGTCCCGGATTCCGGATTTGTAACTTGAACCGTACCGGATCCGATCGGATTTTCCGGATTAATCCGGTCCGGTCAATCCGGATCGAAAAAACCTTCATTTGGGACCCGGACTTCGAAAAAATCCGGCCGGATCCGGTTTGGTGCAGGTCATTCGCTTTCTTCATTGCTGAAAAACTTGATCTTCCACTCTCTTCCACCCGGAGTCCGGAGCTAATATGGAACTGTTCCGAAAAATTCGGGCTCTAGAGTTGAAGCCAATCCAGTATTTTAAGAGGTTAGGGACGGGCCATAATCGCCTCCAACTGTTTTATCCATCTTATTATTCAAATCTCTGTAAAAACCGAATAACTCTGTGGGTAATTAAAATTTTAATTCATAGGTAAGTTGAAAAAATGACAGACAAGTTTCTATTACATATTACAGTACATACCGTATTTTCTTTATTAATTCCTCACCTTCGAATACTTCTTTCACCCCAAGTGCTTTACGTTCAAATTTCAAAACTCAAATAATTCCCTATTCCCCATGGGTTGAAATATTAATTCCACGGGGGAATTAATCGAGAAAATACCGGTTTTTATGCATAGGTTTTCGTTTATTCCATAAAATGTTTCTTCACATTTTTCTGGAAATTATAGACAAAACTAATTCCAAAACTTTGTCATAAACATAACAACAATTATCATTCCAAATACAATTCCGAAACGATGAAATACACTATTGGCATTAGAAATTGCTACAGATTTATGATGTTTTGTTGAGGTTGGAATTGTTGTAACATGAGCTAAATTTATAAGAATACAGAATTTTTTCAAAGATAATGAGATAAAACTTTAGAACGATTATGTAAAAAAGGAGTAAACGAGAATTTAAGTTAGTAACAAAAAGTAAAAATACAAAAAAAAACATAAGAAACAAGAACAGAACTAGACAAAAACTCTTATGGTTCGAACCGAACGAAATCGAGAATTTTTCGGTTCGGCTCCGGATATTCGAAAATTTTCCTAGAAACGACTATATAGAGACGAACAACATTCTGTTAAAAAAGAGTTGACAAACGAATAACATAATTAAACAAAAGACTGTGCAAAAAACAAAACTTTTGCAAGACGAAACATTGAACGAAAACTGCCAAAAATTACGAAATACAATCGAAATACGTGCAGTTTTAATGCAGTTCTTGCCTAGCATTTTGTCAGCGTTTGGTGTAATCGTGATATTTTGTTTCTGCATTTCAGTACTTTTACTTAAAGACATTTTAGATGATTTAGCATCGAACAAATCTAATTGTGATGATGATATATTATTAAAATAATTGTCAGCGACATGTTTTGGATGTGCACTACGCAAAAGTCTGCCATTAATACACTGCCTTTAATTTAAAATAAACAAGCTTTGATGGGATCGCTATATATGGGAATGGAAACGTTTTTTGTTGAAATAAGAGTTTAGCAAAAAAACCGGGCTTAGAACCTGCAACTTCCTTTTAGTTATTGCTAGGCGCTTTCGCTTATCGTGTATAGTAGCTCTACCACTGGGCTACCAGGGCTGATGGTAGGTCACCCCTACCTAGGCTAAATAATAACCCTGATACTAATGCTTTCTTTTTTATCCTTATTCTCGTTTAACCTCCGCCTGAGCGTTTTAAATGCTGCTAGGTGAATCCTCCTTACATTGAGTCGATCGGGGTTATCGCAGGTTGAAATCAAATGGTAATTCTTCGGTTGTCGCCCCCTTTTTTTATGCTTCCCTGACCATTTTGAGCTTTTTGCTTTGACATATAATAATTTATATATCATTCGAAAGAACTATCCGAGCTGAGTTGATTGGTACTATGATCGGTTAGATTTGGCAATTTTGAACAAAATTATGAAGTTAAATCCTTTGTGGACATGTTTTTTGTGATGTTGAAAGGGATTAAAACAATTGCTCATAACTATGTTGATTTAATTCAGATTTCGACGATTCTAATGCCATTCGACTCAGCTCGAAGTGCTCTTTCGAATGTATATAAAAGTTCATAGAAATTTCAAGGAAAATGTAAAAAAATAGAACATAAAAAAAGGGGGGGGGGCGACGACCGAGGAATTACCAATCAATGCTGGAGGGTTTCGGATCATGAATAATACGATATATACTGGAGATCCTGCCGATGTAAAAAATCCCAATTTTCGTAAATCAGGATGTCAGGATCTTTGTTAAATACTTTTATTTATTATCAAATTTGAAAAATATTTTTAATTTTTTTACACTTACATGCCACACCAGTCATAAAAAATAGCTAAATTTGTTTTAGATCTTAAAAGAGCAACAACCCAAATACTTTCGCGGATGCCTTGCTTGAACAAAAGAGAATAATTTAGTCGTGGATTATATGTCTCGCGAAAAATTAATCCAGGTGGTGCATTCGACTTGCCTCTAAATGTTTAATTTAAATTATTGGTACTCTTGTGTTATCTCCCCCCATTTTATTTTTCTGCTCCTTTCCTTTTTCTTTCTCCATCAAAAGCACACCTGAATCTGATTAACATATTTTTAAAAAATTATGGC